GGTTGTTTTCCTTTCTGCCACACAGAATATATACCGGTCTAACTACAGTGTCCTCTGACGTAGGCTTGGTTGTTTGGAGAAGAATTTTGCAACACCTTCAATCTGTCCTGCCCCAGTCTTTCCTTTAGCAAGCTTTTCTTGATTTATTTAAGATTAAAGCTAAACTAGATACACTAGGGATGGACAAATTTCTCTCTCATTTTTCTAAGCTTAAGTTCAGTTTTCCACATCTTCACATCAGTTCAAATTTGTACATGTTTGCAGGCACCTTTCTCCTAATACAGGCATTTCCCTACACATTTTTTTCCCTTCATATATGCCTTTCTGCAAGGAAACTTCCAAATACAGCATATAGTTTAAATGTTGGCTGTTGACAGTGAAAGTAGTCCCAACCCAACCCAGCAATTCCTGCATCTGCATTCTTTTGTTGAAGAAGAAGAAAAGAGGTTAGGAGTTCTGGTCACAGGATTCCCCTTTCAGATTAGAGATAAATCATTTTACCTACCTAATGCACTCTTCCTGAACCAAAATGCAGCTATACTTTGAAATTTGTTGTTGTTTTTTTAAAAGATTTTTAAAGATTATTAAGATTTTCCAAATGTTACAATATAAAAATGAAAAAGAAGGAAAAAAAGAAAAAATACAAAATACAAAATAAAAATGATTAGAAACCACTCAATTTTTCCATTACTTATTTTTCCTTAGCTTGTTTCCCGGACCTCCTCATACCTCCCTTTTTTGTATTCCAGTTCAATTCGTTGGTTCAGCAAATCCTTACCCTCTTTATTTATTTATCCTAATCTTTGGTCTTAAAATAGTAACGTTAGATTTTTACCTATTAACAACCCATTTTTCATATTCCCTTAAAGCATTACAGCTGGAAACCACTTAATTTCTATCCAACATCATTCTAACATTCATTAATTTTACAATATTTCTGTAGATAGTCTTTGAATTTCTTCCAGTCTTCTTCCACCGACTCTTCTCCCTGGTCTCAGATTCTGCCAGTCATTTCTGCCAGTTCCATATAGTCCATCAGCTTCATCTGCCATTCTTCCAGAGTGGGTAGATCTTGTGTCTTCCAATACTTTGCAATGAGTATTCTAGCTGCTGTTGTGGCATACATAAAAAAAGTTCTATCCTTCTTTGGCACCAATTGGCCGACTATGCCTAGGAGAAAGGCCTCTGGTTTCTTCAAGAAGGTATATTTAAATACCTTTTTCAATTCATTATATATCATTTCCCAGAAAGCCTTAATCCTTGGGCACGTCCACCAAAGGTGAAAGAATGTACCTTCAGTTTCTTTACATTTCCAACATTTGTTATCGGGCAAATGATAAATTTTTGCAAGCTTGACTGGGGTCATGTACCACCTGTATATCATTTTCATAATATTCTCTCTTAAGGCATTACATGCCGTAAACTTCATACCTGTGGTCCATAACTGTTCTCAGTCAGCCATCATTATGTTATGTCCAACATCTTGTGCCCATTTAATCATAGCAGATTTCACCGTTTCATCCTGAGTATTCCATTTCAACAGCAAGTTATACATCTTTGACAAAATCTTAGTTTTGGGTTCTAGCAGTTACCTACCTAATGCACTCTTCCTGAACCAAAATGCAGCTATACTTTGAAATTTGTACTTTTTATAATTTTGCAATGCAACAAAAAAAAAGCCTGCACAAAAGTGTATATTACGAGAAAGTGCACAGAAAAAAATGTGTATATTGGTGGAAACAATGAAAAAATCCATTAATTCTGTTGCCTTAGCTGTGAGTTGTTCCTGTTATGATTAACTGAAGGCTGATTAGCTATTACTGCCAGATTCCTAAGCAGAAACAAATGCCACAATATCTATTTTATGAGGTGGGGGAAGAGTGCTGAGACAAGAGCTCCAGCTACTACAATAGAGACTTCCACCCTACAAAACTTTGGGGCTAATAATATGCTTCCCCCAAAATATAATGGGATAGGAACTAATATAAGTGTTCTGAAAATAGGCACATCAAAAGATGGCTGCTCCATATCTTACATGGGACCACATCTAAGCAATAAAAAAAAGCACTGACTCACTTCTGGTCTCCTTGAAGTACAGTTTTGTTTCAGGTATGTTGCTTCGCAGGTCTGCTTCCATCAATATCACAGGGTGTGGGGCCACCACTGAAAAGGCCCTTTCCTTGTTACCTGGAAACCTGATTGATCTTAATGGCATGGGAGAGAACAGACTACATGAGGCACACCATAGTTCATTTCTTATTTTGATTTATGGGGTACTTTGCCATACTTTGCCACATGCGCAAAGTGGATCACAACAGAACTTTGTTAGTATTTATAACACAATGCTTCACACTAGATTTTTGAATTAAAATTGCAGCTGATCCACAGATGTTTAGTGGAGATAGGTTAATAACAAGAAAGCTGAAATCCGAACAGCCAATTGGATCGTTCTGAACTCTGGGTCACCTCCTTGTCATTAAAGTCCTATGAACACAAGTCCTCAACACATTCCAGACAGGCGCTACCTCTCATTTTTCTCCACCCCACATTCCAATATAGAACCGAAAGATCCCAGCAGACACTTATTCAATTGACTGAAGCAGCAAACAGTCAAGTACATCGTGTTGCCATGCAACTTGTGTCAGCTTCCCTGTGGATGGGTTTGGTTTTTTTGGTTGTTGTTACCTTGGTGACAACCAGCTGAATAGTCGTGGCACACAAAATTGTCTCTTTCTTCCCTAAGAGTGAACATGGGCTAATTCTGTTCTTCAGGGGGGTTCTAGAAGCGAGCAAAGGTGGATGGATTTCCAGCACAAGATGATAGCAGGTACTTTGCTTCCCAAGTCAAGGATGTCTGTGAGCAACTTCACTCTCCCCTCCCCACTTTGAAATTGCATGTGGAAGCAGCATTTTGTGGAAAGAAAACTCTGCAAATCTTTTGAGCTACCGGAATCTTTCTCAAGGTCTGGAACAAACAACTGCACTGGAGAGCAAATTTCCCAGAGGCTATGGATGATGTAATACACGTCTGAGTGGAAAGAGCAGGCCTTTGCAAACCATTCCATCTGTATCACTGACCTACTTGGGCTCAGCCGAGTTCTCAGTGACCTGGGAGGAAATAAACTAGATGCAATGAATGCGCAATCACACCTGATTGGAGGGAACCAGATGGTGTGAAGTGCATTTAATTATTCACATCCATGCTACAGACATGTGGGCTAAGCGAATGCCCTGGTCTTTCCTTGTTTTATCATCTAGGGCTGCTCTAACAGCGTCTTTCCTTTGCGGCAGCTGTCTGCCACACAGCACAGTGCTCGCTAATGGTGCTGGGACTTCAGCCATCAGGGCCACAATCTTATTATGGACTTTTGTGAGCCTGCTATGTGGGCATCCTAATGCTTACTGGCAGATGATGCATCATAAATGGCGCTTGGGGTCCTTGGGCATCCGTTGAACAGAGCAGCCGAAACCCAGAACACATGTTCCTCAGGCTCTGCACATCACATCGCTGAGCCGGCAAGACTGCAGACAGTACCTTGTTTTAACTCTGCCTGGCAGTCTGAAGGAACAAAATGTTTACAGCGTGGAAACAGGACCTTGTTCGCAGAAGGCATTTGCTCCTCCCACATGCAAAAATAGGAGCGGCACCATGTTTCCTGGCAGAGCCGCAGGCAGAAACCAGCCAGGTAAAGCTTACCTTCATCTTTGTTTCTCCGTTGCGTCTCACAACTTCTCCACCAGAGGAAAGGTTTTTAAAAAGGAAAGGAATCTCTATGTGATTTGTACTTTTATTTTGTACTTTCCTCATTGAAAATCACTTTCATCCATCTCCGATTTTAGTAAGCCTCTCCTCCTCCTGGAGGGGAGGGATTGTGATCGGGAACCGATTCCTGCGCTGCGCAGGGGGCGTTCCGGCCCCTGCCCTGCCATCGTCACTGGCGTGCCACACCCCCCGGAGGCGTGGTTTTGCCGCTCGGGGGCGTGGTTTAGCCGCTCAAATGCGGCCGGCCAGCTCTCCCCTCCATTGCGCTGCTGATTTCTTCGAGTCACCCACCCACCAACCACTCCCTTTAGTGCGTAGCTTCTCAATTGACCTTGCTATGGACCTATGGTTGGTTGCCTTGGTTGCCCAGGGGGCCTGGTAGGAGTTTTTTCCAATTGGCAAATTGGCACCGGCCTCTCGGTTTTTTTCGCCTACCTCGTGGCAATCGTCACAACTTTCTAGGTATTTGGTGGTTAGGCACTGGAATGTGTTGTTGGTGTATGGAAGGGCAGGGTGTGGCCATCGCCTACCCCTTCACTTATGGGTATTCCGTTAAAGGAATCCGGCGGTCGTGGATCCTGTCCAATGCCCTGCGTGGCTGGGGGCCATGGCATGACCCCCGGTGACATCAGGGGAGAGCTTATAGTTGTATTTGCATCAACAGGCTCCCCCTACTGGTGGTTAACCCTCGTCTAGACTCACCCCTCTCCGAGTGGGTGGAGTCAAAATTTGCTGTTGTCCAATGCCTAAGCCAATACCTCTCACATGATGTAATCAAAAAAGTTGTGGCCTTTTCTTGCCCATTAACCTAATATACTGTGTCCAGGTGTCTTTATTATTCCCAAGCGGGGGGCGGGTCCTCGAATCACAATGAATGTATGACTATAGGAAGAAGCCTGCTGAATCTGGCTAAAGTCCTACAGTATCTTGTCCAAAATACTGTTCCTACAGTGACCAGCTATATGCTTCTGAAAAAACCCCAGGCAGGACAGGAGTGCAATAGTTCTCTCCTACTGTTTTTCCCTGGCAACTGCTATACAAGAACATACTGCCTGTAATCCTGGAAAGAGTACAATAACCTTTGTGGCTAGTAGCCATTGGCAGCGTTATTCTCCATGAATTTGTCAAAACCCCATTTAAAGCAATCCAAGTTGGTGGCCATCACGTCTTCTGAAAGTGAATTCTGTTAAAGTGGCACTTAAGGCAGGGGGGGGGACATAATTTGACTGGTGGATATGAAAATTAAACTGTAATGTCAATTCCAATGCATTTGTTCATATCCTTTACAATTCCTTTTTCAATTGCAGCATTAAGGAAAGACTATAATTTCAGCAGAATAAGAAGACTGAACCAAGAAACCGTAATCTCTATTAGACATTTGGAGACAGGTCCTGCTGTCCAAGCTTGCAAATGATTTCGAGCATGTCTTAAGATACTGTACTAACAGGCACAAAACCTTTATTAACAGGTGCAAACCAGTTAACAGTATGCCTGTACTGCAAACTGTTTATTTCTCCACCCGCCTGCAGTGGTGAACTAGTACTGAGTTACTAAAATGGCATGTAAGAAATGGATGTAATTGTAATGAATGAAGCCTTAATGGGTTAATTTCATCAAAACAGAAGTTTTATATTAATTCATTCACCCAGAGTGCGACAGCAACAGCTCTGCCATAAACTGAGTGAGGTGACAACAGCAGACTATTTAGAGAGAGGGCTGGAGGTTAGCACTAGACAACCTGTTATTGGGAGCTAATTATGCACAGTTGGTTAATTTACATGCCTTTCTGGTTGGTGTACTTCCCACTTCCTTTTCCAGAATTCTGGGTAGCCCTTGCCTTCTAGAAATGGCTATCAGACTAATACTACATACAAAGTGATGGTGTCAGAATGAGCTGTTGTCATAGTGGACAGTTCTCTGAAGCTATGGGGGGCAGCATATTAAATGCTAGGAAAGAGAGAAAATAAAACAGCAAGCACCATTATGCCACCGTATAATAAATCTATAGCATGGCCCAATTTGAAGCACCGTATACAGCAAGGGGTGGCTTTACACATGTCATTAAACTCCCAATTCTTATCAGCCCCAGCTAAGATGAGAGTCCAGGCATAATGGGAGTTCTGGTTCAGCAACATATGGAAGGCAACAGGTTAGGCACTTTTGGTATATGATACTGGTCACCCAACTTGAAAACGAGCACAGAGCTGGAAAAAACCAACTATAATTATCAATGGAAATGAAAAGCTTCACTATAAACATTTCAGTTTTTTGGGAGGGAGGAGGGAGAGACTTAATAAAGAATATGAATGGAGTAGAGTGAGAGAATCCTTCCCACCACCATCACTTGCAATCCTAGAGACTCAGGGTCACTCAATGCGGTTGACTGGCAGCAGATTCAGGAGAAACATGTTCTGTGCCTTCATGTTCTGCTTGGGAGCTTGCAGGAAACTGTGACGGAGTGCTGTCAATAGCAAGGCTGGTGTCAACACCTAGCATCCTTGGGCAGGTGTGCCAGGGCCATGGCTCGCCATCAAGGCCCACAACCAATGCCTGCTCTAATCCCACATTAGAAAGAAAATCCTCCTGGTGCTCCAAGCAGCCATTTTAATCCCTTCAATGCTATATTCCAGAGCAACAGCACTATAGAAAATTCAAATGGCAGCTCAGCTCTTGATGTCCGCAGTTGTTTCCTGCTGCTGCAAGGTTACCAGTAAGTGCATTAAGGCCTGCCAGGGAGCATTTTGAACAGGGCTTTCTCAAACCTGAAGCCTGCTTTAGTTGGAGCTTTGGTTTGATGCAGCAGGGCACAAAATCATAGAATGGTAGAGTTGGAAGAGACCCAAGGGTCATCTAGTCCAACCCCCTTGCAAGGCAGGAATCTCAGCTAAACCATCCACGACAGATGGCCATGTATTGTTTTAATTAATAAGGCTGGTTCAAGGACTAGCAACCCTGAAGAGGGGTTGCGTTTTGCAAATGTTCTGAGAAAACTAGCCCCTTAAAGCCCCCACCCCCAAAAAAGTACTGTTCCGGGGACAATGAATTACTAATATTTAACCAAATGACCTAAGCACTGAATGAAGCAATATACTGCAAAGGAAAGCAATCCTTTGTCTTAGATAGGAAGGAAATGACCAGCTTAATGTGTTAATGATGGGCATCATGAAGTAATTTATTAATGTTTTACAAGAGATGAAACCACCATCATGAAACTATGCACATGATCTTTATTTTTTTTTTAAGGGAGCAGTTACTTTTTCAAAAGCTCATAGGCAGCTTGTGCAGGCTTAATTATCTTACTTTGGTAGAGGAGTATATTTCAGAAAGAGGATTTCTCTTTGGAATGCCTCAAATATACAAGACACAGTGAGAAATGAGCAGAATGACTGACAGCCAGACAGCCAATTTTTAGTTAAAGCAGGATCTCAACTGTCCTGAGGGAGACCTTCAGTCCCAGCAGAGTTAAAGTTCAATTTGTGTGTTTAACAACAGATTCTCACAGACAGCAACAAATACAAAACTATACACCAAGAGAACACGAGCAGCCTTTGGGGGTTCCCTGGAGAAGCTAGTATAGGATTTGCATTCCAAAAGAATCTCAGCCCTTAGAACAAGACTCTGGCTCTCATGATGGCAGAGGCTATTTTTAAAATAGCCTGGCTGATATCTATGAAAAGGAAGACAAGTCTCTGCCGATGGTGTAGTAACTCCAAAACGGAAAGTAAACAAGAACCACCAAGACCAAATTCTGGCTGAGAGTCAGCAAGTCTGTTCATAGTCCTGAACAGGATAATTTTATCCCACTGAAACACTTTACAGATCAATAGTCCTGCCTTTACTGCCTGAGCATGGGATGTGCTTCAGCTAAAACACACCAGGCATGCAATAAAGTCCTCTTGAGGAAAAACGGCAGTGGAAACAGTCACTCTGAAGTTGTCATATTTCAGGCTCTTTCAACTTCCAGTTTTAAAACTTCTCTTGACTTTGAAACCACCACAATACAAGCACAGGTATTCTATGTACCAGAATTCATCATTTGGCACCTCAGATATAACCATGAGGTTGGCACTTGTGAAGCTGGTATCACTGGTTACCAGAAAGCACCTATTGAAAGAGTATTTTAGGAGGAAAGGGGGCTTGAAACACCTGTGTTTCTGTGCTGACTGCACTTTCTAACCAACTGTGACAGGATCTCTGAAGAAACCTGGAGATTACTCCCTTATACCTGTAATTGATCAGTTTGAGTTTATTAGACATTAATACAAGATTCTGCAGCTCTGTTAATTTTATATCTGTTGCGTCCAGTTCTTGAGCTTTCAGTGTGTGAACTAGTTCAAACCAGCATGCCGCGCCACAGTGTGGGCCATACACCTCAAGGTAACAAACAAGAGACTTAAAACCAGTACCTGCCATGACTGAGTAATGCACAAGCCCCACTAAAGTTCCTGGGACTGCTGAAGTAACATCTGTGTTCATGTGCAAGTCTCATTCATTTCCATGCTGCTTACACAGGAACTTTAGTGGCAGACTGTGTAGTGCCTGTAAACCAAAGCTAAACAATCTTCTTACGTGCTTGCATGCACTTAAGTGTGAAGTTTATCCTGAGAATTAAATGCACAGTGGCTAGATCTCCAACCCCACCCTCCACCTGGTACTATCGCCACCATCCATGCAGTTCTTTATTAAGATTAAAAAATGGGAAATTAAAATATTCCTTCTTTATTTCCAAAAGAGGCAAATAAGAAGAAATTTGACACCTATTAATAGCAGTAAGGTTTTCTACGAGCAGCTTTACCCCTATGGTAACTTTGGGTTCAGAAGGCAGGTATGCATCTCAAACTCCCAACGGGGATGAGAATTGGCTCGAGATTCTGAATGGCAACAACAGCCTCCTCCAGAGGTAGCGAGTAAGGCAAAAACCGGTTATTAAAAAATAAGTCATTTATACAGCTTATTTTGCTTCCATTTTGCTTCTCTAATGCAATTGCCTCCTTCCTCTTGTCCTCAGGTTCCCTTAGGAACACGTCCTTCCGGTCTTCACAGACTTGGGGCGAGCCAATTAAGGAACTTCATGGCGACTTCAAAACCAAGGAAGCAGGCCTGGAGGAAAACATACAGAAAGGAATGAAATGATCCAAATGGAAACAGGGCTAAAAAAAAATTCTACCATCTGTCGATGAGCCCACTGTTCACTTACTGCGTTGGCTGGGAAAGCCCTGATCATCACAGCGGTAAATCCCTTGTACAGTGACGCCACTCCTTCCTCTCGAATCAGCTCCCGCAAAACGTCTCTGAAGCCATTGGGATACTTTCCCGGAGGAGCTGTTGAGAAAGGTAAAAGCATGCAAGTTATGGTTTAAGTCACTGAGAAGCCCTGGCCTGCCAAGGCAGCCTTGTGCTCCCCCTTCCTCCCTGTTTGCCCAGCAATCACTCTCCCTCCTTTCTGCACACCCTCAAATGATAACTACTGCTGTGGGAGCACATTTTCTGCAGTGATAAGTACTGCATGGAGTTGAGGGTTAGGGAACCTGGCTCCTCCAGCACGGCCAGGAATGACGGAAGCTGTAGTCCAGCAACAACTCAACATCTACAGGTTCCCCATCTCTAGTTAGAGACCCTGCCTTCTGGGGTGGGGAGAAAGGGAGATGTTCCTTGAAATCAGGCTTGAAATTAACCACTTGCCACTCACTCAAGGGCGAGTAACTTGCCAGATCCACTGTACAAGCCACACTGTGGCGAAGAGGCTCAGGCAGGCAAAACTTTCAGAACTTATCTGAATGGCTTGCTGAGTAGGCAAGGCATGGCTGTGGTGAAGATGCTGAACCAGCTCTACAAAGGAGTCCAGGAACGTTCTGGCCCACTTCCCACCTGTCCCACTGACTAACCCAATCTAATGAGAAATCATTAGAGGCATACCAATGGCCTGAAAGTACCAACTTCCTTGATCAGACAGGGATGGGGAAACTTGCATGATGCAGCACTACAACTCCCAGAAACCACACTGGCTGGGGCTGATGGGAGCTGTAGTCCCCAAGGTGCCACAGGTTCCCCTCTCTTTGGATCCATGCTCTTTATTTGCAGGCAATTATATTCACCACAGCTGACCAGGCAAGCAGCTATTTGCCTCACCAGAAAGCCAGCACAAAAGTTTCCTCTGGAAAAAAACTTAACAGAAAGCCTCAAAGAGGCTGCAAAATGGGACCATACCCCACTTTGGTTCCAATTCCCTTAGTGAATAGAGTTGCAGTGGCAAAGCCAACAATTAGGAGGGGAGAAAAGTGAGAATTTGTGCCGCACCAGCAACCCAATGGCCACAATGGGAAAGGGCAGTCATGGCACAGTGAAGAAAGATGCAAATGTCTCATCAAGCTCCGGATTAAACCAGAGTGTGTGGCATGGGCTGTTGCCCAGGAATGATGCTCAGAGGAACTCACTGAAGAAGACAATGTGCAAATGAAACCTGAAAGAGATAATCCTTCAATGTGCATTCTCTTCCTAAGAATATTGTGGAACTACAGTGGAACTCAGGGTGGGGAGAGCCATGGATAGTGTTAGCCACACCTCCATGTTTTCTCTAATTACTCTAAGGTGAAATTAGCAATGAGTCACTCAAGATGCACGCAATTTTACTGAACGCTCAATGTTCCAATTTGGTTTCCCTGCTTCAGTCTCAGGCAGTCACCTGCCAAAAACCAATTCTGACAGGGGGAAGGACTGGATCTCTTTGAATCATGCATTTCAAAAGGTAATGGAAGACAAAAACAGCAATCTCCCAAGAGCCCATCTTTAGGTTAGAGACCAAGCTGACTCACCCGTCTGGAAACGAGACTTCAACACATCTGGAGGGATCGCAACAGCCCAGTTAAAAATCCCTGCCATGCCACCTGCAAACAGAATCCTGGGTACACTGAGGTCACGGACACTGCAGAGAAGATTAAAAAGAGGGAGGGAGAAAGAGAGAGAGAGATTCTTCAGTGTCCTCCATCACCAATTACTTCTGTTGTGAATGGTCACAAGGTGCTTATTCTGCATAAATCTAAGCTTTATCTGCATTGGCACAGAATATTATTATTATTTTGCATTTTATCATTATTTGACACTACTGTTCACAGGGTGATGGTTGTTCTATATTTTTGCATTCCGAGGGCAACATTTCTCATATCTGTAACCCATGAAAGTGCAAACCGTAGACTTCAGGGTGCCACAAGACTTACTTTTCTTTTCCGTTCCTATTTATGAAGATCACAACTTCTTGGGACCAGAAATGCAACAGACACCAAGGCAGAGGGGACAGGCAGCAGGGAGGTTGGCACAGTGCAAGGGCGCCAGTAGGGCCAATTCTGCACTCTGCCCCTGTGTCATACTACAAGGCACATACAACGACGAAGCCACTTAGGCTTACTTTACAGTAAAGTTTACTGTAACAGAACATGTTAAGGGCTTTGATCACTTCAAATCCTTGATAGAAATGTAATCTTATTAGTAGTAGTGCATTTTTTAAAAAAAATGGCTTTCCTGTAAACAAATGCAACAAAACTAAAGAACACGTAACCAAGTATTTGAGCATTTCCCTGGAAACACTTGCTACTGGTGTTTTTGATAATTAAGTACACAAGATTATCCTTACTCAGCAGCAGGAAGAATTTCTTAGATGTACTGGTGGGAAACGTAGGGTTTTACTCACCTCTGCCCTTCAGGTGTCAAAATATGTTTAAGCCACTCATAGGTCATGAAGTACATCCCACTGGCTGGAACATCTGGTAAAACAAACACAAATTCAGACTTAGAGAAACCAGAGGCGCAACCGGGGCCTGACTTGCAAGGAACGTTCTGCAATGAAGGAAATGGCACAGAACATTCCGCCAGGCCCCAAAGCAGAACAAAGTGGGCTTGACTCCTTGATTGAGACAGGGGCAGAGCTGGGGAGAAGGGGTGGGGAGAGGATGGAAATACAATATCATCTGTGATTATAAATCAGATTATAAACCAGACAGAGGGCCTTCTCGGTAGTGGCGCCCGCCCTGTGGAACGCCCTCCTATTAGATGTCAAGGAAATACCGTATTTTTCGCACCATAGGACACACTTTTTCCCTCCTAAAAAGCAAGGGAAAATGTGTGTGCGTCCTATGGAGCGAATGCAGGGGGGAGGCAGGCGGGAAAAGCCCCCAAGAGCCGCACACAAGCTCCGTGCGCTCTTGCGGGCTTTCCCACAGGAGGGAGAAGGGACTGACTGGCCGCATCAGTCCCTTCTCCCACCTCCCAGAAAAGCCAGGAGAAGCTGCGATCTCTTTAAAGGGGTTGCGCGGCTTCTGCGGGCTTTTGGGAGAGGTGAGGGAATCCCCCCACCTCCCAGTAAAGCCAGGAAAGCCCTGCGCAGCGTCTCCTGGCTAGGAGAGGCTGCACGGGGCTATGGATTCTTTAGCCCTGTGCAGTGTCTCCTGGCAAGGAGAGGTTGCGCAGGGCTAAAGAGGAAGCCAAAACAGCGAGCGGGATCCATCCTGCTTGCTGCCTTGGCTTGTGCCATAGCCCCACTCAACCCCTCCGGCAGGGAGAGGTTGTGCGCAGCCTGTACGCTGCTCTTTGGGGCTGGGGGGGAAATATTTTTTTCCTTGATTTCCTCCCCTAAAAACTGGGTGCGCCCTATGGTCCGGTGCGCCCTATGGTGCGAAAAATACAGTAAGCAGCTATCTTATTTTTAAAAGACATCTGAAAACTTCAGGGAAGTTTTTAAAATTTAATGCTGCATTGTGTTTAACACTTGATTGGAAGCTGCCCAGAGTGGCTGGGGAAACTCAGTCAGATGGGCGGGTATAAATAATAAATTATTATTATTATTTTATTATTTACAAAAGGAGCCATTCAGTGCCAACCTCCCCTCTCCCCCTTTAACAATCCAGCTACTTTTATTGTTATTTTAACAAAACTTTAAGAAAAAAATAACATTTACAACATTCCACAAACAGGGCTTTAGGGGCACTTGACCAGCAATTACCTCTCATGAGGGTGAGCACCGTTCCTTTGTAAACACCTCGAATGCCAGCCTCGCGATAAAGCTGTTTGGCACAGTCCAAAGGGCCTCCATATTTAATTTCACCAGAGGCTGCCTGGATCTAAGGGAATTAAAGAATGGTTTTCTCATCAGCTATAACTACACGGTTGTACAAATGCCCCTAAATCTAGAACTCCTGAAAGGCAGCTCTGCAAATTTGATTCCTCCCTCAGACGTCAACTGTGAGATGTGAGCCGCAGGATGTCAAGTGATGATTGCGCACCGAAGTGGCGGAAATTGAAATCCACTTGATATACAGTAAATATTTATTGCATATATTTATTCCATAGGCCATCACAATTGCATAAAAATATACAAACGAGAAGGATAAGACAAAGTCAGAATGAAAATCAACTTCAAAACTTCTTGTGGTCGCTCTTAGTTTTAGCTTGCTCAAATTAATGAGTCGCTTCTGCAAGCCTGGTGTGAACATTCTGTTCAAAATTTCACTCAAATTGCAATTGAACAAACTATCAGCTGCTCTGCCTGTATCCTTCTTCCCCTTCCAGCTCTTTAACATCTAATTTCCTTACCTAGTCCAAAAAGAGCCTGCAAAAACTTCCATAAAGTGTATCATTCATAACAGTAATCAAATGCAACATTTAGTGACTTCGCTATGGGGGGGTAGTCAAGCTGTAAACGGATGTATACTTGGAAATAAACAGGCAGGCTGTTTATATGGGGAATGAGAAATAAACCTGCACATTCAATATGTTCAGATAACCACAGGCTGAATAACGGGCGTGCTACTATGGGGAGCTTTCAATAAGGTCTGCAGGTCCAAGGCTCTTGGGAAGCCAAGAGCAGATATGCCTGGTGTGAGCTACCCCCATTTCCCTCCCTGATCCAGGGAAACTGATCTTGGGGGAAGGGGAAGAGACTATTCTGGTCTACAAGATAGGGCCCATCAGAAGGGAGAAGTCCTCTGGAGAGAGTTACTTGACAGCCAGGAAAGTGTCAGGGTGCACCGCAGGCCCTTGACTGATGCCTCTCCAAGAAGAGAGTTCAGATGTAAGAGAATTTCACCGCAAGGAACTCCAGCAGGGGGGAAGGGGGCTGAAATAAAGTTGAAAAAGTGCTGTCACTGACACAGAGGCAGGTTGCGTCTTTAAGAAAGGCCACAGGCCAAAGCTGAAGCCTGAGGACCAAGGAGAGAATTACGTATCAGTGTCAAATAGGACAGCAGTGGGTATAGGACCCTTGCAAATATTGTAACAGGCCCGTCAACCCTATTGGGAGAACACTGTCCTAACCAGTTCAGCGTAAATGTGCTAGGAACCTCCTGCAAGCTACTGCAGGATGCACAAGCCCCTGGCCCGATGACTGGACCTCTGTTCCACCCGTTGCTCTCCTCCTGCTCCTGCAGTCGTCACTGCACCCTACTTGTAGCACTCATATGAGCAGTATCATTAAGAAAACATTGCTGGTAGGAATGTGATGTGCCAACGGTTAGTAGTTTGAGGCGGGGCATAGTTTCCTGGCAATTTTAGCATCCTCTCTCGTTCATATCTATACACACTTCCGCACATATGTCTTTTTACACACACACACACACACACACACACACACACACACACGGATATGCTTAGCCAAGTGGACTGGGGGACATCCAAAACATTTAGAAAACTTTATATTTACATGGTGTCCTGCTAACCTCAGACTGCAGGCTAGAGGAGGACACCCAGTGATAAGAAGGAAATATAAGGATAGAAAGCTTTTGCTAGGGTGCAATGGCCAGACTAGCTTCCTGGAACGGTTGGGTGGCTTCCTGAAGCCCCTCTTACCTGTAAAAGGCACTTGATTCTCTCTCCCGGAGCCATGATTACGGTGGTGAACACCCCAGAAAGCATGCCTGCGGCAAAAAGCTGGGGATATCTGCATAGGGATGAAAGGACATTAGTCACAGGATTTGCATTTTCCTAAATACAGAGCCAGGAAGAGATGTAGTGATGACTCCCAATGTGGATGTTTTTTTAAAGTGAACTAGACCAGTTCATGGGGGGTAAAGGCTAATAAATTCATTTATCAGGCTACTGGTCATGATGGCTGTATCTAACCTCCAGGATTAGCGTCAGTAGGCCTCTGAACATCAGTTGCTGGGGGTCAGAAGTGGGAGAGGGCTATTGTGCTCATCTCCTGCTTGTGTGCATCCCAGAGACATCTGCTTGGCCACTGGTCAGCCACCCGTAGGGTTCTTGAGTCCTTACTAGGCCTTGCCATGCCACCGTATTAAATCAACAACTGCTCAGTAACGCGGCATTTTAGACTCTGTTCTTTCAAAGCCCCTTCCATTTCCAGAACAAAAGAACTAAAAACGCCAGCCAACTATTAAAAATACCTGTGCATATTATCAGGGCTGTTCCCTGTCAACGTTAAAAATTCCAATTATGTGCCAAGAAAACCAACGTTCTGAGCAAAATGTAATCATGTAATTAAATGATAATTTCGTCGTCTTTATTCCCCCCCCCCAATTTACATCTCACCAGGTGCTTCAGAAAGAACCTCAGAGCAGCTAACAACAATTTTAAAAAATAACAAAAGCCAATTAAAAATATAAAGGCAGCATGAACAGTCATTACAGAACCATAGTAGCAGCAGATTCAGACAGATCGCTACAAATTTGGAACAATATTTGCATATTCCCCCACTTTACCGCAGGGGTGGGGGAGCCTCAGGCCTCATGTAGGCCTCAGTCCAGCCCTTGGGACTCTTTCATGGTCACATCTTCTCTCTCAAGATCACATACAGTGGTACCTCAGGTTAAGAACTTAATTTGTTCTGGAGGTCCGTTCTTAACCTGAAACTGTTCTTAACCTGAGGTACCACTTTAACTAATGGGGCCTCCCACTGCTGCTGCACCGCCATGTGATTTCTGTTCTCGCCATGAAGCAAAGTTCTTAACCTGAGGCACTATTTCTGGGTTAGCGGAGTCCGTAACCTGAAGCAGGGTATAAACAAATATGGGCGGGGTATAAATAAATTATTATTATTATTATTATTATTGGGGTGGGGTTCAGTCCTGCAGGGAATGTGCTGGCGAAGGAGACCTCTTTCCCCCACCCCTGTGAATCCACTATGAAGAAGAAGAATAGTTTGGATTTGATATCCCACTTTATCACTACCCTAAGGAGTCTCAAAGCGGCTAACAATCTCCTTTCCCTTCCTCCCCCACAACAAACACCCTGTGAGGTGAGTGGGGCTGAGAGACTTCAGAGAAGTGTGACTGGCCCAGTAGCTCCATGTGGAGGAGCGGAGACGCGAACCCGGTTCCCCAGATTACGAGTCTACCGCTCTTAACCACTACACCACACTGGCTCCCCAGAACGCTAGAACCTCCTGCCTATCTATCACCTGATATCATCACGACACCAGACAATTAATAGGCGCGCAGCTGCACCCAGCTGTTAAAGCTGGCCCATGGGAAGCAGGGGGAGATAAAAGATCTGGCCCATCAGACCCAAAAGGTTCCCAACCCCTGGACTGGACAAACTCATGGAGGAGAACATTTACCAATGGTGACAAGTCATGATGTTACCTCCAGGGTCAAACGATCCTGTGTCAGAAGACCAGTCGTTGAGGAACAACTATAGGGCAGGGCAACTGCCCTCACATCCTGCTTGTGGGTTTCTCATGGTCATCTGACAGACCACTGTGGGAAACAGGTGCTGGACCAGGTGAGCCTTTAGCAGGGCTGTTCTTATGTAAGTCTGCAAGGAGCTGAGGTATGAGACAAATTCTGGGAATCCAGCATGATCCGGATGCACTTAGCTATTTGGAGAACTGAGGGCGTACCAGAAAGATGTGTACGTCGTGGGAAGGTCGGGTTATGTACATCACCAAGTGTAGGCTCAGTGAAACAGTCGTCTCGGCATATAAATGGGGTTTATGTGCTCAGGCCCACTATTACGAGGAGGTGTTACGAGCCTGCCATTATGTAACACACACCACACTAATCTAAAATATAATCCTTCCTAAATAGATGCAAGTTTTGCCTGGGAAGGAAACTATGCAGCAACAGCCCACACAGTGTCTGTTTTCAGCCGGTGCAATCAATCCCACGCTTCCAGGAGCCTTAAAGCTTGCCAGATTTATTCATTTCGCAAAAAAAAACCCCTATGTATATTTATAACGGAGAGGGAAAAAATAACACGGTTCTTGGCTGCATTGCCGGAATGTGCAATTTTATACGTCACAGTAGCCTGGAATGCCTCGACAGCCTGTTGCTAGATTATCGGAAGTCACTCACGTCAGAACGTCATCGGGTGTTCTCTGCTGGAGTTTTTTCCCCAAGCCAAATCCAAAGAAACACACAGCAAACATGGGGGTCACGCCAACAATCGGAGCCGCCATTCCTTTATACAAACCACGGACACCCTGCAAGACACAGCAAGGCAGTGGATTACTTTAGCTTTTCTGCAGCACTTCACAGGGGATGCTATTTCACCATCGGATATCAGCGGCAGACCCTATTCAAGAGAGCACAAGTAGCTGCTGGCTTATTGTTAGGAAGAAGGGACACCGAATTTATCTGCAGCCATACTTTCTTAAGAAATGCGTCAGAGGCTCTGTCCACACATCATGGTAAGACATAAACCATGGTTCATCATGCACGAGCCGATTGCATCCGCTTTGTCCTGGGCTGAACAAACCGCACTATATCTGAGCCAGAGGTGGTGGTTCCTTTCACTCAAACAAATCACAATGGTGACCTAAGAACAAGGTTTGGCAGAAACAACTTCTCCCATTCCCAGTCTTAACCAGAACTTGGCATTCCCATCTTAACAAGGATTTGAAACAGATTAAGAGGGAATCTAGTTGGCATTAATCACGGCTAGAGGTGGTGCAGATGTAACATTCAACCACTGTTAAAGAGGACAGGGGAAAAGAAGGGGAAATTTGCTGCAGAAATTGGAAGAGGGAAGAGGAGTCAGTAGAGCATGGAACTATAGATTTCAGAACTATAATTAATAATAATGCAGTAATGTAAGGGTTACGATATTCTTCCCTACTTTCTTCAAAGTAAAGGAATGGCAAAAGGATCCTGGGATATCATCCAGAAAGCCCCTAAAAGCACTTGTATAAATTACACATAAAAAACCATGCATGGCTACAGAAAAACCATTACGTGTACACAGATTGTACATGTGTTGAATGTAGCAGCCATATTCACTCATCAAATAAACCATGGCTTATCATGATGTGCACCAGCTGCAGTGGGCTTTAGATTTCTGCACTCCTCCTTCCACCTTCTGTGTTGCTGGAAAGAAGCATTCAGAAGCATTTATTTTCACTTTTTGTAAGCCTTTACTTCCCATTCCAGCCAAACCTGGGGTTGTAGATGGACACTACTGTTTCAAAACAAGCCAAATCCATAGGTTATGAAGCTGGTTGGTTTAATCAAACCAGAGTTAGCATAATCCATGATCCCCGGTTTGGACAAAAAGGGGAAGTTGTGTTTTACCAAAAATAAAATCCTTGTTCCAGTCACAGAAGACAAGGGGAGCAGGGAGGAGCCTAAGAGTTGCTATGGGTTGGGCACAACAGAATAAACCTTATCATGAAGTGCAAACCAGGCCACTGTGCAAACAGCCCCAAAATGTAAGGTGTCACATCTTCACAATTATATGTGCTTAGGAGTTGGACAATTACCTTTTACCTTTACTGTATAGCTAACTAGTTCTCCTGTCAAAAATAATTTCCCACTGAGTCACTTGAGCATGAGTCATTTGGTCTGATAACCCAAGAAGCTCTCCATCTTCAGCAAGACATCATTCTGACACAATTTGATTTGGAGAAGCAAGTGATGTTTCTGACAGGCATGACAACTGAACTGGCACAATACCTCGGCGACGAGAGTCTTTCTGAAGCAGTCAAAGGTCCCGGAGTAGAGTGCAGGCTGCCCAGGCAAAGGTTTCGGTTGAGTCTGTAGCCTGACCTGCAAAACAAGTTGAAGCGGGGAGGGAATGCAGTGAATGCAAACATTCTCTCTTATTACTGGGCCCTTTTTATTAGGAAATTGGTTTCTAATAGAGACGGCTAGCCAGCCACCCAAAGCTCCAATTCCCTCAGGCACCTTTCTCCTAACCCATCACATGCCCCTCGTGTTTTCCATCTTCAAATCCACCCCTTACCTGATGAAATAAGAGTGCTGTGTAATGGGATTGAGGGGTGGCAGTCCTAATAAATTGGGACTGACAGGCATTTGGCTAATTATACAGCTGAATAAGAGCTGCAGAGATAACGTACAAAATAAGCCAAAGAGACAGCCTTCCTTTGTCAAGGTTGGGCCAGAGCCTAAGGGCAGGATCTCCTGAAACTCAGACCTGGGAGATTAAGGATTCATGTAGATTTATTTCTGGATGAGGCGGCTAACATGCTCTGTAGTACTGAGACCTAAGGTGATGAGCTGGGAGGAGATGATCTCTCTCAGCTGTGCTCACTTCAATACCAAATCAGTTCAATACCAAATCAGGCTCAATGGTCAGTGAGAACCTAGGACTCCCATCTGTCTCGCTCAGCTTCCTGTCAAGATGAGCGCCATCTTTGAATGCCTGAGGCTGGGTAATCAGGGCAGATTAGGATTTCCACTGATGTACCAACAATAACTGCAGGTTCAGAGTATCCCAGCCTGACCTGATGCGGGTTAGTACTGAGGACCTTAGGAAGATTAATCATCTTCATCATTATCATCAGGGCTTTTTTTCTGGGGGTACGCATACCCCTAAACATTTTGTGAATCTAAGTTTAGCCTCATTGAGGGGCAGTATTTCAATGAGAGTACCCCTAAACATTTTTTTAAGAAAAAAAAGCACTTATAATAATAATTTTATTATTTATACCCTGGCCATCTGGCTGAGTTTCCTCAGGTTGTCATGGGCTAGCTTGACATCCTCGTCCAGGCTGCCTTAACTTGGTTTTTGGAATCCCCACAATGCTTTCTGTTCCTTGCAACCATTGTAAGAAATTAGGTCATTAAAATGCCCGACTATAGTGGAACCTCGGGCGGAGGCACGTCCGCAACCTACAACGTCCGCATCTTGAAGTGCCGCGTCTGCACAGGCATGATTTGGCACTTCTGCGCATGCGGTGAAACCCAGAAGTAACCCATTCCAGTACTTCCGGGTTTCCCGTGGTCTGCAACCGGAAAACACATAACCTGAAGCGGCAGTAACATGAGGTATGACTGTACTTTTGACAATATTTGACCCGTCTGTTGAAATGAAACCTCCCAAAGAAAAACAGCTTGAGAACACAAGAGCTGAGGTTTTACACTTTCACTGGCCAACTGCATTGGGGTTCCTGAGACTCATCCGCCACCCACCTGACGAGGTTATGTCAGGCAAATTCCAGTGCTACTACTGATCACTACTCTCAGCAAAAGGACTTGCAGCTCAATGCTTTGATTGCAAAAGGCCCCACGTTTAATCCTCGGCATCTCTGTGTAGGGCTGGAGAAAAACTTGTGCCAGAAAAGCAATTAGTTAAGAAGCCTGCAAATGCACTGATAAAACAGCATATTAAGATTCTGCAAACCCAATTATCAATGCTAATAAACCAGGAAGTTGAGTGGAAAATAAAATTGATAAAACAGAAAAACTTTGAATTTGCTAACAAACCAAGGAAATTAATGGTGTGGCAATTAAAGAAGAAGCAAGGTCTAATTTACTTAAAAGACCACTGTAAACAGTTAAAGTCTTTGGCGGGGTTGTAAGGGCACTTGTAATGTGGAATTGTTTTAATGATAATTATGGTTATATAATAGCTAGATAAGGGTAAGAGATGCAGTAACCTTAATCTTAAAGAAGGAACCTATGGAAAGAGGGAAGGTGGTCAAAGGGTTTGAAAGAACTCGGTATTTTAATGTTTAAAATCGTTATGTTTTATATGTACAAAAATATCTTTTTAAAAACTTAATTTTAATTTTTTTTAAAAAAAGAGAAAGACTCGTGCCAGAAACCTGGACAGCTGCTACCAATGGTCTGATTCAGTATAATGAAGCTTCCTTTGTATTAAAACTATTGATTTTGCCTGGGCTAGGGCAGTGTATCAGTTCAGTGTGTGGAAGCTCTGGGGTACAAGAACTCCTTCACTGGTCACATTCGTCTCAATTCTGTGTGTGACCAAGCCAGCATACAAAGGGCAAGTCCTCCACCCTCCTTTTGATATCCACCCTGTTTAAAACAGTATGCTAGAATCTCCTGGTCTAATGATTAGCAGGAGGACGCATACAAAGGCAAAGTCCATTGTCCTTGGTTTCACAAGGATACAGAACTTCCAACTCATCCGATTAAGACATAAGATACATTGGAAACGGGACTATAAAAAACAGGATTAAAGAGGTTTCATCCAGGTTGCAAACCTGCGAGGAGGAGAGACAGAACATTATAAACTGGTAGATGAGAAGGCATCGTGACATTGCAAGCAGAAATATAAAAGGTAAAGGGACCCCTGACCATTAGGTCCAGTCATGACCGACTCTGGGGTTGCAGTGCTCATCTCGCTTTACTGGCCAAGGGAGCTGGCGTTTATCTGCAGACAGCTTCCGGGTCATGTGGCCATCATGACTCAGCCACTTCTGGTGAACCAGAGCAGCGCATGGAGACGCCGTTTACCTTCCCGCTGGAGTGGTATCTATTTATCTACTTGCACTTTGACGTGCTTTTGAACTGCTAGGTTGGCAGGAGCAGGGACCGAGCAATGGGAGCTCACCCCATCGCGGGGATTCGAACCGTCAACCTTCTGATCGGCAAGTCCTAGGCTCTGTGGTTTAACCCACAGCGCCACCCGTGTTCCTAAGCAGAAATATACTGTATAACAATTCTGCTGATAACACAAATCTGGACTAAAAAAGCTGGAAAAACCCATTTGCACATATTTGCTTTGTGCACACAGGTCATGGGGAAGGACACTGGGAAGCTATGGAGAGCACAGTCTGAAAATCCTACTTATTAACCACTCATACATTTATCTCCTCTAGAGACCTCAAGGCTGTATGTGCAGCTCTTCCCTGCCCCATCCATTATATCTTCACAGCAATTAGGCAAGGTTGTATGGTTGAATGGGGATTTGAACCTGGGTCTCTCCAGGTTTAAGGTAAAGGTAAAATGACTCCTTTACCTGACCAAACTGCGGGAGGCAGTGGAAGACAGGAGTGCCTGTCATGCTCTGGTCCATGGGGTCACGAAGAGTCAGACACGACTAAACAACAACAAGGGGACTCCTGACCATTAGGTCCAGTTGCGGACGACTCTCATCTCGCTTTATTGGCCGAGGGAGCCAGCATACAGCTTCCGGGTCATGTGGCCAGCATGACTAAGCCGCTTCTGGTGAACCAGAGCAGCGCACGGAAAAGCCGTTTACCTTCCCGCCGGAGCAGTACTTATTTATCTACTTGCACTTTGACGTGCTTTCAAACTGCTAGGTTGGCAGGAGCTGGGACCGAGCAACAGGAGCTCACCCCGTCGCAGGGATTCGAACCGCCAACCTTCTGATCAGCAAGCCCTAGGCTCTGTGGTTTGACCCACAGCGCCACCCGCGTCCCTCCAGGTTTAATCCTGCACAAACCAATATATTACTCTTCAGCTGCCCTCTCCCAGTTTCTGTGATCTCACCAAGCATTAGCCATATACTTTCAAAACCTATTTTCACAGCTGTAAGGGTTAGAACTTTGCTTTAAAAAAGAAAAGTGAACTAAACTTCTTAGAAGATGCTGCATTCAGTACCCTGTACCAAACTCTCCTCTAGTGTAGAAATCCCAATGTCTTGCAAAATGACTGGCAACAAGTATCTTTATCAAGATAGGCCTCCTTAATGCTTCTCCTCCCAAGGCAGATCACAGTATAACCCATGACCACATTTCAGAGAACAGGTATATCTTGTTCTACCTCCATGGTTTGGAAAATAACTAGGAGAACCAAGCTGAAAGATTCCGTGACCCAAAGCAATTTCACCATATGCCCCATGCACCTAGGCTACATGGGTAAAGAGACCTCTAGTGCAATGCTATGTTGAGCCATTCAAAACAGTTGGTAGGATATTTTTTACTAATTTTTATTGATAATTTTTATTGGTAGGATATTTTTTACTAATTTGTATTGATCTGCCATAAAGTTATGTACACACTAACACATAACCATGTGAACAGAAACAGAACCACACACGAAGCAGATTCAGTGTGTATGTATGTGTGTGTGTTTGTTTGTGTGTGTGTGTATAGATAGATAGATAGATAGCAAAGTTTTCAAAATCAGTCTGTATAACCCAACCATGTAACTGCTGGTGTTGCTGTTGCCAGTTCACAGTAGCAGTGTTCAGCAGTATTATTATTTATTATTATTATTATTATTATTATTATTATCTATTGAATCTGTATACCACTCTTTATCCAAATATTACAACATAAAAATACAAAATGAGAATACAAAACGCACAATAAAAACTCATGCCATAACTGCTGGGGAGTAAGGGCCCATGAATTCATTGGAACTTACTCCCAGGTCATTGGGCAAAAAACTGCAGCCTAAATGAGGGAGGAAGAAAATTAACTATGAATATGGAGCAGAGATCTTACCACTGGTATTTTACTGGTTGCCATTTTTATCGCTTTTTATGACTCAGGCTTTCACAACGTTGCCACCCGCCCTATCACAAATAACGAGCTTGCAAAACTACAACTGGCATGTAGACAAGGCCCTACCTGCGTGCAATTAAGCTGGCACTCCTAGCAGAGGCCAAGACGCATCTTCCCTCCCCCTTGCAAAGGGCACAGCAACACAAACATTTCCACTGCAGTTCCAAACACCAGCAATGCTCCATTGCTCTTCTAAAACTTTATGAACTTTAGGAAACGTCAGCAGCAGCAACAGCTCATGCTATCCATGTTGCTTTCATAACTTTTTATTTAGGTACTTTTGCATTTAAGTTACTGAATGCACGAGTTTTGTAAGCCGCTTAGAGGAACTGATTGGTGGTATAAAAAGTAGTCATACATTTAAAAAATAAATTTTGCATTTGGAGGAAAGCCCGAAAAGCCACTACATTGCAACTTCCGACATTCCCCTAAGAACTCCCTGTAGCATCAGTGCAGGGCGCTCTGAGCGAACTTCGAAACTCCTTTAAGCGCTCGCCGTGTTCGCGGTGCACGCTAGGAGTTGCTGCCAAGTCTTCCCCCCTTCTGCTTCGCGCGATGCATGACGGGGGCTGGAGTTCTTTTGAGCCCGCGCCATTCGAAATGCCATTCATTCTTGGGGTGGGGGTGCAATACCGGGGGTGGTAGTCCATGGACCAGTCTATCCGAGCCTTTCTCAAACTTGCATCCCTAGACGTTTTTTTTTATGGACTACAACTCCCATCATCCCTTACCGCAGGGAATGACAGCGGGATTACCCCTCCCTCGCGAGCCTCAACCCGCGCGGTGCGCCCTGGGGCTTGTAGTCCCCAGGTCCCTCTCCTTCGCCTCGCTCCTCACCTTGATGGTGTCCAGTGGGTGTCCCACGAAGACCAAGCAGACGCCCCCGAAGCCGCCTGCGAAGAAGTTCTTCAGGGGGCTGATGGGCGCCTGGGAGGGCCCCTTCTTCTCCGCCATGGCTGCTCCGGAGGCGAGGTCGCCTGTCCTGCCCCGTCCTGCCCTGCCTCTTGCTTAACTACTCCGAGCGACCTTTACCCTCCTTTTCCCTCCCGCAGCCCGTCCGGACTCAGAGCACAGAGAGAAGCCTCCGGCGCGCCTAGAGAGACCGAAACTCTTCCGGTTTCCGTTGCCAACAGCAGCGGCAGTTGAACGTAGAGATAGCAAATGTAGAGTAGGCGCACTTCCCCCCCTCCACTTACTGGCGTCGTTTTGAACGCCCGTTTATCCCTGTGGCAGTTCTGATCCTGTATTTTATAGAATTGCCATAGAGTTCAGTAGGATTATTACTACTGCTACTACTACCACCACAGAGCCCAGGGCTTGCCGATCAAAAGGTCGGTGGTTCAAATCCCCACGACAGGGAGAGCTCCCATTGCTTGGTCCCTGCTCCTGCCAACCTAGCAGTTCGAAAGCACGTCAAAGTGCAAGTACAGTGGTGCCCCGCAAGACGAATGCCTCGCAAGACGGAAAACCCGCTAGACGAAAGGGTTTTCTGTTTTCAATGCGCTTCACAGGACGAATTTCCCTATGGGCTTGCTTCGCAAGACGAAAATGTCTTGCGAGTCTTGAGATTTTTTTTTCGCTCCCCCCACCTTTTTCTAAGCCGCTAAGCCTTTAATAGCCTTTTAGCAGCTAATCCGCGAAGCCTCTAAGCCTTTAATAGCCGCTAAACCGCTAATAGCGCTAATCCGCTAAGCCGCTAATAGGGTTGCTTCGCAAGACAAAAAACCGCTAGACGAAGATACTCGCGGAACGGATTAATTTCGTCTTGCGAGGCACCACTGTAGATAAATAGGTACTGCTCCGGCGGGAACGTAAACGGCATTTCCGTCCGCTGCTCTGGTTCGCCAGAAGCGGCTTAGTCATGCTGGCCACATGACCCGGAAGCTGTACGCTGGCTCCCTCGGCCACTAAAGCGAGATGAGCGCCGCAACCCCAGAATCGGCCACGACTGGACCTAATGGTCAGGGGTACGTTTACCTTTACTACTACTACAACAGCAGCCATGTTTAGGGAAGTTTTCAATAACTGATGTTTTAATTATTTGTTGGAACCCCGCCAGATGGGCAGGGTAGAAATAATAAATTATTATTATTACTACATTTATGTATCCCACCTTTCAACTGCCACATGTCCTGTGTAATACAGGATTGTCCTGCATTTTAATGTAAAATGCTACATCCTATATTGATAGAGTTTGTCCTGTATTTCAGGTCTTCTCTCTCTATCTCCCCCCCCCCTCCAAGTTAAGGGTCCTCTCTAAATGCATGGGTTTGAAAGGATGTGTAAAAGATCATGTATTTATTTTTATTGGGTTTTATAAACAAGAATAATGTTATACAAATAAATATACCAGAGAGCCAGTGTGGTGTAGTGGTGAGCAGTGGACTTGTAATCTGGTGAACCGGGTTCGCGTCTCCGCTCCTCCACATGAAGCTGCTGGGTGACCTTGGGCCAGTCACACTTCTCTGAAGTCTCTCAGCCTCACTCGCCTCACAGAGTGTTTGTTGTGGGGGAGGAAGGGAAAGGAGAATGTTAGCCTCTTTGAGACTCCTTTAAGGTAGCGATAAAGCGGGATATGAAATCCAAACTCTTCTTGTTCTACCAAGTTTTCTCATATCATTTTGTATATCACAAAAGTTGCATAATAAATGTGGGAAAATATCTACGACATGTGTTTCATTACTAGTGGTCAATGTATAAGTTCTTGGTTCATCAATTGGTTTAAGCAATTAGGAAGAAGAAGAAGAAAAAGGGGAGGAGAGGGGGAATTGCAAGGGGGTGGGGTCATTTAAGCTCTGAGTAGCAAAGCACAGGTGGATTTACAAATTCATGGGTGTGCGTACGTGTGACAAAATCCAGAGGGGTCATCCAGTTAGATGGCAGTAGATTGTAACGTCCGCCAGATTGGGGGGGGATCTCCCCCAACTGCACTGCACTGGCCCGTAATTTTGCCAGAATAAAGATGGCGACCTGGCATGCATAGTTCCCCTCATCCCTATTTCAATCACACAACAACCCTGTGAGGTAGATTTAGGCTGAGAAACAGTGGCTGTCCCCAAGGCACCCAGCGAGTTTCATGGACAAGCGGGGATTCGAACCCTCGTCTCTCGAGCTCTAGTGCAAAATTTTAACCACTGCACCACACTGGCTCTCGGTTCTGTAGGTATGCATAGGACTGCAACCTTGCAGCAGGAGCCTAAGAGATAAAACCGTGTGCACTTACGCAGCACAACGCACACACACCCCCCTCAAAAACTTAAGGGTTGCTGCAAAATGTAAATGTCGAGAAGGGTAAATTAGAGTGCCAAAAATTCTTTGAGGAAAAGAAATGTCCTTTAAAGGCATAATGTGTACGCAACCTTTTGCGTGATAAGAATATGTAAACTTTATCATGTATAGAAGTGGTTGGGGCGCAATTCTCACGAATCACTCTGCCTCCGTCCTAAGCTTTCTCCTCCCACTCCCTGCACAACCACACACCACAATATGAAAATAATAACGGACAACTTTGCAAGGAAACCCATTCACATCCGGCTCCAGTCCCACTTCCCACAGTTTAAAATGTGGAGACAGTAACACATGACAACATTACAGAGTCGTCGTAAAACATATCAGTCTTGTCACTCCTCCAATTTTGGCGAAAGGCTGTCATGGTTCCACACTTAAATTTCCTCCGCATTTTCCCTAGCACAGTCCACACTTTAAAACTCCATGTCCAAGTGCTTTTCTTCTTCTTCATTTTTGCTCTGGAGCTTTACAAACCCGTTATTTGCTGCTGAATCAGAGCAAATGACAATCCACAGAAATCCCAAATTGCCGTTTGTTGTGCTTCAGCTTTAAACAGTAGGCATTTGTAGAAAAAGCTCTGGGGCAGGGGTCAGCAACCTTCTTCAGCCATGGGCTGGTCCACTTTCCCTCAGACCATGTGGTGGGCCGGACTATATTTTGAAGAAAAGAAAAGAAATGAACGAATTCCTATGTCCCACAAATAACCCAAAGATGCATTTTAAATAAAAGCACACATTCTACTCATGTAAAAACACCAGGCAGGCCCCACAAATAAGCCAGAGATGTATTTTAAATAAAAGGACACATTCTATTCATGTAAAAACACGCTGATTCCTGGACCATCTGCGGGCCGGATTGAGAAGGTGATTGGGCCGCATCCGGCTCATGGGCCTTAGGTTGCCTACCCCTGCTCCGGGTCAGAAGAAGAAGAAGAAGAAGAAGAAGAAGAAGAAGAAGAAAGCATTAGCACATGAAGCAGAGCGGTTCCTGGAAAGTGTGGGGCAAAAGGTAAATGTGGATCAGCCCTCAGTTGCAAAGCGCATGCTTTTGCTTGCAGGAAGGTACCCGGTCTGATTGAAGAGGAAGCTGCTCCTTCTCTTCTTTGCTCCTGCCATGGCTTGTTCACTTGGACAGGCAGCAGTGGCAAGTGGGCATAGCAAGTTGAAGGAGCTCAAGAGGTTGTCCTTAAGGCTTTGGAAAGTGCCCAACAATGCTTTGTAATCTCTTGAAAATTGGGAACTATTTTCCTTATACAGTGGTGCCCCGCAAGACGAATGCCTCGCAAGACGGAAAACCCGCTAGACGAAAGGGTTTTCCGTTTTGGAGTTGCTTCGCAGGACGAATTTCCCTATGGGCTTGCTTCGCAAGACGAAAATGTCTTGCAAGTCTTGAGATTTTTTTCGCTTTTCGCCCCTTTATCTAATCTGCTAAGCCTTTAATAGCCTTTAATAGCCTTTTAGCAGCTAATCCGCTAAGCCTTTAAGCCTTTAATAGCCGCTAAACCGCTAATAGCGCTAATCCGTTAAGCCGCTAATAGGGTTGCTTCGCAAGACGAAAAAACCGCTAGACGAAGACTCTCGCGGAACGGATTAATTTCGTCTTGCGAGGCACCACTGTACTCCCAATATTTGTTTTACAGTGGTACCTCGGGTTACAGACACTTCAGGTTACATACAGACTCCGCTAACCCAGAAATAGTACCTCGGGTTAAGAACTTTGCTTCAGGATGAGAACACAAATCGTGCGGCGGCAGCAGGAGGCCCCATTAGCTAAAGTGGTACCTCAGGTTAAGAACAGTTTCAGGTTAAGAACAGACCTCCAGAACGAATTAAGTTCTTAACCCGAGGTACCACTGTATTTTATTTGGAAAGCATATACCCTCCCCAACCCTTCCAGGGCATCTGAGTTACTCAGAACAGCTTATAATAACTAAAAACAAAGCAATCCCATAAAATAAACGAAACAGCCTAAAAATGTAGGCATGCTCAGCTCATGAAAAGACTCCAGAAATGAAGCTCTGCAAGGCAAATGTTTGCTGGAATGGAAAACTTTTAAACAGTTGGCAGAAAACAGGAATTTTTCAGGCTGCACAGCAAGGTTCTGGTTTGTAAAGCTGACTGCATATTTTATCTCCTCCAGGGAGTTTTTTCCTTCCTCATTTCCATGGGTGCCAGCTGTCCCTGCATCACAAAATATTCCTATAATATTTTATGCAACTTTAATGTGCACGGCTTAACAGAACACATGCATATCATTTGCCTGTTGCATTTAATGTGTCGGTATCTGCCGTTCCACAAAGGAGTCTAGGACGACAAAAAATCTGTTCCTTCAAAAATGGGGTAGATTAGAGATACTAGACAGCATCTTAAAAAGCAGAGGCATCACCTTGCCGACAAAGGTCCGTATAGTTAAAGCTATGGTTTTCCCAGTAGTGATGTATGGAAGTGAGAGCTGGACCATAAAGAAGGCTGATCGCTGAAGAATTGATGCTTTTGAATTATGGTCTGGAGGAGACTCTTGAGAGTCCCATGGACTGCAAGAAGATCAAACCTATCCATTCGGAAGGAAATCAGCCCTGAGTGCTCACTGGAAGGACAGATCCTGAAGCTGAGGCTCCAATACTTTGGCCACCTCATGAGAAGAGAAGACTCCTGGAAAAGACCCTGGTGTTGGGAAAGATGGAGGGCACAAGGAGAAGGGGACGACAGAGGACGAGACGGTTGGACAGTGTTCTCGAAGCTACCAGCATGAGTTTGACCAAACTGCAGGAGGCAGTGGAAGATAGGAGTGCCTGGCGTGCTCTGGTCCACGGGGTTACGAAGACTAAATGACTAAACAACAACAAAGATACTAGCTAGGCTAGCATTCCCTCCAGGTGCCCTCCAGATGTTCTGGACTCCAATTCCCATCAGCCCCTGCTACATGGCTAGCAGTCAGGGATGATGGGAGTTGTAGTCCAACAGCAGCTGGAAAGCACCGTGCTTTGGAAGACTGATAAAAGGCAATTTTAATTTAGATCAATGTAAATGCAAAATAAGAGGACACTGACTCCATTTCTGTTGGAATATCGTACATCTAATATTCATTTCAGTTTTATGTTCTGACAATGCTCTGCTTTAACTTCTGATGTAAATTGCCAGTTGTGTGGAAATACAGTCCATAAATGTTGTAGCTAGAATGACTGAAGATAAATATATTTTCCTCTGGGATCATAGCTAGAGCCACGCTAGGAGGATGTGGCAAGTCTATGACCTATGTATTTTTGGCTAGAAGAGGTACATAGGAAAGATGTTTATGTGGTTACTTATGCTGAAGGGCCTCTTATTGGCAGATAAGAAACATTGTAGTTGGCACCTGTAGGGGAATAAATTATAGAGTGGGAACCAAGGCCAGCCCGAAACTTTTTGCTGGATGTTAGCAGAGCAGTGAATGTCCTGGTTCAATGCATCTCCAGCTAAAAGGATCAGGAGCTGATGGTAGGAGAGGCTTCTCTGTCCCTAGAGAACCACTGCTGCTCTGGGAGTAAAGCCCTGGGAGGCCTTTCTCTACATTGCGCCATCAGGAATCATATGCATAGAACGGGCCTTTTCTGTGGTAGCCCCCTGGCTTTGGAACTCCCTGCCCTAGTCTGCAATGTTGTCATTTCGATGCCAGACCAAAACATGGTGTTTTTTCTTTACACAGTTTTACGGATATTGAATATGTTGCTGGTGTTCGGTGGAGATATGTATGATATGCTGTAGTTTTTATGTTTTTTAATTGTGGTTTTTTTATTACTGCCCTATTTTAATGACAGTGTTGTTCCCTTGTCTGTGATCTTCAGATTAAGGGTGGGATATAAATAATAAGATACAGACAGACACCACTGCCTAGATCAGCCTTAACCAACTTGGGGCCGTCTAGATGTTTTGGACAGCAATTTCCTGCAGCTCCAACTGACTGGGATTGATGGACATTGTAGTCCAAAATATCTGGAGGCCTAGACAGACAGATAGTGGGACCTGGTTGGCAGAAAGCAGCGCTCGATGGTCTCCATTTTAACTTTTTCAAAGGTGCGAGTGCTTCGTTTCAGCATGGCCTCAGTTCCAGAACTTACAAAACATGCTCAGCCATGGAACGTCTGCACAGAGAAACGCACTTAATTTCTAAGATTGTTCTCATGGACATTTATCACTTTATAACAAGAGAAATGCCAGGCCTCAAGCTGAAAGCCACAAACTTAGACCTGGAGGTTCTGTGCCTCAGTAAATCACACACAGAAATGTGTTGTTCAACGGTAAGGGAAAAGCACTTTGTACGTGCTTAGAAATTTACCGCATTTTTCGCTCTATAAGACGCACCAGACCATAAGATGCACCTAGTTCTGAATCTCAGAAGCCAGAACAGCAAGAGGGATTATTGCGCAGCGAAAGCAGCAATCCCTCTTGCTGTTCTGGCTTCTGTGATAGCTGCGCAGCCTGCATTCGCTCCATAAGATGCACACACATTTCCCCTTACTTTTTAGGAGGGAAAAAGTGAGTCTTATAGAGCAAAAAATACGGCATTTATTTTATCCCCCCCCTGCCCCGTTGAAAAATGCAGGAAGAGACACAATACTCTTTAAGCCTTGCTTCCAAAAACAAGATTAGCAGCTGTAGGGCTCTCCACTAGCTGTTCTAAAATTTATCTCGTCCCAGTCACATTGGGAGCTGGTAGCAGCAGGAGGAATCTACGTGTGGGGGCAAAGGCCCCTTCTGCTTTCTCCACTTTGGGTGGATTTCCAGGAAATGCTCTTCTAAGCAGCTGATGCTGTTGCAACTCACAGCCTACAATCAGGAAGAAAAAGCTCCTTCCCAAGCACCAAGTTGAGCCTCTTACTAATGGTGGCTTTCCCCACCTGTTTAGTAAACTGCTGCAAGCAAAAGGCAACCCAGAAATATTTTCAAAACACCATGCTTTGAACAGATTGATTAGACACAAAAGAGGATAGAAACTCTGGAATCTTTTATAGTTTGTTTCTTAAAAGCATGTCTTTTTTAAAAAAAAAAGTTAAATATGTTTTTAAAAAATCTTATATAGTTGAGGGTTGGTTGTTGTTGGTTTTTTTTCCTGATGAGATTCCTTCTTCCTGCACCCATTAAAAGGTGCAAGAGTCTCGTTAGCCTTTCAAGGCCGGTCCTACCATTAGGAAGGTGGCAATAATGGCAGTCTCCCTGGCAGTTTTCCCACAACTACCAGTAATCAAGACCTCCCAAGTTCTAGTCAACTTTACCCCAAAATTGTCATTTTCCTAACCGCAAAGTCTTTTTCTCTTTTTAAGGTAGATCTGTTGCATTAGGGCAATGAGGTAAATCGGTAACAGCTACAAGATGGTCGGGGAATTCAGTTTCATGAGTCAAAAGTGTGGGAATGGTGCATCCAAAATAAAGTGGTACCTCGGGTTACATACGCTTCAGGTTACAGACTCCGCTAACCCAGAAATAGTACCTCGGGTTAAGAAATTTACCTCAGGATGAGAACAGAAATTGTGCTCCAGCAGTGCGGCAGCAGCGGGAGGCCCCATTAGCTAAAGTGGTGCTTCAGGTTAAGAACAGTTTCAGCTTAAGAACGGACCTCTGGAATGAATTAAGTTCTTAACCCGAGGTACCACTGTACTATGCAAACAGTTAATGCTGTAGCATAGAATCATATACTGAGGCAGTCCCCGTCCCCTTATTTGAGTTTTCAACTGTGAGCGAGTTTTAACCATGAGAGCAGCGAGTGTTAGGTGTTGTGCTGCTGCCTGTCGGATACAAATTCTTGTAAATATGCTTCAGTAACATAAGTATTACATACCTCTCTTGTACATTCAATCTGACAAAAGCAAGTACAGCCCATAAAAGTCATATGTTATTATTAAAATTTACAAGCAAGTGTTGTGTGGTTTTTCTAGGGGGAAAAGAACTATTAAAAGGGGGCAACTTATGCACAACTCTTTAAAGTAGTTTAAAGAGGCCCGTTCGCAACATGAAAAGAGTGCAACCTGCAGCGGCGCGCCTGCGCATGATGTTATTTTGCGCGTCCGCAGGATGTAACCTGAAAGAACATAACATGAAGCAGATGTAACATGAGGTATGACTGTATAATTACCACACACACACACAGAGAGAAACTCCCAACACTGTTGTTTTTTTTTAAATAATTTTTTATTAAGGTTTTAAACAAACAAAAAAGAAAAACAACACACAAAAAAAACAATACAAAACTTAACAATATAAACACAAAACAATTAATAACGAACTCTCTTTTCCATTACCAATTTTAAGTTACTTATTTTCTGGACTTCCTCATACCTCCCTCTTTTGTATTCCAATCCACAATTATTTATCCAGCAGTTTCTTTTCCACTTTTTAATCCCAATCTTTAATTTAATAAAATGTTAAAATATATAACTTCAACTCTTTTAAACCTAATCCTTGATCTTAATATCCTGTAACTTTAAAGTTTTCCCTTTTAAGATCAAATTTCCATTTCTTTAAACTTCTTTAATCTTAATCTTTAATCTTAATCTATCCTTAACTTTAACCTATGCAGCTGGAAACCACTTATTTTCAGTCCAACATCACTCTAACATTCCTTAATTTTGCAGTGTTTCTGAAGATAGTCTTTGAATTTCTTCCAGTCTTCCTCCATCGACTCTTCTCCCTGGAGAAACTCCCAACACTGTTGGGAGAGAGTGGCCGTTATGCTCAGGTCCAACTGATGGACTTCCCTTGGGCATCTGGTTGACCACTGTGAGAACAGGATACTAACTAGACACCAGCCTCAGCCAGCAGGGCTCTTTTTATGTAAAGCTGTATTAAAAATACTAATACACTCCACCAAGTGGCGGAAGCAGAAAGTGCAGAGAAAATGTGTTATCTGAACCCAGCAGACTGCATTCATTTGCATGTTGGAGAGAATCACACTTTATGGGGAGGAAATAAATGTAGCGCTATGGAGATCCTTCCATCAGAGCGAGCATTGCCGCTTACTTAATGGAGTGATTGCCTCTCTCCTTCCTCTGTATGCTCTTCTGTGGGGTGGGGGGTGTAATAAAAAATTTAAGGTCATATATATACACACACACACACACACACATATGTATAATAAATGTTCATAAATGTACCAACCAAGCATGTACATAGATATGTGGATCACATGTCTGGAGCAGCACAGGAAGACTGTCCTGAAACCATTTTGGCTGCCAAACTGACCAAATGTTTTCTCTGCAAGGAGGGAGGGGGTGAGGGAACCTTCCCATTGTCTCAGGAATTGGGTAATCACCATCTCAAAGGAATGGCCAGACTACCAGGAAAGGCAATCAAATAAGGCATTATCAGATAACCTGACAGACAGGAAAAACAACAATGTTCAAATTTCTGTTGTAGACAGCCTTTTCTGTGATGTAGGTATGATGTTTGTGGGGGCTGGCCTTGAGCTCCAGGGCAGGGAATTTAAAATGTCTGTATAAGGGCAGGCACACCTTTGTTCTGGGTCCTCCTCCTTTCCTGCATGTGAGGGGAGCTCCCTGTTGCAACAGTTCAATAAAGATCAGGCTTACTAGCTGCTTTGCTTCTCAATATTCTCTGGTTGGCCTCTGTTATTTTCTCCTACCGATAGAGAACCTACAAAGGACTCTGTAAGGGCTCTTGTGTCCCCCATAAGGGAATAAGGGCAGATTTTGTTTATTACAGGTGTCTCTAGACTCCCCCACCAAGGTGGTTGTGGGGTGAGCAGAAGGAAGTGGAAGCCCCATGGCGCTAGCAAAAGTCCTTGCACAGGCTTCCACTAGTGGGACCAGTTAGTTGAATCTGGCCCTATGTTTTACTGTTAACTGTTGGAATAAGTTAATGAACAGAAGGTTACCTGGGCTGTCCTTTCTTGCCAGCTAGTTACCCTCTGTAACTGCCAGATGCTGGTTTTCCCCAAACACAAGTGGCCTCAGGAGAGCAGCGGTCAATATATGCAGTCAGGGAGAAGGATTCCCTTTCTCTTTGCAAACAGGGGAGAAGACTGGAGAGCTGAACTTTTTCTGCAGAATGCTTGAAAAGGGCAAATGGCATATTCTCGCCTTTCCACCCTTTGGCTATTAGTGAATATACCAACGAAATTGGAATGGCAGGCGAAATTATTGGATGATGTAGTATTGGCAAAAAATGACAGGGAGAATCAGGAATCAATCCGATCAAAGGTTCAAAAGAGATTGGGATAAATACAGATTATATTTAAAAGAACATTGTAATCATATGAAATCTTTGGCGGGCTTGGAATGACTCCTGCAAAGTTATATAAATTATGGATACTGTGGATAAACATAAGGTAGATAATAAATAATATGCAGTTGATAAAGAAAACTTGGCACCCGTGATGGGGAGAGCGGAAGTCATTATAGGTGGAAGGAATATTTTATGTATAGAAATGTTTTCTTTCATGTGTGTTATTTGTTTTGTTATACTGTTGACTGGTCATATTAAAATCAATTTAAAAGAAAAAGAAAAGGACAAATAGTCAAATCACGGGTGGCTGAAATCACACCTAGAAGGAGAAGTGTCGGGCTACCCGTAGGACCTAAGACTTGTCCAAGTACAGTGGTACCTCAGGTTAAGAACTTAATTCGTTCTGGAGCTCTGTTCTTAACCTGAAACTGTTCTTAACCTGAAGCACCACTTTAGCTAATGGGGCCTCCCGCTGCTGCCACACCACCATCACGTGATTTCTGTTCTCATCCTGAAGCAAAGGTCTTAACCCAAGGTACTATTTCTGGGTTAGCGGAGTCTGTAACCTGAAGCGTATGTAACCTGAAGTGTCTGTAACCCGAGGTACCACTGTAATTTGCATTGGCTTAGAGCTGCAGAGCCACAGTAGCCTCTCTGCTGCCACCTGCTGGAGTTTGCTCTTCTTGTTGTTGTTGTTTAGTCGTTTAGTCGTGTCCGACTCTTCGTGACCCCATGGACCAGAGCATGCCAGGCACTCCTGTCTTCCACTGCCTCCCGCAGTTTGGTCAAACTCATGTTGGTAGCTTCCAGAACACTGTCCAACCATCTCATCCTCTGTCGTCCCCTTCTTCTTGTGCCCTCCATCTTTCCCAACGTCAGGGTCTTTTCCAGGGAGTTTTCTCTTCTCATGAGGTGGCCAAAGTATTGGAGCCTCAGCTTCACAATCTGTCCTTCCAGTGAGCACTCAGGGCTGATTTTCTTAAGAATGGATATGTTTGATCTTGTTGCAGTCCATGGGACTCTCAAGAGTCTCCTCCAGCACCATAATTCAAAAGCATCAATTTTTTGGCGATCAGCCTTCTTTACGGTCCAGCTCTCACTTCCATACATTACTACTGGGAAAACCATGGCTTTTACTTTACGGACCTTTGTTGGCAAGGTGATGTCTCTTCTTTTTAAGATGCTGTCTAGGTTTGCCATCGCCTTTCTCCCAAGGAGCAAGCGTCTTTTAATTTCGTGACTGCTGTCACCATCTGCAGTGATCACAGAGCCCAAGAAAGTAAAATCTCTCACTGCCTCCATTTCTTCTCCTTCTATTTGCCAGGGGGTGATGGGCCCAGTGGCCATGATCTTCGTTTTTTTGATGTTGAGCTTCAGACCATATTTTGCGCTCTCCTCTTTCACCCTCATTAAAAGGTTCTTTAATTCCTCCTCACTTTCCGCCATCAAGGTTGTGTCATCTGCATATCTGAAGTTGTTGATATTTCTTCCGGCGATCTTAATTCCGGCTTGGGATTCATCCAGCCCAGCATTTCGCATGATGAATTCTGCATATAAGTTAAATAAGCAGGGAGACAATATACAGCCTTGCTGTACTCCTTTCCCAATTTTGAACCAATCAGTTGTTCCATATCCAGTTCTAACTGTAGTTTCTTGTCCCGCATAGAGATTTCTCAGGAGACAGATGAGGTGATCAGGAACTCCCATTTCTTTGATAACTTGCCACAGTTTGCTGTGGTCGACACAGTCAAAGGCTTTTGCATAGTCAATGAAGCAGAAGTAGATGTCTTTCTGGAACTCTCTAGCTTTCTCCATAATCCAGCGCATGTTTGCAATTTGGTCTCTGGTTCCTCTGCCCCTTCGAAATCCAGCTTGCACTTCTGGGAGTTCTCAGTCCACATACTGCTTAAGCCTGCCTTGTAGAATTTTAAGCATAACCTTGCTAGCGTGTGAAATGAGTGCAATTGTGTGGTAGTTGGAGCATTCTTTGGCACTGCCCTTCTTTGGGATTGGGATGTAGACTGTTCTTCTTGCAACGCACCAACTGTTGCCGCTGCAGCCTCTCTGCTGTCACCTGCCTGGGGTTACATTTATGTACTTCAAATCACTCAGAGAGCTACCAGTTTATCCTGATCTGCCACCTGCTACCTATGTCAGAGAGAGAGAAAGAAAGGGTGCAAATGAGTGACAATTCAAAGTAAGCTTGATAAGGAGAGTGCAGCAGGTAGCCAAGAGCTCAGAAACAAGGCTGTTGTACCAGCTCAGTGTTAACGCAAACAGATGTCTTAAATAGTAGCTTTCAAACTTCCTGACTTTTCATGGATTTGTCAGCTGAGGATCTGCTGCAGAAGATTCCAGGGCAAATCCTACTGTCTTAGTTAGTGGAGGGGGGCCAGGCAGGCGCACAAGTGTAACTATAGTTTGCATAAACTAACCCCGTGCTCTGGAATACACTACACTCTCCTGAGACGAAGCAATGAAGATGATGGATCAGCCATTTAAATGGTGGGTAGCACATGTCAAAAGCACATGGTTTTCTCCCTAAGGATCCTGGGAACTGTAGTTTACCCCTCACAGAGCTATAATTCCCAGTATCCTGAGCAAAATGCGGTTCCCAGGATTCCTGGGGGGAGGAAGTAATAATAATAATAATAATAATTTTATTATTTATACTCCACCATTCTGGCTGAGTGTAATAATAAAACATCAAACATTAAAAACTTCCTGATACAGGGCTGCCTTCTGTTCCCAATGAGTTTTGCCTATTATTGCACCCAGGGCACATAACAGTGTTACCTTGGTTTACGAACTTAATCCATTCTGGAAGTCTTTTCTTAAACCAAAGCGTTCTTAAACCAAGGTGCACTTTCCCACAGCAGCGGGGGACTCAATTTACACATGGAACACACTCAACAGGAAGCGGAACCTTCTGCTTCCAAGGCAAAGTTCCCGAACCAAAACACCTACTTCAGGGTTTGCAGTGTTCTTAATCCAAGTTGTCCATAGACTAAGCTGTTCTTAAACCAAGGTACCACTGTATTCCCAAAGGGCCTTTAAGGCAGTTAACAGGTTCTGTTGAGGTCTGGATCAAATTAAACCTTTTCAATGTGCTGCAGAAGTACAGTGTGGATATTATAATATTCTGGGTTGCTGGGGAAGTATCTAGGGTGAGATCTGGGGGGACAGGCATGGGATACAGTCCTTTGCACGTGTTCTTGGGAGAGGGGTTGACAACTTCTTTCCTAACAGCCCCTGTTCCTGTGCCAGTAAAGGCAGCTTGATCTGCAGGCATTAAGAACATAGGAAGCTGCCTTATACTGAGCCAGACCATCGATCCATCTCGCTCAGCGTCATATACCAATGTTATATATTTTATGTTAGCCGTCCTGAGCCTGGTTTTGGCTGGGGAGGGCGCGATATAAATAAAAGTTTATTATTATTATTATTATTATTATTAACTAGTGGTAGCCAACATTGTGTGTGCTCAAGATGTTGCTGGACTACAACTCCCAGCAATCGCAGCCAGCCAATGGCCCGGAATGATATATGTTGTCGTCCAGTGAGAGGAAGGCACCAAGTTGGCTGCCCCGGTCTACCCTGACTGGTGGTGGCTGTCCAGAATTTCAGACACAGAGTTATAATCTAGTCCTTCCTGGGACCGTCTGCACACGAAACAGATCCTTAGCCATTGAGCTAGCCATCCCCATTCCCCTCCCACGCCAGTCAAATAAAGATGCATAAATTTCAGGGATTTAGGATATTATTATTATTATTATTATTATTTTAAAAAATCCTGTTCTTCAGCCAAGAGTCTCCCCAGAGCAGCTTACAGATCACTAAAAGGGAAAGTGGCAGCGGTGGGAATTGCAGAACTGGTGACTCTCCCATGTTCGCAATTCGTGGAGGATGAGACCAATTTATCAAAATTGGGCGAGAGTGGAGAAAGCGCCCCCCTCCTCAGCCACGCGCACTAATGGTTCAGCCCGCGGACACCCCCCCCCCCGCTCCTGACTTCGCACAATGGCTCTTTCCCGCCTTTAGTTTTTTTAAATCCCCTGAGGGACGCGCCTACGTCACGGACGCTGGGCTCCGCCCCCGCCCCTTCTTCCCCGGCGGCGGAAGTGACGCCAGGCCGGAGGCCGGGGCTTCCGGTGCGCAGGCCACAGTGGCCCGGCTACCAATGGAGGAGCCCGCGGGGAGGTGATTTTCCTTCTTCTTCTTCTTCTGCTTCTCCTCCCCATTTCCCTCTCCCTCCCCGGCTCGCTTCCGGCGGCCCCCCCGCCTCGCTCGCTGCCGCTGCGGGAGCTGCTTTCCCCCGAGTCCGCGGCCGCTGCGGCCTCTACGCCGCCCTCCCCGCACTCTGGGTGAGCGCAGAGGAGGAGGAGGAGCGGGGGGGGGTGAGCCGGGCCTTGTTTACATGGAAGGGGAGGGCGAGCGGGGAGAGGTTCCGCCTTCCTTTGGGCGGGGGGGACTGAGGGTGAGTTTCAGGGCTTGGGGTGCGGGGTTTTTTTTTGGGGGGGTCCTTTCCTGTTAGACCCACACGGGGTGGGAACCAGCGAGGGGGTCCCGGCGCTCTTCCCACTCCCACAGGCAGGCGGGTGGGTGGCTGGGGGGCAATGTTGTGGGCGAAACCTTCTCCCACCCCCGCCTTTGGGACCAGCCCACTTAGCCCTGCCAGCTTCATCATATTTTAATGTTGTATTTTAATCTTGTTTTTAAGTTCAACTTTTTTATTATTGCTTCTTAGCCGCCCTGAGCCTGGCCTTGGCTGGGGAGGGTCGGGCTATAAATCAAAATTATTATTATTATTATTATTATTATTATCCAAAGAATGTCGGCTATGCGCTCGGGCGCTTCCTGAGCCTCCCTAGAGAAAGGGAAAATGGGGAGGGGGATGGTGGGAGAGGTCCGTTGTAGGTTATTGGTGCCGGAGCTGCCTCTTTGTCCATGCACTGTGTTCCTTCCCACCACCACCACTCGCATGCGAATTGATTTACACCTCCCCTCCCTGCACCTGCCTCGGCATCAGAGTGGCTGCTCTAGCGTTAGGTATTACTGCAAGTGGGTGCTAAACGTTTTAAGTTGGCCTCCCTCAACCTACCGTAGTCACCCACGTGTGTCCAAAACATCTGGGATGGCAGCAGGCTGGAGTAGGCTGAAGCTTAAGTAGTGCCACCTGCGTGTGAGTCTGCGTATGTGAGTCTGCGTACAGGTTATGCAAATACAGTGGTACCTCGGGTTAAGTAATTAATTCGTTCCGGAGGTCCGTTGTTAACCTGAAACTGTTCTTAACCTGAAGCACCACTTTAGCTAATGGGGCCTCCTGCTGCTGCCGTGCCACCGGAGCACGATTTCTGTTCTCATCCTGAAGCAAAGTTCTTAACCTGAGGTAATATTTTTGGGTTAGCGGAGTCTGTAACCTAAAGCGTATGTAACCTGAAATGTATGTAACCCGAAGTACCACTGTAATATCTTTTGGAAGGAAGCAAAATGTGTGTATTGCAGTAGACATACAGTCTACATTTAACTGTTCATAAGATGGGGGAAGGGTATCACCACAGAGTATTTAGCAGCAGATGAAGTCTGTGCGGAAAATTATTTAACTTTTATGTTTTGTGTGTACAGGTAGCATTTGCAATGTGGTACAGAAGGCACTTCCAAGTGGAAGCTTTTGCCTAGGCAGGTTTGAATGTGTGAGCTTTGCTTCTTGAGCATAGTTAACTGCCATACAGACGTCTTTGTCAACTTCAACTAAGTCTGTGTCCCAGCCACATTTGCATAATTTGCTGGGACTTGGGTAGTTAAGGGATAGGTTGCTACAGAGCAGGCCACTTTGCTTTTGTTATGTTAGGTGGTCCCTATTCTGAAAGGAATACTCTTGATTTAGTGAGGAGTTATTTTACAGAGCGGGGGCGGGGGAGAGAATCTGTGGGTTTCCAGGTGTTACTGGTCTGCTACTCCCATAATCCCTGGCCGGAAATGATGAGAGCTGAAGTCCAACATCATTTGGAGAGTCACAGGTTCACTGTTTCTTCTCAAGAGTTATGTAATTATTTGCTTCTGATTGAAATTTTCCCTTGTGTGTGGATATTACTTAAAGTAGCTTTGGACTAAGGCTCATAATTGTCACAAATTATTTCTGGATATATATAGTATTCATGGGTAGTTCTGTCTCCTGAAGGCATTGTATAATCTTCTTTTAAAACTGGGCATTTCATACTGTAGATAAGTGCTCAACACAAATTTCTTACATTCTCCATGATACATTGAGCTGATCTTGTATGTCAGAGCTGTGTCAAAGCATTCAAAGGACCAGTCACCTTTCAAAAAACGAAGTTTCTCTGTAGTTGTTTCACTATCCGAGTCAAGTTGTTGTAGCAAAATAATTGCAGTAGTCTTAATGTCCTAATCTGGCATACCTAGGTTTGGGAACAGATATTGAACTACTGTTACCCATGTGGATAATAGAATTCCTTGGTCCAATTCATGTCACACTACAGTTTGCCTAAGACAACTGAATCTAGTACAGAGTTAATCAGTTCCTAGCGGCTACTGTTGACAGTAATGAAAACAAACAGGTGCAGGACAAGAGACTGATTTGGAGCAGGGGGAAGTGTCTGATCCCAGAATTCAGATGTGAATGTATTGGGCCTCCTTCTCCAATCTGGTGCCCGCCAGATGTTTAGTATTACATCAGGTTGGAGAATGCTGGTACAAGCAACCCCTGATTTGAGTGGGAGTTGTGTTCCTGGCCCCTGTGTGCATCAGGGGAGTGCACATAAGCCTGTTCTGCCCTCTTCTGGGTCCAAAACAACCCCTGTGCCAGTGGTCACACATCAATTGAATGTGTGCTAAATAGTTGCCACCTGTATTGGGCATCTGTGTCCCCTTACACTGTGTTGACTGTCTCTCATGTAAATAAACATTGGATGTAATTTTTAGTAGAATCCTGTGGAATCTACAAAATCTGTAGAATCCTGGAAATTGACCAATTAATTCTTATTTTATTTACTTAAGACATTTCTTCACTTCCCTTTAGCCACAAAGGCTCTTAGAGCAACTGACTTAACCAATGATAAGATGATGCCTTCCCTAAGGCTTGCAATCTAAAAAGACATGGCATAGGAGGAAAAAAGAATGTGAGAGAGCAGGGAAAGCAAACTCAGGCACAAGCTCTTATAATGCACTTACATGGTTCTGTCTGTGAAGATTCTGGATGTCCAGAAGAGCAGCAACTTCTTGCCTATGCCAGCTGTCTTGCCCTTGATAAAGAGAAGTCCTTCCCCAGGAAGCACTCTTCCTCACCCAGCTCAGATGTGGGAGCAGAGCAGGCGACAGTGTCCACGCCAAAAGATATGGATGGCGCACAGTTCCTCAAGCAGCTGACTTAATGGCATTGGAATCTTCACATGAGAGGGCTTGATGGAGCCACCATCCTCTCTTGCCAAAGGCGGTGGCAGTTCTGGCTGTCTTGGCCTCAACAAACAACAATCCCACCTTGGCAGTACCTGTCTCCCAGATCAGATCTGGAAGCAGAGCAGCAGGAGACAGTGTCCAGGCCAAGAGGACGGGGGCTGTTCCTGCCACACCATCCCAAAGACTACAAAGACAATGTGGTTGCTGTAGTCGTGTATGGGTAGCACTTTGCAGTACTTCAGGCATCTTAAACGTATTACCATTCCAAGGATCAGGGCACTATATGAACTAAAGAGTGTGGCATAATCAGTTTTTATACAACAGAATTTTATTCACTAACAAAGGATTGAAAGAGGCTTGGATTCTGAAGGGAGAAAGCATCCAAATAGTCTTTTACTAGAAAATGAGGATTGTATTAAATACTTGTTCTCTCATGTAACTGACCTTCCCACATAATGTTTCCATGTTGACTAGTTCCTCTGGCAGTTGCTCTAATTTTTTTCAGAGTGCCTGCCTCTGGAAAGCATATGTAAGTTGGCCTTTTTAGTAGTGTGTTAAAATTTCAGGTATAGTATTGCCATTGTTGTATGCTCTAGACAAAAAAAATAAATCAATATTCTACGACAGCATGAAGCCTGAATAGAAATTTCTCTCATGTTTCCCCTTTATATTCCATTAGTTTATACCAGGGTTGGCCAACTCCCAAGAGACTGCGATCTACTCGCAGGATTAAAAACTGGCAGTGATCAGGGCGAAGCTGTTGAGCTTTTTTTTTTAGGGAGGAAGAAAGCCCCGTGTTTTTTGGAGAAAGAAAGAGGAACAGCCACTCGCCAACGGATCGCTTGGGAGTACAGTGGTACCTCAGGTTACATACGCTTCAGGTTACAGACTCAGCTAACCCAGAAATAGTACCTCGGGTTAATAACTTTGCTTCAGGATGAGAACAGAAATCGTGCTCTGGCGGCGTGGCGGCAGAAGGAAGCCCCATTAGCTAAAGTGGTGCTTCAGGTTAAGAACAGTTTCAGGTTAAGAACGGACCTCCGGAACGAATTAAGTTCTTAACCCGAGGTACCACTGTATATTCTTTCTGTGGCTCCCCTCTGGGGAAATGTGCTCCGAGCCTCAGAAGCCCAGTTATGTCACCCCTTGCCTGCAGAGCTGGCAGCCCCATACCTATTTTCAAACACTTCCCCTTGTGGAGTGTTCCCTCAGCCTCCCCGTCTCTCCTCACCCTTGGCCAGCCCCAGGGGCACCATTTGTCTGGGGACCTTGTAGCCAGGGCTGCTGCAACAAACAGCCACTCCAGCCTTTGGAAGGCAGAGATGGGAGAGGGCATCAGAGGAGGGATGGGAGGAAAGAGGGATGGAGGCCAGTGTTGCCTGCGGCACCCCTGACCATCATTCAAGGCACCCCTGGGTGCCCAACACACTGGTTGAAAACCGCTGCTGTAACTAATGATTGCGAGTGTTACTAAAAGCTAGTAATTATCCATTTTCTTCTGCTTTCTGACAAATATCTACTGCCACAGAGAAAGAGTAACATACGCGCTTGATGTAATGCTGCTCTCCTGTGTGTAGTTCTTACCTATGTGTAGTTCTTTAGCCTTAAACCATGGGTGGGGAACTAGCAGTGGGTAGAACAACAAGTGTAAATGCCTGGGGGGAGTCCTGAGGACCAGATAGGGAGGCTTGGAGGGCTGCACTTGTTCCCTGAGCCTGAGGTTCCCCACCCCTGCCTTTAAACAGAACTAGTTTACACCAGGGAGAAGAGTTGATGGAGGAAGATTGGAAGAAATTCAAAGACTACCTTCAGAAACACTGTAAAATTAAGGAATGTTAGAGTGATGTTGGACTGAAAACAAGAGGTTTCCAGCTGTACAGGTTAAAGTTAATGATAGACTAAGATTAAAGATTAAGATTAAAGATGTTTAAAGAAATGGAAATTTGATATTAAGAGGGAAAATTTTAATGGTATATGATATTAAGACCAAGGATTAGGTTTAAAGAAGTTGAAGTTATATATTATAATATTTTATTAAATTAAAGATTGGGATTAAAAAGTGGAAAAGAAACTGCTGGACAAATAATTTGGACTGGAATACAAAAGAGGGAGGTATGAGGAAGTCCAGAAAATAAGCAACTAAAAAACGGAAATGAAACAGAGATATTGTTTTTAAATTGTTATGTTTCTTGTATTTTTATTGTTGAACTTTGCTTTTGTTTTTTTTTTGTTTTTTGTGTTTTTGTTATATGTATTGTGTATGTTTTTCCTTTATTTCTTTGTTGTTTAAAACTTTAATAAAAATTACTTTTAAAAAAAAATAAACAGAACTAGTTTACTTAAAGGCTAGGCGAGAAACAGATCTGTGCTTTTAAAAAAGAATATTGTAGAGCTGGGGAAAGTTCAGAAGAGGACAACCAAGATCAAGGGGCTGGCGCAACGCTACTATAATGAAAGGTTACATACAACCTTTGGGGCGGCTTTAGGAAAGAGGTGTACAAATCAGACACAATGCGTAGTCTTTCCCCCTCTTACATTACGCTAGAGTCCCCAGATTAATCTCGGCAGCTAAATGGTGGAAGATTCCAGGCAGGCAAAAGGAAAAACGACATCACACCACGCAGTTGAACTGTGGAATCAGCTGCCACAAGATGTAGTGAAAGGGGGAAAGCTTTAAAGGGGGATTAAACAAATTTATGGAAGATAAGGCTATGTGTGGCTACTAAGGATGATGGCGGTGCGCTGCCTCCAGTCTTGAAGGCAGTACAGTGGTACCTCGGGTTAAGTACTTAATTCGTTCCAGAGGTCCGTTCTTAACCTGAAACTGTTCCCAACCTGAAGCACCACTTTAGCTAATGGGGCCTCTCGCTGCCGCCACTGCCACCGGAGCACGATTTCTGTTCTCATCCTGAAACAAAGTTCTTAACCTGAGGTACTATTTCTGGGTTAGCGGAGTCTGTAACCTGAAGCGTATGTGACCCGAGGTACCATTCTATGCCTTTGAACACCATTTGCTGGGGTCACAAGCAGTGGAGTGCTTTTGCACTAATGTGCTGCCTATGAGCTTCCCATAGGTGCCTGGCTGGTCATGCTGAGAACAAAGCTAGGCTAGATGGGCCTTTTGACCTAATCCTCCAAGGCTGTTCTTAGGTTGTTATAGGGTATGTGTGTGGACTTTTCCCTCTTCACCTTTCTCACATGGCGTAAGTCCACAGTTTTATTCCTAGGCAGGTATATGGGGATAACCCCATAGGGCATGGGTAGGCGAACTAAGGCCCGGGGGCTGGATGCGGCCCAGTCGCCTTCTAAATCCAGCTCCCGGATGGTCCAGGAATCAGTGTGTTTTTACGTGAGTAGAATGTGTCCTTTTATTTAAAATGCATCTCTGGGTTATTTGTGGGGCGTAGGAATTTGTTCATATTTTTTTTCAAAATATGGTCCAGGCCTCCCCCCCCCCAAGGTCTGAGGGACAGTGGACTGGCCCCCTGCTGAAAAAGTTTGCTGACTCCTGCCATGGGGAATTGATTAATGGTGGTTGTAATAATGGGGTGGAAAAGAGAAGGAACTTGGATGAGTGGGAGTGAGGAAGGGGACTGATAATCTCCTTAGTACTGTTTGCAAGACTGATATAAAGGATTTGGCTGTGGCACATTTTGAGGGTACTTGAACAAATTTGTGGTCGTTTAGCATTTATCTTTTGATCTTCATTCTCTTAAGCTGAAGGAAGCTGGCGGAGCTCAGGACAGGGCAAATCAAAATGCATGTTGGAGTGACCGCAATACCTACCTAACATACCGGTACTATAAAATTAAGGGATGGGAAATACTATGCGTTAACTGAGATTTTTCTCCCCATGATTTGCATTCTGGAATTTTATAGTTATATTTCTCACTGTTACTGGCTAATTTACAGTTGTGAATTTAAAAGAATCATTAAAATAGAGGTGCCGGTTCTAATGTGTGTGTGATGGACTAGCTTTTATTTAGGCAAATATAATAGAATATTACTGCCTTGTATAGGAAAGTCCCTGCTATGGTTTTATAGTCAGATGGGTGCATTATGTTCTCCAGTGTAACTTGTTAAGTTGCCTTGAGGATTATTTGGGATCAGAAGCCAAGAAGTAATATGGAGTTTAGAGAGTCTCTGGAAGCAATCATAAGGACATTTTCCCGGTCTAATTGAAATAGCTGATATTTATTTCCAAATAAACATGCATAGAGCCAGATTGTGTTTGATATTTGACTGTGTTTTCCTGCATTTAAATGGTTTATTTTTTATGGATGTAAACCAACTCTGAGGCTGGAGCTGAGTGTATACTCCACTAGACCAGTGTGAGAGAAGTGTAGTATTTAATTCTGGCCTATTTTATGCACCTTAATCAGTAATTCTGATTTACTTATTGTGTTGATCAGAAGATGTAAGTTGCAGCTTGCTAAAGCCGTGATTTGCTCATTTTGCTGATGAGCTCTTTAGAGAATGCTTCTAGTCATGGTTGCTAGCAGTAATCAAATGTAAATAGACAAGTAAGTAAGTAAATATAGGTATAGATAGAATTCTGCCTTTAGCTATTCTGATATCTCCTAAGGATTAGTGTGCTTTTAAATAGATAATATGAGAGGCTAAGCCTGGGTCTTCATTAGTTGCTTTGCTAATAATTTCCTGCCTTCTGAGCTTGGAATATTTGATGTGTTAATGTGATAACTTTTGGTGTGCTTATCTTTCAGTCCTTGGGCAATAGGCAGGCATATCTCTCCATTTCACCATTCAGCTATTAATTCAGCCAGCTTGCTTTTCAGCTGTGAAGCAAGGGGATGGTGACACTTTAAAAGGTCATGGGAACCTGAGTTATGTACTGTCACTGCTTCTGCGTAGAATTTAGTACCATTAGTTATACAGAGGTGCAGTTTTTGCCCAGAAAGGTTATCATCCGGATGAGGCAATTATATGGCAGATGCGAAAGTTTGGGGAGGGTAAACGGGGCGGTACTTCAGAGAGGCCTTTGCCGAAAAGTGACTTTTGGAAGCAGGAGGTAGAGAACAGACGTATGTGTACAGAACACCATGGAGAGGAGGTGCAAAGAAAGTAAAAATGAATTTTATTTGAACAGTTGTGAGATATTGGAATCCTTACATATAGCAATATAGAAAGGTGGTATACGAATTAAAAGTGAAATTTAAAAAATGAAAAATAAATCCTGGATCCAGCCCTGTGGTCAGATCCAGTTTCCCAATGCTGCATCAAACTGAAGTTCAGGCCATAGGGATAGGGGTGTAACCAGTCAACTTGGAAGCATGTGGACAACCTGTCCTGGGTAGAGTTGCCTTCCTCCTAAAGTACAAGCCATCTTTGACTGGTTGCCTTATCTCCTCTCAAGTAGGCATCAACAGGTTTTCAGCTTGGAGGAGCTCCTTGGAGCCTGCCTTTCTACTTGATGCACACTTGGCAGCTGTCATCAGGATTTCCTTATTCAGCTACACCAGCTCTGCCCCCTAGGAAGAGTCAGCCTTGCAAACTGTAATGGACTTGACACAGGGCTGTCTTTGAAGGCTGCTGAGGAACTTCGACTACTCCAGCATGCAGTGGCTAGTTTGTTAACGAGATTGGGCCAAGCGTGCCATATTGCACTGATCGTCAGTGAGCTGCACCACTTATTTTTGAAGCACTACTCAAAGTGTTAAGGGACGCGGGTGGTGCTGTGGGTTAAACCACAGAGCCTAGGACTTGCCGATCAGAAGGTCGGCGGTTCGAATCCCCGTGACGGGGTGAGCTCCCGTTGCTCGGTCCCTGCTCCTGCCCACCTAGCAGTTCGAAAGCACGTCAAAGTGCAAGTAGATAAATAGGTACCGCTCTGGCGGGAAGGTAAACGGCGTTTCCGTGCGCTGTTCTGGTTCGCCAGAAGCGGCTCAGTCATGCTGGCTACATGACCCGGAAGCTGTACGCCGGCTCCCCCGGCCAATAAAGCGGGATGAGTGCCGCAACCCCAGAGTCGGTCACGACTGGACCTAATGGTCAGGGGTCCCTTTACCTTTACTCAAAGTGTTAATTTTGATCCATAAAGTTATGTGTACATGGCCTGAAGGAATGCTTTCTCCGTTGTGTTCTCTCCCCGTTTTTGCAGGTCTTTCGATGAGAGACAGCTGAGGGTGCTGCTACCATCAGATGCCTGGCCCCGACTGTGCCTCTGGGCATCCCTCTCCACTCCTTTAGAAGGATCAGAAGTGGAGTTAGGTTTAGAAGACCTTTAGAAAGACTTTTTGTCCTTTGTGAAATAATTTAATGAGAGCTGAAATACTGGAAACCCTTAACACTTCTAAGTGGGCAATTTGAATGTCTGCTGTTAAGATTTGTTATGTTTTGATTATTTTAAATTGGGCTATTTGCATCTGTATGGTGTAGTGTACAGTTTTTAGTTTTCGTAAGCTGATTTTCTCTCTCTGTTAGAAAACAAGGTACAGACTGAAACAAATACAAATTAGCACAATTAAAACAGAAGATGGATATATTTCTGTGGCACTTTTCAGAGTACAAAGTCTGTTGCAGTTCTTTTCCCACTCAGATTTGCAGCAGCTGGAGCCCTGTGAGGTAGACTGAATAGGGGGAGTGAGGCATGGAGCAGGAATCTGAACATGCCTCCTGAAGCGACCTGGGCATAGGAATAATAAGCATTCAGTGTCTTACAAAAAAAGTGGTCTGCCTTCATTGTGTATGAACATCACTACTTACTGTTTTAACTTTGTTGAATTCCCGCACTGCCCCCCCCCATATGAATTCTGTTGTTCTTGTCTGGCTATTTGCAAGCATTTTGTGGGCATTAAACTTACTCATATATTTTCCTCTCCCCCCCCCCTTCCCCTGCCCCAAATTTAGGAGGCAGAGAAGTCAAATGAAGTCAAAAGAGCGATAAGAGTTGTTGAAAAAGAAACGGACGTTACTCTCCTGCTCCGCAGTTTGGCTGAGCACTAAGATGTCTGTGGACATGAACAGCCAGGGCTCTGACAGCAATGAAGAGGACTATGATCCAAACTGTGATGAGGAGGAAGAGGATGAAGAGCCTGGGGACATTGAGGATTACTATGAGGGGGTGGCAAATGACGTGGAGCAACAGGGAGCAGATGCCTTTGACCCTGAGGAATATCAGTTTACCTGCCTGACTTACAAGGAATCGGAGAGTACCCTGAATGAGCACATGGTCAGCTTGGCCTCTGCATTAAAGGTGAGCAGCACTGTGGCATGCGATGAAGGTGCACCTTTAAGGCTGCAAAACGGACAAGGAAAACTTGAACCGCTTGGTCTGCCATCAGAGCTGTAAGTGAAACATGACCAAAACTGCTGTGGATCTGGGGTGGCTGTGTTTCCAGTTTCGCTTTGTGTGTGTGCCCCTTTTCACAGAGCACAAGTACTTTAATACTCGTGGGCACCAAATATGGCTGAACTCTCCTTTACTGACTTCCTAGTACTTAACACAGGCATAGGCAAACTCGGCCCTCCAGGTGTTTTGGGACTACAATTCCCATCATCCCTGACCACTGGTCCTGTTAGCTAGGGATGATAGGAGTTGTAGTCCCAAAACATCTGGAGTTTGCCTATGCCTGACTTAACACTTCTTGTTTAAAAAGTTTCTAGTGCTCAGTGCTGTATATTTTTGTGGTGGTGTCTGTTCCAGGCTTAAGGTCAAATGGGATTTGGGGTAGGAGTTCTCTCCCTTTTAGTCACTGTTCATACTGTGGCTCCCCTTTCTTCCCATGGTCTTTCAATGCTAATCTCCTTATCTGTAGTAACATCTTTGCAAATGCATCTCATCTTCACTTGCCACTGCCGTTTAAGTCCTTTCTAAAATGACTGCTGTAAAAAGCAGTATTGCAGTTGGTATAAACTCTGGTGAACTGCTGACATAATTATCTCTTTCATAGACCCCTTTCTTTTGCAAAGCATCTCAAAGGAGAAAGTCAATTGCACCTGTCCTAAGAGGATGAAATCTAGAATAAATAAGGCAAAGTGTTTTGCTGTGCTAGCTTGCATTAAGCAAAATGGTAGCTCTTGATCTGAGCTTCATTTTGGGTTGCTTAAGACTTCTCAGTGCAACTAGAAAGCACTGAATTTGTAATTCTTTGTTGCATCATAATTGGGTCTTACTTCTGCAATGCACATTTGGCCCCAGAAGTTATTGCAAAGAGGAAGCCCAAGATGATATGCAACTAACTGAGGAGCTAAAATAGATTCCAAGTGAGTACATGGAGAAAAGACACGTTAAAAGTTCCAGTTCAGCAATTTGATAATGTGTTGTGCATCTTAAGGAGAAATAATCATAGACTTCAGGAGAAGCAGACTGGGTCTCCTGAAATCCTATAATTACCATGACAAATGGATTGTTAGAGGTAGGCGCTGTTGCCTGCTGCTGTACCAGTGACTAATTGCTCATGGGGGGGGGGGGGAGACAATTTCTATGTGTGTTGAAGGGAAGAGAACAATAATCTGTAAGTATTTGGTTAATACTGCTTGGGCAGTAGCCTTAATCTAGAAGCTTTCAAGGCCTTTTGCAGATGCTCAGTTCAATTTCTGAGCAGAAGCCAGCATTTGACACTTGGTGCAAGCCATCTGGCATAATCGTGACACATAGTAATGAACTGCCATGAACTTAAACCACTAACAAATCTTATCACCAAGAAAGTAATGCACAGAATAGGTTTCTGTTGCTCATCTTCTAACAGCACTATAGACACTTGAAACCTCGCCTAATATTCACCAGGCTAAGAGTTATGAACCAAATGAAACTCTGGACACAATAAATTCTGTGAAGCTTAAAGGTAAAGGTACCCCTGCCATTAGGTCCAGTCGCGGACAACTCTGGGGTTGCGGCGCTCATCTCGCTCTATAGGCCGAGGGAGCCATCAAGACATAATTGAGAACGGCAGTCTTGTTCTGTATGCGCACATTAAGTGCCTGATGTTCCTGGAAAGGACAGTGGAGCTCTGAATTCTCTGAAGGTGTGCTAATAGATGCATGGCCCACTTCCACACTTAAAAGTTCATAGCTTCATTGTGGAATCTTACTTGCTCTTTAGAAGCTGTTTTTTTCAGGGGTCTCCTTCCTCAACTTTTGAACTGCCATCTAGATTTGACAGCGGAAATAACCTAGATTCTTAATTGGCATTGTGCTCTTCAAATGCATTGTCAAGCTGCATTCCCTTCGGCAGGAAAGAGGATATATTTCTCAGCTAAGCCAAGTTTGAGGCAATTCACGGGGAAGAAATCAAGCAGTTGTAACTCTGGGAATGGTTCTAGTGTGCTGCCTTGCTTTTCTCCAGCCTGCCAAAAAGAGGTGAAGGCAAAGCCTCTATTAATTGGAGCTGGTGCTTTTTAGCCAGGCTCACTTCCCATTTGGCTAAATGATATTCTGGATATCATTATATGAGCAGCCTCCACTGAACCCCGGGAGCCTTCTAATTACAAACGTGTCATGCTTTGCAATTACCGCTATGTCACCTTAGATACCTTGAGCAATTATTTTTAGCAGTGCTTAAACCGTGCTGTGATTATGGCCACCTAAACAGCTTTGATAATCCTGAGCTAATCCTTTTGTGACTGCTTCTAGTGTGTTGTGCTGCCAAATTGGTCCTTCAGAGACCTGCCTTGGTTGGCTGCTTTATTTGTCACGTTGGAAACAGGGTCCGCATCAGCATCTTGGCAGGTCTGGCCAACAGCTACCACCAGTGCTTTGCTGCTGCTGCTGCTCAATGCCCTCCCTATCTTTCTCTTTGCAGCGACAGAGCCAGCTCATTATTCCCCCCAACACTGCATCCCAATTCCTTTTGCTTCCCCCCCCCCACCCCTCTTACTTAAAGCTTTTTCTGCCGCTTCCTCATAACCTGGACTCTGAGAAAAGGCCAAATAAGTGAGGTGTTCTGGGATAGGTGACCACAAGAATGTTTACTTGGGGACTAGGAAGACTTTTTAACCTGGAACTTTTAAAACGCAGAATGCAGAGCCCAGGGAAGGCAGCAGGAGAGAAGGTCGATGGTCGCCCAGACTTTGCACACGAGAGCCAGGCTTCCCTCACAAGCAGTGAGCACACATTGGAGCTGGAGACACTGTGTTTCACTATACTTTTTAGGCAGAAATCAAGTTAGATAAACTTGTTTAAGGGTCCTTGTTGAGTTGGCCTCCCCTAAGGTCAACAATTAAGGTAAAGGTAAAGGGACCCCTGACCATTAGGTCCAGTCATGACCGACTCTGGGGTTGCGGCGCTCATCTCGCTTTATTGGCCGAGGGAGCCGGCGTACAGCTTCCGGTTCATGTGGCCACCATGACTAAGCTGCTTCTGGCAAACCAGAGCAGCGCACGGAAACACTGTTTACCTTCCTGCCAGAGCAGTACCTATTAATCTACTTGCACTTTGATGTGCTTTCGAACTGCTAGGTTAGCAGGAGCAGGGACCGAGCAACGGGAGCTCACCCCGTCACAGGGATTCAAACTGCAGACCTTAATAATAATAATAATAATAATAATTTATTACGGCCGTAGGCCCCTACCGATAAAAACAAGACATAAATAACAACCTGTGCACATGGGAAAAAACAGCCACTAAAACACTACTATAACAATAAACTGCTATAAGATGGGATGGCATACTACGCCTTAATTAGCTTGTGGTGCTCCTTGGCAACGCTTTTGAGTAAGGACAGCGACCAGGAACCTAGCCACTTTCAGGGTCGTATGGGTATCCTTATCCTGCAAGATTTGGGCAAGGTGGAATTTTGGTGGAGTACCCTCTAATTTCTGTATGATTGATCCCAACAAATTTGCCCGTGGCACCTTGAATAAGGGGCAAGTGAACATAATGTGCTGAAGCGACTCCGGCATCTCCTTATCACATTCGCACATGGCGGAGGTTTGGCCCTTTGAGAATCTATGTCTCAGGGCATTGGAGGGAAAACATTAAACCTCGCTTTGGTGAAGGCAAACTGCAGACCTTCTGATTGGCAAGTCCTAGGCTCTGTGGTTTAACCCACAGCGCCACCCGCGCCCCTCAAGGTCAACAATTATCCTTGTTCTAACATTTAAAAGAGATCTGTTCTTTCCTTTTTCAATTATCTTAGTCCTTGTTTTGGTATGCTGTCGTCACTCTGCATAAAGAAAAATTTAATGTCTCGTAAAGCAAAGTTTCAGGATGTCTGGTCTGTTTCCTTGGCAAGCCTGAATATAGTGCTATCGGGAAGACCTGAGCCTCTTCCTGGGGGGTCACCACTTACCCGGCAATCTTGCGTAGCTATATTTGCACAAAGGCTACTTTGATACCTTTCACTTCCTTCTTGTTTGACTGGGGAAATGAGCCACAAGTGTACAGAGGCAGTTCAAAATCCATCCTACTTCTCTTTTGATTTATGGAACCCTAAGGCTTGTGGATTTGCAAGAAGTAAAAATCTTGTCTCACAGCAGTTGGATCTTGGCAGCATGTGGCGAGCGGGGGAAGCACAGGAACATATTTTTTGACAAACCTGGGAATTTAACTTGATTTTATGGCTAGGCTAGGTAATGGAGTATTGATAACTGTGTAACACAGTTTCCAGCGGGGTAGCTATTTTTGTCTCTTGCAGCACTACCATAACAGTCTCATGGCACCTTTAAAGTCTAGGGGTGAGATCAGAAGGCAGTGGATGCAAGTTCTTCCTCCTCCCCTGTAGCTTCCACAACTGGCTCTGAGCATCTCTACAGAGCATGTTTGGGGGCTGCAGGAGGAAGAGGAAGGGAAGTCCTCCATGCACAAGCAGAATGCCAGTCTTAGACTGTATTGCCCTAGCTTTTGTTATGGCACAAGCTTTCTTACACTCATGGCTGGGGGTTTTTGTAGTGGAATGCAGAAAATGACAGACTGTGTTAATTATGTTATTAATAGCCGCCATTCACAGAAAGCAGCATTTAACAACAGGCATCTTGGCATTAAGGGACGCGGGTGGCGCTGTGGGTAAAACCTCAGCGCCTAGGACTTGCCGATCGTATGGTTGGCGGTTCGAATCCCCGCGGCGGGGTGAGCTTTCGTCGTTCGGTCCCAGGTCCTGCCCACCTAGCAGTTCGAAAGCACCCTTAAGTGCAAGTAGATAAATAGGGACCGCTTTGTAGCGGGAAGGTAAATGGCGTTTCCGTGTGCTGCGCTGGTGCTGGCTCGCCAGCTGCAGCTTCGTCACGCTGGCCACGTGACCCGGAAGTGTCTTCGGACGGCGCCGGCTCACGGCCTCTAGAGCGAGATGAGCATGCAACCCTAGAGTCGGACATGACTGGCCCGTACGGGCAGGGGTACCTTTACCTTTATCTTGGCATTGGTAAGCCAATTAACACATGCAGTGTGGTTTCAGTCCACAAGTGATAGGGTTGAACCTCTTGATGTGTTGAGTTCAGTGGTTTCACATTGCAGTTTCCTTCTGAAGTTCCTTTGTTCAAGGCTGGTCATCTTAAAGTTTGTGACATTATAGCATCCAGGAAATGTTCCACTGCTGGGGTTTTTCTAAAAAAAAATCCATTTCTGTTTAAAGATTTGTGCCCATTCATGCTTTTACATAAAGTGGCCTGGTTGCCCTACGTAGAATGCAAAGGGGCATTGTCGGCAGTTGACATATTTCATATCATTTTTGTTTTATTTATTAAATTTATATTCTGCCCTTCCTCCCGAAGCAGCCCAGGGCAGTAAACAGATCCACAATTAAAAAACTAAAGCATTCTGAAACAAACACATATTTTTCCTGCTGTGTGTCAAGTTAGGGTGTACAATTACATTAAATACATACACTTCAAAGGCAGCAGACCTTTTGTGCATGAAACAAAACAGGACAGAATGGACCTATGATTGAATGCCGATGAGACTGAAACGAGAACCCATCTCTACTCTGAATTAATAGGCTGATGAGCACTTGTGCACAAGTGGTCAAACTGCAGAAATGGTTGTCACGCTGACATTTAATTTGTTCCATGACGTATGGACTTGGGCTCAGAAAGAGTGTAAGCAGCAGCTGGAGTAAAAGCATCTCTATCCCTGGTTGTTGGGACCAAGTGGTCACTTCATTTTTTGCATTTTTACTATAGTACTATACTCAAATATGGTTTACAACCCATAGAAACAGGCTGTACTGCCTTTAAAGTTTTTTTTTATCCTGTTGTGATGTTTTGTGAGAGGGTGATGTAAATACTTTCATAAGTTAAAATTATAAAATTGCATTTTATTTATTTGTTTGTTTAATATCCCACCTTTCTTCCAGGGCAGGACTCAAAAGCAAGGCAGCTCACAGCATACATTAGTTTAAAACCAGGCACAACTAAAAACATGCAAGAAATATAAATGTTTAAAAGCAGGTAAATAAGTAACCCTGCATAATAAAATACATATTTCAAATGTTGCCATCTTTTAAAAAAATTCAGAATGGATCTAAATACAAGCTAACAAATTTTTGCCGTTCACTTATAAATACTATTTGCATATATTTTGTTGATTTTATCCTCTAACAAGAAAACAAAGCCACCTGCTATCAACTGCAAGAAACCCAGGACAACCTCAGCAAAAATATCATGCACAAATGCCACGGAAGCCATGCAAAGAGCGCAACTGCTGAATCCTGCCCTATGGAACCTGTCTCTGCACAACAGCACCCAAACCACCAGACTAAGACATTTCTATTTACCCAGATTTTTGGTAGTTAAGGTAGCCTCTAGGGTGGGGTAGAACGTGTCCTACTTACTGTGTTGTTGCATGAGCATTTTAGGAGTTTTGTTATTGGACATTGTGTTTAAAATTTTCCAGCTTTTAACTGATTTTATCTATTTGCATTTTGTCTTAAGTTGCTTTGAGCCTTTATTTTGTATAAAGCAACTGACAAATGCTGATAGTCGTAATAATAATAACAATAATAATAATAATAATAATAAACAAAACCAACACACGTCCAGTTGCTCAGCTGCTGCTTATCTTTATGGCTGCCCTTTTCCCACATGGTCAACAGTTTGCCAGTTAATCTCTAGTTTTGAATTGTGAATTGCTGCTGATAGTGGTTACAATTAAAAAAAAAATTTCATACCAATGGGTTGTATTAAACGGAGTAATTTTTAGTTACTCATTCTTCTGAATGTCGCAACATCCGGAGAAACAGGGAGGAATGGCTTTGAGCGTGAAATTGAGCTGCAAGTTGTGGGGTGCTTTTCTGTAAGGAGACTGAGGAACTAAAAGAAGCCACAGTGACGTTTCTCAGGGCCCTGTTCCTGTTTCAGTGCATGAGGAAGAAGCCAAAGAAGCAAAAACTTCTTCCATTGCCTATTAATTCCTGCTAATCAATTTTGCAGGCACCTACCTCATATGAGAGGAGCTGGTTCCCAAATCTGTGCAGATACAACCCTGCAGGTACACTTTGATATGAAGCCTTTTTAAACCACCCATTGCAGAGTACTTTATTCTCCCTTGAATGTCACTGGAATCAATGGAGTCTTGGGCAGAGCTACTATGTTTACTTGGCACAGTCAACCTTATGAAATGCATTCTTCTGCTTGCATAATTCTTCCAATATTTCAGTTATCAAATCTGGAGTAAGGGGCTTTCGCTAGTGCAGGATTTCCCAAACTTGGGGTTTCAGCTGTTTTTGGACTACAACTCCCATCATCCCTAGCTAGCAGGATCGGTTGTCAGGAATGATGGGAACTGTAGTCCACAATCAGCTGGAGACCCAAGTTTGGGAAATCTTCCGCTAGTGGGACCCCTTAGTTGAATCCTGCCCATGCTTTTGTTCTTGGTCTTGAGACATAAGTGGAAAACTAAGTAACATGGTGGCTAAGGGGAAGAACATTTGAGAGGGGTAGAGATTTGCTTTTCCTCGGGAATGTTGGTATCATTGTGAAAATACAAATTGGCCTTGTTTTGTAGATATGGAAGGTAGATATGTCCTTGCAGCAGGTATGTTTGACACGTTAATTTAATCTGGTTTCTCCCCTTCCTTTCTTTCTTTAGGTGTCCCATGCAGTTGCTAAACTTGTATTAGTTAGCTTCCACTGGCAAATCTCAGAAATTTTGGAAAGGTAAGCACGTCTTCAAGCTGTGGAGCATTATTACTGTGGTTTTCTTTTCACTGCCCTTGGAGTATCATATTTTCTTTTTCTTTGAGCCGTTTCCAGAGTTGCAATCCTATGAACACTTGGTATTGCACACTGGGGTTTAATTTTCAAGCAAGCAGATTTTGGCTACTTTGAAAATTGACAAAAGGGATAATGATCCATGGCTGATGAAGAATATGGTACATTGGCCGGCCTTGGTTTGGACAAAAAACAAGGGGTCCATGTGTAGGCTAAAGCAAAAAAATCAAAAACGTGCACAAAAACGCTGATTTGAAAATTCAATTTATGTGAATAGTAGCTAGCATAAAACACCCGTTTCCAAATACATCCTTCATCAGTGTATATACATTTTGCTGTAAGGCCAACACACACAAAACAATTAACATCTGTTCAATATACCGGTACTGCCTATAAACATTTTAAAACCACAAGGCCCTGCTGATATAAATAATAAATTTCATTAATACAATAAAAGTTACCGTATTTTTTGCACCATAACACTTACTTTTTTCCTCCTAGAAAGTAAGAGGAAATGTATGTGCGTGTTATGGAGCGAATGCCTACGGGTGGCGGTGGGGATCTGCTGCAGTCATGAGCAGAGGATCCATGGTTCCCCTTCCTTCCCTCCTCCGAGGCTTGCTTTGAAACAGCAAAGTGGGAGAAGAGCCGCTGAGTGGGGAGGAGAGAGGGACAAAGAGCCTGCTTCTTTAAAGGAGCAAAGCGGGAGAGGAGAGGAGCCGCTTACACTCGTGTAAGCGGCTCCTGTCCGGTTGGTTCCTTTAAAGCAAGCAGGCTCTCTGTCCCTCTCTCCTCCCCACGCAGCTCACTACATAGCAGCAAAGTTTTTCAGCTCGCTAAGCTGGGGATGAGCAGGGAGGAGGAAGAAAAGCAGAGCCTGCTTGCTTTAAAGGAGCAAAGTGGGAGAGGAAAGGAGCCTTCTCCCCTTATACCCCTCTTCTGCATTATTAGCAGCATCCTTCTCCACCCACCCCACGCATGCTCCTTGTCCCTTGAGTGCTTTTCCTTCCCTCCCCACTTAAAACGTGGTTACAAAGCACGGATCCACATGGATCCTCAGGATTTTTGCACTGGGTCACCCCAAATTCACCATCAGATCACATGTCTGTGGCCACAGCATGAACCACAAAAATCATACATCCACTGTTTCCTTTAGAATATTTTTTTTCTTGTTTTCCTCCTCTAAAAACTACGTGTGTGTTATGGTCAGGTGCATGTTATAGAGCGAAAAATACGGTATATAAAAATACTCCAAAAGCTACTACAGCCATAATATAATCACTTCACCTAATAAAGCACATAAATAATTGTTGCTTACCAATCTTACGATCATACAAGCCTCACTGAAACAAAAAAAATTTCCTGGTGCCCTGATCTTAATGCCAAATCCTTTTGTATCTCAAGCTATACTTCTACACAAATTTAATTGGTTGCAACTCTGTCTGTTTTTGCTCATTAGCGTTTGATGCTGAATACATTACTACAGTGGTACCTCGGGTTAAGTACTTAATTTGTTCTGGAGGTCTGTACTTAACCTGAAACTGTTCTTAACCTGAAGCACCACTTTATCTAATGGGGCCTCCCGCTGCTGCCGCGCTGCTGGAGCACGATTTCTGTTCTCAACCTGAAGCACTATTTCTGGGTTAGCGGAGTCTGTAACCTGAAGCGTATGTAACCTGAGGTACCACTGTATTCACATAAATTTAATTTTTCAAATCAGCCTTTTCGTGCATAGCCTTGGTTTGGGACAGGATTTCCCACCAACCTTATACTTTGTTTATCATAATGACCTGCCTTCCTTGGTGGCTGTGATGCTGAATAAAATTATGAATGTAATAATCATAATAATAAAAATTATTTATACCCTGCCCTCCCCGGCCAGAGCTGGGCTCAGGGCGGCTAACACCAAAAAAATCACAGTAAAAACAATAAAGGGGGGGGTGACAAAAAAAATTTAAAATACAAGTTAAAATACAATTTAAAATGCAGCCTCATTTTAAAAGTAGCTGATAAATCAAGACCGTAAGGGGAGGGAAACATAAGAGTCAGACTGAGTCCAAACCAAAGGCCAGGCGGAACAGCTCTGTCTTGCAGGCCCTGCGGCAAAATGTCAAGTCCCGCAGGGCCCTAGTCTCTTGTGACAGAGCGTTCCACCAAGTCGGGGCCAGTATTGAAAAGGCCCTGGCCCTAGTTGCGACCAATCTAACCACCTTGTGACTTGGGACCTCCAAAGTGTTGTCATTTGTGGACCTTAAGGTCCTCCATGGGGCATACCAGGAGAGGCGGTCCCGTAGGTACATGGGTCCTAGGCCGCATAGGGCTTTAAAGGTCAAAACCAGCACCTTAAACCTGACCCTGTACTCCACCGGGAGCCAGTGCAGCTAGTAAAGCACTGGATGAATGTGATCCCGTGGCAAGGACCCTGTAAGGGCATCCTGCACGTTTCCCGCTGAAATCTGTAGCTCTTGTTTCATCAGCTCTGCAGCTATGGTTCTGTGCTGATTTGAAGTTTTAACTCTTCCTTCAGGCACAAGTCCAATTCTGTCCAGTTGCTAGTGGAAGCACGAGTTCAGCCTGCCTCATCCAAACACGTGAGTAACTGACTGTTACGGCATGCTTGATGCTAAAACTCCTTGTATAGTTCCCCAGAGACTAGTTCTTGCCTCCTTGCCTGCTCTCTGCTAGCTCATGCAGTGCTGCTCTTGTGGGTTCAGTAATAAAATTCTGGCGTAAAGCTATGATCCTGACCTTTTGGATCTGGTCGGATCTCTGGCATTTTGCCGCAGGAAGCAGTCAAATGCACTTCAGCTGCTGGTTGTACAGCAGTGGTGGTCAGGATCTGTAGGGTTTAATCTGCATAGTAAAGGATTAGTTCTCTGGTATCATCAACAATTCTTGAAAGTTACCCTGAACTGTGTTGTTTTAAGAGTATGGCTAACCAAGCTACCAGCTCTGGAAAGAGGTTGCTTTTTCACTTTCAAGCAGAAAGGTCTTGTGTATCCAGAAAGCTCTCTCTGATTAGGAAAAACCTGGCCTAGTTGACTTGGAAAATGGATTAGATAAGCTGCTGGTTCATAGATTTAACCTTTTTACAAGTGCGGTTGGGACATTTGCCCATCTTGGGGATTTCTGTGAGCGGAAAGGTATCTTTCTCATGCTCTAAACAGGATGTGCAAGTTGGAGGGTTTTTTTGAGCTACATTCCAAACCATAAATGAGTTTGTTGGTAATGTATGTAATTGCCCTGAGATGAAAACCAGCCTCGCTGCCCTACTGTCTCACAGAAAGCACCCAATACTGTGCTGAGCAGCTTGCTCAGCTCTTCACTGTCCAAAAGATCAGGCCTTGTATTGCTTCTCCCCTTTTACTTGCAATATATTTAGTTGCCCTCAACATGTCTTACCCTGTAGAGATGGGGGGGACCTGTGAACCGGCATAGGTTGCTGGACTACAACTCCCATCATCCCTGAACATTGTCTGTGCTGGCTGGCGTCGATGGGAGCTGGAGTCCAAAATCAGGGAGGGCCACAGGTTCCCCAACCCTGATGTAGAGCAATATTGTTATTTTTAGAACAGGGTGGTATATAGTTGTTGCAATAGCTGATCCATTGTCCACCTGCTACCCTGCAGTGTTGATGTAATTAAGGTAACTGCTGGAAACTGCAAATCCAGAGACCTCTGAGAGGAACAGCTTCTTTTTCCATTGGCAGATAAGTGGGCCTAACTGGTACAAGTGTCTCCACGGATCACAATTAGATTCCATGTACTTAAGCTCACTTAACATACATTGCTATCAATAAAAGTGTATCAATATGTAGAACCCCATGTATATTATCCAATGCTGGAGACTTGTTAACAACAAGATATAACTGGGCACAAAGTGTCTCAAACGTGAGCTGGAGATGTGTGGCTAATAAACGTGCATTTAATATAGGCCACATAACTTTAATGAATGAGTTGTCAAATGAATGAGTTGGTGGCTCTGTTGATATGCTTGTTTACAACTGTTTCTCCACTGTTTTTATCTGATCCAATTATCACTGCTGCAATATTCACTCTTTGATTATCAAGTCTGAGTTTGAGGATTAGCTAATAAAGGAATACCCCCTTCTAATCATTCTTGCTGCTGATTTATTCTGTAATATGAGCAGCGTAAAGAAATGGCTCCCTCTTTGATCTGGCCACAGAGTGAAACCTAGTTCGTCCTCCTCCCTGATTTTAATCCATCCTCCCATTTGGCCAAGCCCTTGGGGGATAGCCGTTAAATCGATTCTGAAAAGAACAGTGAGAAGCAGTTGTCAGAAGCTCAAAGTGACATGTGAACAGCATAAATTAAATGGGTGCAGTAATCTACGAGCCAGCGAAGTGTGAATGCATCCCAAGAAACTACAACGTGTTGCATTGCGTTCCATTCTTGCTGCCAGTTCCCACGTAGGATGAAACGAGAGACGTCGCAACTCATCCAGACTGTTTGCTGCAAACTGCAGTTTGGGCTCTTGTCAGTAATTTTAGCTTTCTCTCCCTCCCTTCCCCCTTTTTGAATCCCAGGCCATGGTACATTCCTCCCAGCACTGCGCTGTGTGTATGCAGTTTGTCCGAAAGGAAAATTTGTTGTCTCTGGCTTGTCAGCACCAGTTCTGCCGCAGCTGCTGGGAGCAGCACTGTACAGTTCTCGTCAAGGATGGAGTGGGAGTTGGTGAGCTCAGAGCAATGTACCCCTTCTGTACCCCTTCACGTCTCTCTTCCCGCCTATCTTCTTTCAACTTTAAAATGTTTTCATAATCTTACGTGAGCAGAGGTGGGGAGCCTGCTACCCTCCAATCCCCGATACATGGAGCGTGGCTGATCCAGTGCCTTAAGTTGCATTTATTTATGTTTTTCACCCCAGCAGTTACAGAACTTGTTGTGGGACATCGGTCAGTCCCACACAGCCTTTTCTGTAACTTCCTGGTCTCCGCCCACAGATTCAGTCATACAGTCAACTGTCTCAGTCTTCTCTGTTCTCTTGGTTCAATACTTCTGGTGACAGAGAGAGAGAGAGAGAGAGAGAGAGAGAATATAAACATAAGCCAGTATGGTGTAGTGGTTAAGAGCGGTAGTCTCGTAATCTGGTGAACCGGGCTCGCTTCCCCGCTCCTCCACATGCAGCTGCTGGGTGACCTTGGGCTAGTCACACTTCTCTGAAGTCTCTCAGCCTCACTCACCTCACAGAGTGTTTGTTGTGGGGGAGGAAGGGAAAGGAGAATGTTAACTGCTTGGAGACTCCTTCGGCTAGTGATAAAGCGGGATATCAAATCCAAACTCTTCTTCTTCATCATCATCTTCTTCTTTGTCGCTGGTGACACAGTAATGAGGTCGTCACATGCAATAGCTCCTCTGGCTTTTTAAACAGGTGTCTCCTGCATGGCTCAGGACTGCCTGCTCCGGACTCCAGAAGATTTTGTGTTTCCATTGCTACCTAGCGAGGAGCTGAAAGACAAATACAGACGCTACCTCTTCAGGGATTACATTGAGGTATTGTTTGCTGTTTTACCATCAGGGCGTTCTGCGTGTTCTTCAATGCCATGGAAATGCACATACAGTGGTACCTTGGGTTAAGAACTTAATTCGTTCTGGAGGTCCGTTCTTAACCTGAAACTGTTCTTAACCTGAAGCACCACTTTAGCTAATGGGGCCTCCTGCTGCTGCCGCCACGCCACAGCTGCACGATTTCTGTTCTCATCCTGAAGCAAAGTTCTTAACCCGAGGTACTGTTTCTGGGTTAGCAGAGTCTGTAACCTGAAGTGTCTGTAACCCGAGGTACCACTGTAATACGTTTCTGTGAATTAGCATCATTTCATCATTAAAACTCATTGTCCTCTATCCTGACAGATTCACTTAGCTGCCAAATGCTCCAGTGTTACTCAATCACTATATAAAGTTAAATAAATATACAATAAGATATAAAGTTATCCAATCTTTTTATTTTATCAAGGCTTCCTTATATTTAAAAAAAATCCTTGGTTTTTTTCTTAAAAAACCCAAACCACTGATATACATGAAAAAAGCAAATACAGTGGATCTATACCCCCACAAGAGATTTAAATACCATTTCTTGATTATTTCTTCCACTTGATAAAGAGAAGAATTGCAGTTGTTTAAATCAGTTTAATTTCTTGAATGAATTTACAACTGACCTGAAGGGATGCTATATAAACAACTGTAGCAAGAAATAAGGGCATAATATCAGTTTCATAAAGCAGTTAGAAGAAAACAGTGTAAATATAATGTATGGATCAGACTGACTGCCAGGGCACATTAAAAAGCTTTTTATCTTTCTTGGAAGTGTGCAGGAGAATTTCCCATCCTTTTTCCCCCCACAAGGATAACAAGGACCTACGTTGGGTCTTCCATAGGTTAGATTTCCAATATGATAAGATGGACCTTTTTACACATGATAAATCAGAAGTACTGGTTCCTTCCCTCTCAGCTGGGCCAGTTTCTAATACAGGCTTGTGGTGGGTTTCTTTGCAGAGCCATTTCCAGCTGCAGCTCTGTCCCGGCGCAGACTGCCCTATGGTCATACAGGTACAGGAGCCCAAAGCTCGCAGAGTGCAGTGCAATCGATGCAATGAAGTTTTCTGGTAAGAAAATTAAACTTGAGTTGTGAGCAGAGGACAGCAAGGCACGAGTTTTCCTTAGTCAAGGGACCGGAATAGTCCAGAGAGGGAGACTTGAAAAAAAGCTGCTTAGGCCATCCAATGCAAAGTATATGAAAATAAAACTTGGTGAGATCAAATTACCCATGCCAAATTGCTTCTCCATTCGAGCTTTGGAGTGTCCCTCGTGGCTGAAGAAGCTTGCAAACACAGCTATACACAGCTACCTCTAAGGCAGAATTCTCAGTGGCTGGCCAAATTGATGTATTAGGGATACGGGAAACTGCCTTACACCAAGTTGGACCAGTGGTCCTTCTAACTCTGTTATTGTTGACACTGACTGGCAGCGGATCTCCAGAATGGAGTCCTCCTCAGCCCTCCCTGGAGATCCGTGGATTGAACCTGGATCCTTTTTCATGCCAAGTATGTGCTCTGCCACTGAGCTACAGACAGTGAATGAGCGTTGAATGAACACCCAAAGGAGATGCTACAACAGGGGTATGGACCTTTTCTCAGCTCAAGGGCCACATTCCCTCATGGTAAACCTCCTGGGCAGGGCCAGGAGCAAAAGTGGGTGTGTCTCCCGTCTTTTGTACCACATCGACTACGTTCCAGCCCCCAAAACTCCACACATCTTGTCAGCCTCCATCCAGACAAGCGGGAGGCATTGTTGCAGCTCAGTAACACATTGTAAGCAGGCAGAAGCACTCAGAGAAGCCATGGAGCAGGGCTGCTGAGGGCTGTAACCTGGGAGAGTCTTGAGGACCAGGTAGGGCTGTGTTTGGTTCTCCAGCTCTGAGGTTCCCCATCCCTCTGCTACAGTACAAATAATTTGCCAGGAGTGCATGATGGCTATTCACAGTCAAGCCTCCCTGATTGGATGGCGCAGTCTTCAAATAACCTATCCTCAGTGAACTGTCACCAGAGGGATGGAAGAAGAGTAGGGAGAAGAAGTGCTTATAAGGACTTTGAGGAAGACAGCAGTACTTTACTACAATACAGTCGTACCTTGGATCCCAAATGCCTTGTTTCTTGGACGTTTTGGCTCCCGAGTGCCGCAAACCCGGAAGCGAGTCTGCCGGTTTGAGAACGTTCTTTGGAACCCAAATGTCCGACGGGGCTTCTGTGGCTTCTGATTGGCTGCAGGAAGCTCCTGCAGCCAATCAGAAGCAGCGCTTTGGTTTCCGAACGTTTTGGAAGTCGAACGGACTTCCAGAACGGATTCCGTTTGACTTCCAAGTTACGACTGTACGTAGTGACAAATAGGTAAGGCTGTGAATACACTGCAGAAAAAAACCAGAACACTGCCGTCAGAGGATGGAGTAGGGGTGAAAGGACTTCTGCTAGTGCGACAGGGCTTCCCTCCCCCCCCAAAAAAAAATTCCTTGATGGGGGCTGCAGGTGAACCCCTTGAACAATGCACAGAGTGAAGCGAGGTGGAATTGTTCCATCTGGCAAGCTGAAACGCTTGCACAGACTATATGATTGCCATAGCGCTGCAATGAATTCCTCCCACTGTTTTTTCCTAATTGGTCAGGGTGGAGTGTGTGCATGGAGTGAGGAGGGTCATTGTAGCCCTGTTGTCTGGCTCCTGGAAATTTCACTCAGCCCTTCCCCAGAGCTTACATGATACATGATACTGCTCACGTAACCTGCCCCAAGCTTACCTTGGCATAAAAAAGAGCTAAAAATGTATTTTGAGTTTGGATTCTTTCATTTTTTAAAATTGAGATTTGCAAGATACTAAGTTTTGTTGCGGTACCAAATACAGGTCTTTCATGGGATATGTGTGTGTTTGCATGCACCCTACCAGGAGTCTGAACAGTGCTTGTGCAGCGTTACAGAGAAAACATAACACTGTGTATGAGTCCCTTCTCTGCTACTTTTTTTTTTTGGTTGCATGCAATACGATTTCTGGAAAGTGGACATGCCTTTCTCTTTGTTTTAAGTTTCAAGTGTCGGCAGATGTACCATGCTCCCACAGATTGTGCCACCATTCGAAAATGGCTCACCAAGTGTGCAGATGACTCTGAAACAGCCAACTATATCAGTGCTCACACTAAAGATGTAAGTGTGTGTGTGGGAGTGACCTTTCCGTTTATAACTTTGCTCCTTTTGAGGTTTTTTCGGTGGGGGGTTGCAGCAAGCTGCTCTTACATGCTAGATGTTTGTTTATAGTTTTCTCTCAAACTGTTTTCAAACCAGTTTCTATGGCTAATGTGTGCTGTGTTCTAAATAGAGAATGTTGAGCATAGAACATTTCGCCCCCTATCTAGTGCCCTCCCTTCTTTTATTCTCATCTCCCATCTCCTCCTAATACATGACACACCAGTGCCCACCAAGCAGACTAAAGGCACAGTTACACAAAATGGAAAGAAAGTGAAAGGGGTGGGTGGAAAGTATTGGTCTAAACTTCCTGTTGGCATACCTGATGCCTATCACTTCGATCGCCCAGAAAGGAGAACCAGATCTTATTTACGTGTTTCAGATCACACCAGAGAGGAGTTGGACAAGTTAGAACAGGGTCTTCCAAACTTGGGTCGCCACCTATTTTTGGACTACAATTCCCATCATCCCAGATCACTGGTCCTGCTAGCTAGGGATGATGGAGTTGTAGTCCAACAACAGCTGGAGACCCAGGTTTGAGAAACCCTGAACTCTAGAAGAAAGGAAGTGTGAGCAGAATGTAAAAGGAACCCGAAGGCATCTTAATTGTAGTGCTGGTGAAGAATGTGCGAAGTGAAATCGAATGTAAGGAGAAACTAATGAAGAAATATTGGGCAGCATGGGATAGCACTGAAGAACTGCAAAGTAAAGAGATGTTTTATAGTCTATCCATTGGTCCATCTAGCCATGTAGCGTATAACATAACTGTCAGTAGGTCTCCAAAGTCTCAGGCGGAAGTTTTCCCTAGCATGGATCTGTGGCTTCTTTCACTGGAGATTCCAAGGCTCAAACCCTAATAAAGGTAAAGGTAAAGGGACCCCTGACCATTAGGTCCAGTCGTGGCCGACTCTGGGGTTGCAGCGCTCATGTCGCTTTATTGTCCGAGGGAGCCGGCGTACAGCTTCCGGGTCATGTGGCCAGCATGACTAAGCCGCTTCTGGCAAACCAGAGCAGTGCACGGAAACGCCGTTTACCTTCCCGCCGGAGCGGTACCTATTTATCTACTTGCACTTGGACATGCTTTTGAGCTGCTAGGTTGGCAGGAGCTGGGACCGAGCAGCGGGAGCTCACCCCGTCGCGGGGATTCGAACCGCCGACCTTCTGATCGGCAAGTCCTAGGCTCAGTGGTTTAACCCACAGCGCCACCCGCGTCCCTCAAACCCTAATACCTGCAGGCAAAGCTTGGTGTAAGGCAGCTTCCTATGTTCCCAAGAAGAACAAGACTGAAATATAATTGCGTCCAAGCAAAGAGAGGGGAAAGGGATTGACGACATAGGCAGGCCTGAGAATTCTTGCGCGAGAGAGGAGTACGAAGAGTTGTCAAAGACCAAACTCCTGATTGTTGAAACACATGGGACAATCTAAGGTGTGTTCTCTCTTTTCCTCTCTCCCTCCAGTGTCCCAAGTGCAATATCTGTATTGAAAAGAATGGAGGCTGCAATCACATGGTGAGTAGATTGTGGACAAGATCAGAAATCCTATACTGCTTAATTATAGGCGAAATCTTTGCCTGCTTCTTATTAATGCCTTCTCTCTCCCCCTCCCATCTCTCTTTCTCCTCCAGCAATGCTCCAAATGCAAACATGGTAAGTAGACAGCACCAGGTTTTTTGTGTTAAAATTGGGAGAAATGTTTATCCTTCTGATTTGGATATTATCCCAAACTACCGTATTTTTCGCTCCATAAGACGCACTTTTTTTCCTCCTATAAAGTAAGGGGAAATGTGAGTGCGTCTTATGGAGTGCATGGCCTGCGCAGAGAGGTAGAGCTGCGCAGTGCCCCTTCAGCGAAGTGGCAGGAGGAATGGAGCCCCTTCTGTTCCTCCTCCTGCTTCATGCAGGAGAGGAGCTGCGCAGAGAGGGAGAGCTGCGCAGCGCCCCTTCAGAGACGCGCCTGTCCTGGGAGCCAGAGGAGGAACAGAAGGAACTCCTTTGCAGGAGAGGCGCTGTGCAGAGAGGGAGAACTGCGCAGCGCCCCTTCAGCGACGTGCCTGTCCTGGCTTCTGCCTTAGCCGCACGCAGACTCTTCGGGCAGGGGGCGCCTTCATCCCGCTGCCCGAGAGAGGCTGCGTGCGGCTATCCTATAAGCCAGGACAGCAAGAGGGATCGCTACGCAGTGATCCCGCTTGCCGTCCTGGCTTCTGTCTTAGCCATGCGCAGCCTATTCCGGGCAGGGGGAGCCTTCATCCCGCTGCCCCTGAAGAGGCTTGGCGCGGTTATCCCAGAAGCCAGGACAGCCACACGGTATCCCAGACGCCAGATCCCTCTTACTGTTCTGGCTTCTGCGATTCAAAATATTTTTTTTCTTGTTTTCCTCCCCCCAAAACTAGGTGCGTCTTATCGTCTGGTGTGTCCTATAGAGCGAAAAATATGGTAGCTCTTCTAGTTAATGTGCAAGCTCTTTGGTAGCATCTTTGCCCCTTAGAGGAAGAGGTGTCGATCTTGTTCCTCAAAGAAGCATTGCTTTATTCATTGCCTTGTGCAATAACGTTTCCTCTCCTGTCCTCTGCAGACTTCTGCTGGATGTGTCTGGGGGATTGGAAGACTCACGGCAGCGAGTACTACGAATGCAGTCGGTACAAAGAGAATCCTGATATTGTAAACCAGAGTCAGCAAGCACAGGCCAGGGAGGCCCTTAAGAAGTACTTGTTCTATTTTGAAAGGGTAGGAGACATCTCCTTGGCTGGAGCTAACCGTAGCCTTTTTTGTGAGCCCCACCTTCTGCAAAGGGCAATGCTAATGATGATTGTGAGAAAGCCCTCATTGAACAAAACATTCTGTAGCCACAGATCAAGATCATTCCTCAAGGTTATTCTTCCAGAAGCAAGCTCCTTTTCAGTGATAATCTCTGCCAGTCCTGTAATGAGAGTGCTCTTTCCTTGAAGCCAACAGCAATAGGTTGCTTTAAATTTTCTGGTGCTGAACTGTGCTCTGCAGTGGAATCTTCCTACAAGTATACAGTTTGCCTTCTGTAAATCTGCATAACTCTGCACCAAAACTGCTTAAAGCTGCCTCTTGGCTTGTAATTCTTAATCCCTGTATAATAAAGTATTTGCATTGTGTAAACACCTAGATTGTCCCCTCCAAAATATATTATGGAAATAAGATTTTTGCATATATGTGTGTGTTCCACGTAACATATTAAAAAAGAGCATATATGAAAAACCTTGCTTTCTTTAGACAATGCTTCAGGAAGCTTTCCTATTTAAAACGTGGCAAAACCTTGCTCCAGTTTGATATCGCTGCAGATTTGAAGTGGGAATGCTAATGTGAATGGAATTGTCTTAGCTCTTCTGGAGTCACTTACCGAAAGATAATATTTAATAATATTATATGGTAATATTTTTTAGAAAGCTGCAAGGATATGTTTGCTTTCTGGTACATCTTGCCTTTTCCGAAGGAGGGACTTTGCATTCTAAGGTGCTTCTGTGAAGTCTTTTCCAATGCGTTGCTGTGGCCTACCGGTTCCCAGCCTGTCTTTTCCTCCCCTTTCTTCTCCATCGTCGTCTTACACCTTACACCATTTTCACAGTGGGAAAACCACAACAAGAGCTTACAGCTGGAGGCACAGACATACCAGCGAATTCAAGAGAAGATACAAGAAAGGGTGATGAACAACTTGGGAACGTGGATAGACTGGCAGTATCTACAGAATGCAGCAAAGCTGCTAGCTAAGGTGGGTGTGCCTAGCTGTTAATTGTAAGATGCTTTCTACTGTGAGCAGAAAGGATGGGGTGAGATTTGGGGTGGGGGGTGCAATGGGACCTGCCGGTCTTAAACTGTGTTGATTGTGAGGGCTTAAGTAGTAATCAGGTGCCTGGCATCAGCTGCAAGCTATTGCCAAGGAAGGTGCCAGATTGTCTTAGCACTCTGGGTTGATCTTTGCTGGATTATAGATCAGGGGGTGGGTTGTTTTTACCCTACATAACACCACTTGGAGCTGCTTCATGGGGAGGTGGGGGGGCGTATTGTGGACCTTTCTCCTTTTTCACACAGCCTGCTGAAGCTCTGTGGCTACTTCATCCCTTGGGAAGCTCCACTCTGGCATGCCATTTATTTTGTGTATAGAGTGTGTCAGGGGACTGCCATCGGAAAGGGGGAGGGAGGCAGGGAGATACAGGGAGCCTCCGGTGATTCTGAGAAGCAGCTCCTTGTCCGGCAGTGGTGAAAGCCACAACTCCAGCAGAGCCGAGGGGGAAGGGAGTAGCCGGGTGAAGGGAGGGCTCAAAGATGCTACGGAGAGCCCAAGCGCCTTACCTAGCCCGGCCGGCCAGGAGGCAGGCACACCGCATCTGTCGCTCTGCTTGCGCAGAGGGGTGAAACATAAGGAGGGGAGGTGGAGATTTGGGGTGTCTGAGTTCTTATGCTGGGGGAGAAACCGGAAAGGGGCACTCCCGGAATCTGCAAGTCATTAAGACGGACATGAACTTTGGAGTTGGACACTGTAAATAGTTTGCACCAATAAAACCTGAAAAAGACAGGTTCTGAGTCTTGCCTGGTAACTCACGAGCAACCACCCTGCACATCTGACAGCGTGTATTTTATTTCTGCCTCTGTTCGCTGTGTTGCATGATGGCATTGCACATTGGGCAGGTTTAGCTGCTGAAGGTGAGCACAGTCTTCACAGAACTGACAAACGGGTGCCCCCAACATTTGGAAGACACATGGAGAACTTTTGTGCAGGCACACAACATTAACAGCTGTCTTCCTTTCATTCTCTCTTCTTTGTAGTGTCGTTACACGCTGCAGTACACATATCCATATGCCTACTACATGGAGTCTGGCCCCAGAAAGAAACTGGTAAGACCTGTGGCTCTGTGTTTAATGGTCACCTAAATTTCTTGCAGGACTGAGCTGGGAAATGTCAGGCCTCCTGCCGATAGCTAGAAACAGTCCAAAGTCACGTTATGGGAACTGCAACTGCAGTAGCTCAGTGGGTTCTGACTGCAGAGTTGGCATGGAAGACCACCTGGGTACCACATGTAAACCACTGTTGAGTTCTGCAGAGGAAGAACAGTACAGAATGTAATAGATTAAGTAAGGTAAAGGTAAAGGGACCCCTGACCATTAGGTCCAGTCGTGACCGACTCTGGGGTTGCAGCGCTCGTCTCGCTTTACTGGCCGAGGGAGCCGGCGTACAGCTTCCGGGTCATGTGGCCAGCATGACTAAGCCGCTTCTGGCAAACCAGAGCAGCGCACGGAAACGCCGTTTACCTTCCCGCCAGAGCGGTTCTTATTTATCCACTTGCACTTTGACGTGCTTTCGAACTGCTAGGTTGGCAGGAGCAGGGACCGGGATTTGAACTGCCAACCTTCTGATCGGCAAGTCCTTGGCTCTGTGGTTTAACCCACAGCGCCACCCGCATCCCAATAGATTAAGTAGTGTATGCTTAATTACTTAGTGAGTTGTTGGCTACCATATGCTTTTGACAGCAGTGGTGGGATATACATTTTTAGAACTATACAGATCAAACCTGCTTTCCATGGTTATTTTTATTTACAGGGAGATGACTCGCTAATTCAGATTCTTCCTTGTCACTATTTAAGCCTCCTAGTTTTGTATTCTCCTCTTCTTCAGAGCTGCATAGCTGCTTCTGTCAGCTGGTTTGCTTTTGTTTTGTAAGGAGGGGGATGCAAAACAAATTGCATTCGGCAAGTAAAAGATGAGTCAATGTGCTATTTAAGCTGTGTTTGTTAATCTTCCCAATTTTACCAATTTGGAAAAGCAACGGAGACTTATAAAGGGGGCAGGGTGTTCTGTGCTGGTGGAGATGCTGTGCCACTTCAGAATGGGGATGGGGAAAGGCGGCAGCAAGGTCAGGGGAGCTCCAGGTTGGTGGCAGTGGTAGCCCCAGTAGCTGCCACTCCACAGCTCCATCAAAGCACCACTGCCACAGCCCTATAGGAAACCTTAAATTACTAGCACATCTTATGTAGCTATCGAATAAGAGCCATCCTCATTTTGAACAGCCTTCAGCGCTTGACTGGTTCTTACATCATTGCAGTCTTAACTTACGAAAGTCTTACGCCCTCTATGTGGGGCTACCTTTGAAGGTGACCCGGAAACTACAACTAATCCAGAATGCGGCAGCTAGACTGGTGACTGGGAGTGGCCGCCGGGACCACATAACACCGTTCTTGAAAGACCTACACTGGCTCCCAGTATGTTTCCGAGCACAATTCAAAGTGTTGGCGCTGACCTTTAAAGCCCTAAATGGCCTCGGCCCAGTATACCTGAAGGAGCGTCTCCACCCTCATCAGTCTGCCCAGACAATGAGGTCCAGCTCTGAGGGCCTTCTGACAGTTCCCTCACTGCGAGATGTGAGGTTGCAGGGAACCAGGCAGAGGGCCTTCTTGGTAGTGGCACCCGCCCTGTGGAAGGCCCTCCCATCAGATGTCAAAGAAATAAACAACTATCTGACGTTTAGAAGACATGTAAAGGCAGCCCTATTTAGGGAAGTTTTTAATGACTGATGTTTTAATGTATTTTTAATCTTTTGTTGGAAGCCGCCCAGAGTAGCTGGAGAAACCCAGCCAAATGGGCGGGGTATAAATAATGATAAATTAGTATTAGTATTAAAATTCCTGGATTCCGTCATCCACGTAACCATTAATTTAATATCCCTCAGGTTTTACATAGGGAGCTCTGACCTGGGAACTTGCCCAGCTTTGAATCCATAAGCTTTCTGGTGCTCTTGTACTGTTGCACATCAGAAAGGGCGAAATGCTTTGTTGTTGTGACTTTGCATCTATTGAACGTGCTTCGGTTTTTGCTTCTTACATTTCATTCTTTTCAGAAGCGCCTTCTGGCGTGAATGGTAACAGCAGATGTAGGGTAGAATGGGGATGATGAGAAGCTGCTGTTCCTGCATCTCTTTCCCTCAACAATCTGTTTCATGTTTTCAGTTTGAATACCAACAGGCTCAGCTGGAAGCGGAAATAGAAAACCTCTCATGGAAGGTGGAGAGAGCAGATAGTTATGATAGAGGGGTGAGTAAGCAAGCGTTGTTCAACCTCCTGCCACCTCATCTTCTCATCCCAGGAGCTCATTACCTGCACAGAAGGGCTTAAACAAATCCTATGAGGAAGCAGAGGAATTGGCATTGGACTGGAGGAAATAGCACTCCAGATCCCTTGATTCTTGCCACCTGGAGGTTCTGTACAGTTAGCGGAAAATGCCCACATACTTTTGGATTGATCTCGACAACTGAGATAGGCACAACCTAGAGCAGGAGTCAGCAAACTTTTTCAGCAGGGGACCGGTCCACTGTCCCTCAGGCCTTGTGGGGGACCAGACTATTTTTTTGGGGGGGGGAATGAACAAATTCCTATGCCCCACAAATAACCCAGAGATACGTTTTAAATAAAAGGACACATTCTACTCATGTAAAAACACGTTGATTCCTGGACCGTCCGCGGGCCAGATTGAGAAGGCGATTGGGCCGGATCTGGCCCCCAGGCCTTAGTTTGCCTACCCATTACCTAGAGTGCTCCTTCCATGAATGGGAGGCCACTTTCTGTTCAGAGAATGAGATCCAGTGCAACTTCCGTTCTGAGGAAAAAGAGGGGAGACAGTTTTCACCAGTTCCCCCTCTACACAACCTCCCCAAGTACACTGGGGGGCTCCCCCAACTATCTAGACCAACTTTTCAGTAGGCAGACTCCTTCTGTATCTTCTTGGCGGAGTTCCAGTTGTTGTAATTCTATATCCAAGCTGGTGCATGTGAATTTTTTAATGGATATTAATTTTTGGCTTCTATAAGGACCACCAGTTAGGTGTTATTTTCTTAACTACTTGATGTAATTAATGGAGCAAGGCACTGGGACCAGGAAGTTTTGAGTTCCTATCCTAAACCACACACATTTTTCTCACAACCTTAGCCCTATTCAGGTATTCATCCTAGATAAGCCCTCTTGACTCCTGACTTTTGCTTATCAAACTACCACACTATTCCTGATCTAGACTTGAATACCTGAAGAGGGCTCGTTTCTGTGAGGAGGCTGGGACCAAAAGGGATGGCTGGTGTTCCTTCCCTCCTTTCTGCTGATCATTCAAGTCTGTGGGTCCGTTTCCCTGCCACCGCAAACTAGAAACAAACCTGATTTTACGCCCTCTTTCTCTCCCCCCACCCAGGACTTGGAAAATCAGATGCACATAGCCGAGCAGAGGAGAAGGACCCTGCTGAAGGACTTCCACGACACATAAAGTAGCAGGAGATGTCAGGGCGCAGGGGTGAGCGCAAAGAGCGAGGTGGCGGTGAGAGCAGCAGCAGAAGCAACACGAGAAGCTGGCCCCCCGCCCCCACCCCAGAGAAGGGCTGAGGACAACACGGCTGCCTCCCCTTGCAAGCCAGACACGAGCTAGCACCACAGCTTAGTCTTCTCTTTTCTCTTCTCTTTCTGCTTTTCGTTTTTGCCAGGCTAGAGGCTGGAGTTCAGATTTGGCACCTTTTTTTCTGGGACGTTTTCCTCCCCGTCTCTTGGATTATTCTGGGAAGGAGTTCTTTTATTTTATTCTTCTTCTTCTTCTTCCTCCCCCCGAATGGCTGTTAATAGTGTTAGATCATTACAAGCCTATGTAATTTTCAAACGGTTGTACAATTATACAAAACAAACCCTAGAATAACACACAACCCTTTTTAAAAAATAAATTGGAATTGGAGTGTTTCCTTTTTAATAAGCTGCTTGTAAACTAAATGGCTGCTTTCTTCTTTTCCCTCCAAATCCTCTTTTGCGCTGAAAGCTATGAAATAGTACCAGCTGTCTGTTTGGCACCTCTTATGTGCGCTCTGCTGCTTGCCCTGTGACTACATGAGGTGAACCGTGCTAGCCTAGGAGACAACAGCAGCGGCCAGAGGTCAGCGTACGGTCGAGTAGCTCTCCTATTCTTCCCTAGCTATGCAAGGGCAGTTGGGCAAAGTTCAGGCCAGCATGGGAAACAGTCGTGGTCCTGCTGTCCCATCAGCTTTAGGTTGTCTCCTGCGTGGATTAGTCGCTTTGTTTCTCTGGACTGATCTCATCTGCCAAAACTAAAATCATTTGAGGGGTTATGGGAACACACAACCTTGCCTCTCGGTAGCATTGTAGCAGGCACTGGCTTTGCTTGGAGGCAAAAGGACAAGCCACGTTCCATCCATGCCTTGCGTATCTGTGCAGTCCAGTCATACACAACCTGATCCTTGACATGGCTGTAAGGTGATACGTCAAGTCTGGCCCCGTCTTGCCCTGACAAGACCAGACTTCCTCACTGTGTATTGAGGGAAAGCTGTTACACTTAACATGATGCATGGTAAGGAGGGTGGGGTGGAGGGGGTTAACCAAAACTTGGCAGCCTAAGACAAGTCCTGAGAAACATGTGCCAATGGTAAACTTACACCACTGCCCTAGAAACTACGGCTGGCTGAAAAACAGCTAGCAGAATTGGTGAGAATGAAGCTTAATGAATATTAAGGAGTTGTATCCACCACTAGTCCTGCTTGAAGTTGACCATTCAAATTGATGGGCCTGATTTAGTCCCATTAATTTCAGTAGGACTTGGTCAGGTACAAACCTATGTTCACGGGTGGCTTATTATTAGTACACTTGAATGTGTAAAAGGTCAGTTTTTCCTCCATTCATGTGGGAGGTCAGCTTCGAAACAGTAAAAAAAGTGCAGTGTAGGTTATGTACAGCGCATGGTCAACATGGTTGCTTAAGTTGATTATCCACCTAGAAAAGAAGACGGAACAGCTGGCCCTCTCCTGAAGTTACTCTGATTCAATTTGAAATAAGAACACCTTGCTACCTGTTTACAAAAAAAAATAATGTTGCACTGAACTTTTGTTTGTACATTGATTGATGATCTTTTTGGTTTGGACAAGGGAGGACTGGCAAGCTAGGATCATTACTCTGTGCTTTATGCACCTACCTTTCTGGCCTTTCAGCGGGAGCTATTTAATTAGCATTTCTGGATGTTGACCTAGCTCTTGGGGGGGCAATCTGCCATGCCACCCTTTCACCCTTCACGTGCTGCTAATACTACCTCAAGCACTCCAAGAAAAATGATTATACCCACTACCTGCTTGCTTCCTTAGTAAATGACCCCAGGACCTTTTTAATATTACTCTCTTCCTACCCCATTGCCAGTTAACCACAGATTACGCAAGCAGGACCTTGAAGGGGTGTGTGTACTAGGCTAAGAAAAAGTACCGTGAAGAGAAACTCTTCTCTCCCCGCGCCCCCGCCCCCATTTCCTGCTCTGTTCACCTTTTATAGGTCTCTTGTAGCTGATGTGGCACGATGACTTCATCAGGCTTGCTCCTTTTAACCCATGTCTTACCTGCTGTAAGCGGAGATCATGTGATTGTGTTCTCTTGGCTGTAGATGTTTTCCATTTCTCTGCATGAAGTCCAATCTGGGCCTTGATATATAGAAACAGACGAAAACCTTTTAGGAAAGTGCAAGAAGTTTGGCGCGTGTGTGATTTTAATTGCACAGTATGTTAGCATTCATTTTGTTATTGTTTTGATGAGATGTGGTGCGTAAAGTGCTAGCACGGGATTATTTCATTAACCCAGCTGCAGTTGGATAAAGATAAGCCTTGTGGCCAGAAGAGCTGTGGGAGGGTATGGCTTACGACTTATTCCTGTGAAATGCTGACCTGATCTTCCTTGCTAGCTTAACACAGTGTTCAGCCTTTGAAGGACACGAGGATCTTTTTATCTTTAAACTTTGCATTCAGACTGAGCGGTGGGTCTCATTGAATCAGAGAAGTTAAGTCACACATGTTTTCTGTAGCTCAGAACTGTCCAGTGCGAAAGGGAGTGATGTGCGGCTTGCACTTACATCTGACATCCAGTTGTAGCTGGTCAACTTGATGGTAGCACATTGACAACTTTCAATGTTAAAAAGTCATGTTTTCTAAACTTGTAGCCTCCACATGGCTGGCACCAACCCCGTACAGTGCTTTTAGATGTGCTATATTAAGCCAGTATTGCACCACGTATTAATAGCTGCCTCCCAGTTTAGAGCAGGTAGCATTCATATATGTATAAACTAACACTTTTAAGTCCCAGACAGTTGACAGATCAGCATTTTTATTCTTCCCCCGATACAGGCTTCCCTGTATTAGAATTCCATCATTTTGCCAGAGAGGTTTTGCTACTGATAAGAATAGGCTGTGCTATAGGAAAGTATCCTCTTCACTCTGGAAAAAGAAGCTAATGGTTCTAAAGCAGAACTCAACACAGTTTGTTGCCTCAGAAAATCCTTGCCATTCTGCAACAAGCTGGTAGCAATAGCAAGACAGCAATGAAGAATTAGCAGCATCTGAGCTCAGAGTATAGGTGCATTTCCCTCATACCAGGCGAACATCCTAAACTGGGAGCTCTTTGTCTCTTTCTGTAAGGCTTGACTCTCAGCCAGCCTGGCAGCTGTTGTCATCCTATCACTCTTACTTTTTAAAACTTGGCTTGATTCACCTTCAATGCTGGCTTTGTTTTGGTTTTCGCTTACATTTAGTATTACCTGCCACAGTTTTCTATATAAAAGAGATACAAAACTGTCTTTGCACAACTTCTGATACTGAACAAACCGAGCTCTCAAGTTACACCACATCTCCTGGCAAACAGAAGTCTCTGTAACTCAAAAGCTTGCATACATACACCAAAAGAGGCTGTTCAATAGGAGAGAGATCCTCTAATCCAGAGATGGGAAAACTTTGGCCTTGCAGATGTTGCTGCTCACACCATCCCTGACCATTGGCTGTGCTGGCTGAGACTGATGGGAGTTGGGAGTCCAATAGCCTCTGGATGGCCAAAAGTTCCCTATCCCTGCTCTAATCAAGTTTTATACTTGCTCTCTCTATAGCACTCCTTCCTCTGCAGCAGCGACCAGTTTTCTGTTGACAACCTAAATTTATGTCAGCTGTGTGCCATGCGACTTCTTCAGGAAGAACTGGAGAGTTCTCTTATTTTTGCACTGTCTCAATTCATTCAAAACTTGTTTTTGTTTCAAAAACCAGATTTCATTTCTCAATAGCTTTTTCTAGGAAAGTTCTTATGTGTGCTCACTCAAGTCTGGACTGTTCCAAGTTTTCAGGTAGTAGCTTCTGCTATGGGAGCTTTTTATTATTATGCAGAGTGCTACATTATCATGGCTGCCTTTGCTCTGTCCCTCACTGAGGTATGGGTGGGGGGGAAGCAACCTCAAGAAACTGCCAACACTTTTCCGGCATTAGGAGGGGAAGGGGCAAAGGAAAGAGCCCTTGCAGTTTCCCTCTCCTGAAATTGTTTATTTGAAATAAATTGTGAATTTCTAATTTTAAATGTGCGTAGTGTCTTTTTTTCCTCTCTCCCTTACTGATGCAGCATTTCCCATTATACAGTGAAAAAGGGGGTGAGGAAGAGAAATGTTTAGAGTTTTAGTACAAACTGGGAGCTGCTTGAACAGTACCACCGATTTCCAGCAACCTATTAAAATAGGTTCAGCCTTTCACATGCATGCAAGCAAGCCAGTCCCCAATCCAGTTTTTTTGTTCTCTCCAAAACATGGTTTTGTGTTCAACTTCCTCGTTTATTTATTCAAAGCATTTATAGCCTGCTCACTAACTTGAAAAGGTTTGTAGAGTGGCTTACATGTCAAATAGCAAGCCTGAAGGCAGGGAATGTGCTCTGTAAAAAGACACTTATACAAAAGGAAAAGGGGATGGGGAGGGAAGTTCTTTACCAGCTGCCATGTTCCCTCATTAAAAAAAAAAAGTCTGTGAAGTTGGATCTCCTTCAAGATGTACAAGTTTTTGAGGAAATAATCTGGGCAAAGGTGTTGCCCTTCCTCTTTAAAACAAAACCTGAATTTGTACTGTTGGATCTACTTCATAATCCTGAAGTTAATAAATAAATTTCACAGGTAGAGAATTATGCAAAAGCTCCCAGTAGCTCCCAGGCACTGGTTGCATAAGGTGTGGGGATGATATCAAATGTTGGTTTTACATACTCTACATGGGCTTTACATGTTGTTCAACTGCCTTTCATTACTGAAACTGAGAGCAGCTGTTCTATATTCTATTTTATACATAAAATTGAAAGGCAGGAGCTTTTAAACCTTTAGAAGTGTCTCAAGAACCAGGTGGTGGCCTTAGCCTACCAGCTTCTTTAGCAAAACACCCTAGACCTACGATGATTCATTACGACTGAAAAAGGCACTCTGTACAGTGGTGCCTCGCAAGACGAAATTAATCCGTTCCGCGAGTTTCTTCGTCTTGCGGTTTTTTCGTCTTGCGAAGCACGGCTATTAGCGGCTTTAAGAAAAAGGAAACAAACTCGCAAGAACTCGCAAGACATTTCGTCTTGCGAAGCAAGCCCATAGGGAAATTCGTCTTGCGGAACGACTCAAAAAACGGAAAACTCTTTCGTCTAGCGAGTTTTTCGTCTTGCGAGGCATTCGTCTTGCGGGGCACCACTGTACATGTCTAGGAGCACTTTACTCGAGTTCCAAAAAAAGGGGGGGAAAGCTCAGGCTAAAATGTCGTGTGTGTTTTTTAATAAAAAAAGTATTAGTAGAACTAGCTAATTCACTTCGCTTAAAATAAGCCTTCAAACCAGCCACTGCTCTGGCAACAAAACGACTACGTCAGGACAGCGGTGGACGTTCTGCCCTTATCAAAAATGGCTGCAGTTTCATATTCATCCGCAAGGGGGGGGGAAAGCCGGTGCCCTTCCTCAAAATGGCTTCCCATCACACTGCTAGAGGAGGAGAGGCAAAATTGCCAGGACCTAAAATGGCCGGCAGAGATGCTGAAGCCAAAACACTTTTTTTAAAAATCCCTTATACGGGCCAGCACCCTCTCGGACTTCGTCCCGGCCAGCGCCGTCCGGTCTCCTTCCCTCCGCTCTCCTCCCCCCACTCATCCAGGCCAAACTAAAGGACCCGGCCGCGCGCTCTTTCGCCGTGCGTGATGACGTAAGGGGAGCCCGCCCGGAGAAGCCGCCGCTGTTGGCGGGGTGGTTGCCGTGGTAACGGTGCCCAGCTCCCAGGCCGGAGCGGGCCGGGCCTAGCCATGGCTGCTGCGGCGGGGGCAGCTGTGGCGGCGGCGACGGCGACGCCGGACGAAGACCCCCGCCCGCTGCCGGGGCCTTCCTTCGGGCGGAGGGCCGTGTGCTCCCGACCCTACTTCGTGGTGCTGATGGTGTTCGCGCACCTCTACGTGCTCAACGTGCTGGGCTTGCTGCTCTTCGTGCACATCAGCTCCGACGACGGGGAGACGGAGCCCGGCAAGGAGGGACCCCCGGGCCCCGCACAGGACCCGCCCGCGCCGCCCTTCTCCTCCCCGGGAGGAGGCTCTCGCCCTCACAGCCTGCCTCGCCTCGAGGGCATCAAGGCAAGTAGCGTCCCGAAATCGCCTTTTTGCGCGAGGATGGAAGCAAGCACTGCTGTTCTCGGGGGGTCATTCAAGAGGGCAGGTCTCCCTTTGGCGGCTGTTTTTAAAGTTTCAAGGGTCGGGGCGAGTTTCCCCCTTTCCTCGACCCTTCAAAAGAAAAGAAAAAAACTTCCTTCCTCCCAAGACTTCTGTGCAAAAGACAGCCGTTTCGGGGGCGATTACCCCCAAATTATTTCTTGCCCTCCCAGCTTTCAGCTGCCATATATCCGTATTTGGAGGTGTGCGGCAACATCCTCGTCTCATGGTGATTATTGCAATCTTTTTGCCTCCTTGGCTTTTTTCTAGAGTTGCCCCTTAGGGTGTTGTGGGTGTTGGTGTTGTTGTGTTTCTGTTTGTAATGGGGCTGCAGGGGGATTTTTTCAGGAAATCGACCGAGGGGTGTCAAGTCAACTCTGTTCCTGTAGAAAATGTTACCCTACAAAGGGGGGGGGGGTCTGGAAATATACATTATTTTATATAATATCCCTGTCCACTGCTGCTGCAGCCCCGACAGGGGCCGGCTCCTTCTTCGGCGGCTGCTAGTTCTGATAAGTGAGAAGCCCTCGTGGATCTTTAAAAGAAGCATAATGGGCTAAGTGCCGTCTAGCCCCTCCATGGTGATGCTTTCCCCAGCACGCTGATGCAGTGATATGAAAACTTTTTGCACTTGCTGAGTTTCTGATTTTTATGCGACTCTTAACTGTGTCAGGGGAAGGAAAGTTTTCGCCTCTGTCCCCCGCCCCATCCCTGTTACTTACCCCCCCTCCAGTCTCAAGGGACATCATTGCACAAGTCATTTAGGGATAATAGGCATAGTGGGGGGGGCAGTCCCCCCCCCCGTATTTTATTTTATAATGGAGTTATTTTATTTTTAAAAACTTTTTATTGCCTTTGCCTTTAAATAATTTGAGCAGTTGTGCATTATTGAGAGAAGTACTTAAACTGTGGGTTGAGTTTGTCTATTTGTCACGGCTAGGATTGATCTACATTGGTACATCTTGGTACATAATGTGATGTACTATAGACTGGGCTGATTGATGTGGTCTGTATTGATGTTGGGTTGGCCTAATAAGATTTAGCGCAGTATACTAAATTCTAGAGTGGTATAGTAGGATTTAATATGAGCAACATCAATATGACTTCATTGTAAATTCACTAGACTGCAACTTTGTCTGTTCCTTGGTCCAGATTGGGATTGCCTGCCTTTTAAAACAAAGCGCATCAGCAGCAGCTAGAATTAACACAATAATTATGGATGGACATGTCCCCTATGCTGTTGCAATGGAGGTTAATTTTGCTGCCAATATCCATTCTTTAAAGAAATAAAGCTCCTATATTCAATTTGCACAGCAAAAGAATTTCAGTAATTTAAAAAGTAAAAGTTTAAAAAAATACTTTAAAAAATCGTAGTCAAAACTATGCAGGTGGGTCAGCAGTAACCATTCTTTTGCAGCCCCTTGTGAAATTTTCAGATGCCAGGGAACAGAGTGGCAGTTAATGAATTTTGAGTGCTAGCAAGATGTGTTATTCTCTCGTGCACACACCGTGACAGCAGATGAGTAAACCCTGCATTTATTGTGCAGAGAAGTGATAATACAGAAGAACCCTAAACCTTCTTTGATGAGTGCTGCTTCCACACTGAGCCTAGAACTGTATCCTGTATTTGCTGGTAGCTGATGTCATATAGTTTTGAACCATGTAGATGAGATTTGTGGTGTTTTGTATTTCAGAATTTCCCATGTCATGATTTAGCAGGCCATTGTGTATGTAAAGATACTGACCACAGGCCTCCAATGATACCATATACTGGACTATATATACTAACTATATTTGGTGTATAGCAGTTAAAATTAATTTATTTTACTTTCTTTTCAAGGTGGGCCATAAACAGAAGGTGGAGCTGATTCCTAACAAAATCCATGTCATGAAAACACTCAGCTTGAAACCACTCCTTTTTGGTAAGAAAAAGAGGATACTGGAGATATATCCAGATGACCTATTGGTAGAAGAGGAAATGAGATGTACCATATATCTAAGTTTGGCGGCTTCTTATTGCCTCATCTTTAGTTGCCTTTGGGCACAGAAACTCTGTCCCATTCATGACAGTAATTATTACTGTGGCTCCCAAGCACATGTGAACATCCTTTACAGCAGTAGTCTGTTAATTTTTCAGACCCAGGATCTATTTCTTAACCCCAACTGATATTGATTTTTTTTTACTATGTACTATGGTCTTTCACCTGCTCTCTCTAGAGTAACCAGGTGCAAAAGAAGACAAGATTCCTTTGCCTTTAACCGCTGTGTAGAAGAGCAGATTTTGCCTCTTTCTCATGCAGGAATGCACAAAGTGTCAACAGCTGAAATTTCGTAAAAACTCCACAGTTCTCATTGCTCCTCCCTTCTTTGCTCCTTAAGAGAAAGTGGGTGGATGGGGGTGGGTACAAAGATAGAAAATGGTGGTGTGACACATGCTTGACTCCTCTTACATTGGTGCCTGACTAATCCATTTCCACCAGTTGTAGATCAGTCTTTACTGGATTGAACTGGTTACGTCAGGGAATAGTATTAATTGAGGGTTTACAAATTGCAGTTGAGCTTGATAGGCAACAATAATTTCTGTAGCCAGCAAGAAAATACACACACACACACACACACACACACATACACATTTTTCATCCTCCTCTTGGAAGTTCTGCTGTTGTCAGCTGTTGTCAGCATTGCCTGATGTATTAGTTGTTTCTGAACCACAGCATTGCCTGAGGTTCAGAACCAGCAGCAATATGACAGGCACTCCACAAAAACACATTTAACTTGAAGCGGGAGCTCCTAGCAAGCACAGTTATATTCCACAGGTTTTGTTTTTGTTTAAAAAATCTTTATAAAAGATTCCTGTGTTGTTAATTGTGTTTTTTCAAAGGAAAGTCTTAATGAGAAACTAAACAACTTTCTTGTTAAACCCTTTTAATGCAACCAGCATTTTTAAGGAACACACACTGCTGTCATTAGTTTCTAAATACATAGTATTCATAGCTTGCAGATCGCAAGGGTGTCCCTCAGGCAGTGTATGGGTTTTGTTTTTTTACATATTTTGTGTAAAACTGCAAAATAAAATGTCCTGGAGTGAGGGAAGGATGGGTGATGGCAAAAGCCTGATGGGTAGAAGATGAAGGGGAGTCAGGAGTGGCTTGACAGGTCAGGTGGAGCTGCCACAGTAGCTTAGCCTGTGGCAGCTCAGCCTAGTCATTGCCATTTACCAGTAGTGGGAGGAGGAGAGGTAGCAGCAAGGTCAGGGCTGTGCAGGCAGACTGCTAAAGCCAATCGTGCACCCATCAGTGTACCCATTCAGCCCCAGCCTAGCTGCCACTTCAGCTCTCCCAGGAAGCCATTGCAATACTGCTGCCACAAGATTATTGTTGAAGCTCTGGTTCCACCGGGTGAGCCATTCCTGCATGGTATGGATGAAAGAAGTGGTCAGGAAAGTGGGTTTGCAGGAGATGAACAAACCAGCCTATTACTATAAATACTTGTGCTTTGTTTCCTGGTTGCTGTGCTTCCCATGCAGCAAAGAATCCAGCACTGCAGAATATCTGCAATGGTGGACAAACTGTCTTTCAAAGAAGCTTGTGAGCCATTACTGACTTTCTCGTTGAGAAACCCCAATTAGGCTTGTAGGAAACTCCAGGGCTCCTCAGAGCCGTTTGAAAACTACTTTCTTGGTGCAGTGGTGTATGATTTTTACTAAGTAGACTATATCTATTACTTTTTAAACTCTGCTCCAGATATGCTGAAGAAGACCTTTCAGATACAAACAAGAGAGCATCTTTCTATCATTTCATACCAGAGCTATAAGCAGTTCAGGCCCGGCACTTGTAATGTTTCCATCGCCGCACAGCAGCCTGTAGATTTCGGTTCCTCTTGTGCCATGCATAGGCCTTGTTCACCACCACAACTTTGTCATTCTGCACCTCACCACAGATCAGATAGACGCCTGTGTTTGTGCCTCTCATAATGTTGTGTACACAGGTAGCATCTAAGTTCAGCCACTGCTGGAGTTTGGAGTGGGTTTCAGTCTTCAGAAGGGGGCCATGCTTCAGAACTTCCAGCCTGGAGTCAAGGTCAAAGTCAGCAATGGTGGAGGTCTTGTTCTTCCTGGAGATCCTTATTTTCACAGCTGGAACAAATGCACATTAGGCCAGAGACATCAAACTACCAATAAAATAGGTAACTAGCTGCTTCCTCACTGTTTTAGTGATGCAAAGAATGGATGCTACCCACTGTTTTGCAACCTACACTAGGGTTGGGAAACTTTTGACCCACCAGCAAGCATGGCTAATGACCAGGGATAATGGGAATTGTAGTTCAGCTGGAGAGCCAAAGGTTCCCCACTCCTGGTGATGTACACCTTTGTTCCGCACTTCGTGTAGCAAGCTTAGACAATGGTTCTAGTCCAGTGAAATTCTCATATCTCCAGAATTTATTACCCAGTTTCTGTTACAAAAACAAGTTCATTTTAGGAAGATTAGTTTAGCTGATGATCACTGATAACAAAGATGCTCAAGCATCATCTCTCTCTCTCTCTCTCTCTCTCTCACACACACACACACACACACACACACACACTTTGATAATTTGCTTGCTTTTTTAAAGCACTATGTAAGATTGCCCCGTGTTTTCTGCGTATTAAAATAGTGCTAGACACTACCACAATGCGCTTTTAACTTCAACCTTTAACTTTTCATATTCATGTTTTAATAGGAAGCAGGTGGGTGTTCTGCTGAAATTTAAGGAGCCTGCTAATTTTGTGAAGGTTTTCTGGTTGTCCTTTGCTTTAGTCTGCATAAAGGACCAGCTTGCCGTTTCTCCATAGCTTTAAGGTAGGGGTAGCCAGTGTGTTGCCCTTAAGATGTTACCGGACTCCAGCTCCCATCATCCTTGACTATGTTGGCTTGAGCTGATGGAAGCTGTAGTCCAGCAGGCTACTCCTGCTTTAAGAGAAGAGTGTGTGCAAATGACAGGGGGCAGGTGGAGAACAGGTCTGAACAAGTATGAAGGAACTCATTGTTCCGAACAGATCCTGCAAATTTCAGAGCCGTGCTAGACAACACGCTAGAGATCCAGAATCATACTCCCCACCTCTTCAAATTTTAGCAAGTAGAAGTCAGGAATCGAGGGAGTGATCCATGCTCAGATTGTGATGCTGTGAGAGCTAACTCTCCCTACCCTATGTTCCCACTGAAAGTCCCCCTCCAGCTGCTATTTCTCCTGTTAGATAAAATGTGTGTGTACACAGCCTGTTCCCATAGCTTCTCCCTAATGTAGAAAGTTTTAGCTTGTGAGGAGTGCACATTTGCATTAGGAAAATGACATGGGGCCAGAGACTTAATTCTCGCCCTCATCTGCTGCCACTGTTGTAATTCCCTCTCCCCTAGCAACTGGTATTTGCCAAAATTTATCGAGAGAGGAGAACCAGTCATGGATCTTTCTTCTCACATCCAGTTTTGCCCTTTCTTCTATAGCTGAAAATGTGGTGATCCGATGGACTTGTATTCTGAGACTAGAGGACTGTTTTCTCAGACCAAGTGGTTAAGAGGCAGAGAGCAGTGGTTTACTCACCAAAATCATTGGTGCAAAGGTTTTCCAGGATCTCCTTGGGAGAGTTGGGTTCTTCAAGTTCACAGTCCCTGCAGCTGGCCTGGGGCACTGCTGGAACACATAGTAAGTTACTGAATTCATTTGAGCCTAATGTAACCCAGAGAATTTTGGGTTCTCAGGGTTGCAGATTTTGTGGGATTGGAGTAGATGACCCTTGTGGTCCTTTCCATCTCTGTCATTCTATGATTCTAGAACAGGCATAGGCAAACTCGGCTCTCCAGATGTTTTGGGACTACAACTCCCATCATTCCTAGCTAACAGGACCAGAGGTCAGGGATGATGGGAATTGTTGTCTCAAAACATCTGGAGGGTCGAGTTTGCCTTTGCCTGTTCTAGAAAATAGGTCAGTAGCTTGCTATCTTGGTGGCTTCATACACCGTGTTCAACTCAGATGTGAAATAATTAGTGTGACTTTGGGTAAGTCTTTATCTCTCAACTTTAAATAGGCAAAAAAAAAATCTTTTTAAAAAAGATATAATTATTACCTCCCTCAGGTGTCTGCCAAGAGCCTTTGTAATAGGGGAGGCTATGAGGAACTAACTTCAGAGGTTACTTTTCCAGCTCTAACTGTAAAATCTATGTTCAAAACCTCAGTACAGTTTTGAATGGTTTTTTCTCAGTTTCCTGATTAAAAGATGTTGGTACTTCATACGCTTTTTGGCTCTTATGGGTTCCTCTGAATTGAGAAAAAGCCAAACTTAAGCTTTAACACATAGAATCCAAACACCCTCCCACCTGCCCAGCTTTGTAAATTTCTGTCCAGATTGTGCGGTTGTGACAGGGTATATGTGTTCCATGACAAGTACAAACAGCAAAGAGCCTTACTTCTCCTGCTCGGAGCACTTTCATCAGTGATTGAGGAGATGCACAGCTCATGATCTTCAGGGAATTTGTTACAGTTCAGGATTTCAGGCCAAGGGTAGCCGTAGCAAGCCATGACTGGGGCGCAGCTATTCCTGACAGCTTTGCACAAACTTTGGCAAGGGTAGATGAGCCTAGAGAGAGAAAGATGAACTCATTTCAAAACTTTGTGAGCAAAGTTGGACGAGAAGACCCTCGGGGGGCCATCCAATTCTACAATTCTATGATTCCAAGTGCCTGTTAAGCTACCCCAGAGCAACCACTAGCAGCTAAGGGCAAGCCAGAGGTTCCCCACCCTGCCTTAGTCTCTGTTTACCATCACTGCAGGCAGGGCTGAGTTGCTGACCTGGCTTCCCGACACTTGTGTCGCTGCCACTTAACTAGGGACAGGGAGGCAACAGAGAGTGCAGTGTGGATGCAGCAGTGGAGACAGTCTGATGCTTCTTCCACTGGGCTCATACCGAGCTCCCCACTGCCTTCCCTTCTCCCTCTCAGTAACCTGCTGTGACGTGTGACTTTGGGAAGCTAGGCTGGTCACACAACCCTCCCCGCGTTTATAGTAAAACAAGAACAAAATTGTTTGCATTAGTTAGAGAGTATTTCAGTGCCAGCCTTGATGGGTTTGTTTCGGAGAGCAAAGCATCATTTTAATAAAACAGGTTTGAACATTAGGATAAGTTTCTTCATGATTGACAGTAGGCCAACACTGGATCCAGTTACCTACAGCAGGTGGGAGGGGCTCTCCTTTGCTGGACGCCCTCAAGCAGAGGCTGCACAGCCACCTCTTGGGGATGCTCTAGCTCTGGGTGTTCTGCATAATGGAGCAGAGATTGGAGCAGGCCCCATCTTACTCCATGATTCTGAAATCATTTGAAAACTTGAATAGTTTTGTATTTTCTAAAAAAATTTAAAAAATTGTCCAGTAGTACCTTAGAGACCAACTAAGTAGTTCTGGGTATAAGCTTTCGTGTGCATGCACACTTCTTCAGTTTCCCCAGCCACTCTGGGCAGCTTCCAACAAAATTCCAACTTTTAGAAGACATCTGAAGGCAGCCCTGTTTAGGGAAGCTTTTAATATCTGAAGGACTATTTTATTTTAATATTTTGTTGGAAGCTGCCCAGAGTGGCTGGAGAAACTGAAGAAGTGTGCATGCACACGAAAGCTTATATCCAGAACTACTTACCGTATTTTTTGCACCATAACACTCACTTTTTTCCTCCTAGAAAGTAAGGGGAAATGTCTGTGCGTGTTATGGAGGGAATGCCTACGGCTGGCATGCCTCCAGATTTTCCTCCTTTAAAAACTACATGCGTGTTATGGTCGGGTGCGTGTTATAGAGCGAAAAATACGGTAGTTGGTCTCTAAGGTGCTACTGGACAATTTTTAAAAAATTTTTTTACTGCGTCAGACCAACACAGCTACCTGCCTGTATTTTCTAAAATTAGCATTGACTGCTTGACCCACTGCAATGTGGTATCATTGTTGGTCATTCTGATAGCAACATTCTGTTGTTTACTAACAGCAATCAGCTATGCTCAGATTTGAGTTAAGGGTTACTCAGGTTCCCCATATGTTTTGTAGACCATCCCCGTGATCCTCATTGTGATTACCCTTGTACCAATTTGCACTGAATGGAAACACTTGGGACATATCAGATGCCCTCAAGCTTAGAAATTTAAGGAGCAAGCATATTGCTTAGTGTATTGAAGGATGAAGCCAAATTCCACAGTAGATGGGGATAATTCTTTCCCCTATCTTCCGGCATTATGCGTTACGTTACATATTCCAATGCAATATTGTTACTGAGTTGATAAATGTTCATTTTCTTCCAGAGAGGAGCACATTATTCTAGCTTTTGGTGTCTGTCACTCTTGTGCAGGCAGAGAAACAGAGCAATTAAGTATTACAGAGTTTTAGCTTGGTTTTGCTGCTGTAGTGCTTGAACCTTTAGGAAGGTGCCTTATGTCCAGTCATACCATTGATCCATATAGCTCAGCACTGTGCACTGCCTGGCAGTCCATCTACATCTGTATAAGCATTTCTGAATTGAAGAATCAGCATTTGAGGCCTGCTCTTTGGCCTGTTGGTAAGATGCATAAAGTTGCTGGTGTCGTCACATTTATGGAATTCTCTCTCTCAGGAAATAGGTACATCCCCATCTTTGTTTACCTTTGAGAGAACGCTTAAGATTTTTTTTTAAATTTTGACTATGTTTTAAATCCTTGCTTTTCCTCATTTTAAAAGGAGCAAACCGCTTTCTAAAAATGCCCCCCATCCTGGTGTTATATAAAGATATTTTGTTTTGAATCTCTTGTACACCACCTTGTTAGAGCAATGTGTCCTTAGTGGGGCTTTTAAGTCCTTTACTTACTTACTTACTTACTTAAACAAACAAAGAAACCATCAAACAAACAAACAAATCTAGCTCAGTGTTGTCTGCAATGACTGGCAGGGTTTCAGAATTTCCAGCTGTGTGTGCATGGATCTTTGGAATCTGTTTTTTCAAAACACATTTTTCTCTTGTGAGAAAAGCTTGCTCATCTAACACCATTCCAGATTTGACTGATTGATCAATTGAATGATCGAATCCTGGGCAAACTGATCGGTCTTGTCTTGGTGCCAAAACAATAAAAATGTTGGTGCAAATTGCACTTTGGGTATTCTTCAAGTAGTAATCTATTGTAGAGCAGACAGCAATGTCTTGTGCTTGTCTTAGATTTATTGAGTTAGCTGATTGCAAATCACACTGTGATTTTGAGAGGAGCTGAGTCATCAGCAAGGCAGTTGCTGGCTCTATTCACAGAGTGGCTGAAGTGTTTACATATAAATTACACACAAGCATTTTTACACAAGGCTTAAATGCGCTTATCATTATCCATGACTTATTATGCCAAATACTGCAAATGTGGAAGAGGTATCAAATGTAGCTAATACTGCATTTACAGTCTCATTGCAGATTGCTTAAAGCCAAAACTGATAGAAGTCAGTGTATGGGAAAATAGCCAGAGCATATAAAGGTAAAGGTAAAGGTAAAGGGACCCCTGACCATTAGGTCCAGTCGTGACCGACTCTGGGGTTGCGGCACTCATCTCACTTTATTGGCGAGGGAGCCGGTGTACAGCTTCCAAGTCATGTGGGCAGCATGACTAAGCCGCTTCTGGCAAACCAGAGCAGTGCACGGAAACGCCGTTTACCTTCCCACCGGAGCAGTACCTATTTATCTACTTGCACTTTGACATGCTTTTGAACTGCTAGGTTGGCAGGAGCAGGGACCGAGCAACGGGATCTCACCCTGTTGCAGGGATTCGAACCGCCGACCTTCTGATTGGCAAGTGGTTTAACCCACAGCACCACCTGCATCTCTGGAGCATATAAAGCAAAGGGCAAAAGGAAGATTCAGGATTGGGGATGTGGGAGATGGGATGTCCATGCAGCTATCTCAAGGTCAGAAGCTGGTTGGGGTAGAGGGACAAGATAGAACAAGAGCAAATGAAACTTAACAGTAAACTCTGAAATGCCCTTACCTGTCCAGGCAGATTGGGGCAAAGAGGGAGCAGAGGAAGATCCTGGCATCCGGATGGCACTCTCTGGCTAACAAGGGCAGCCAGCTGGTGGATTGCTGGATTGCTTCAGCCATAGTCTCATGGTCCAGCAGGTTGGGGAGTCTCATCTCGGTGTACCCAATGTCATAACACAAAGCCATGCTTCTTGGAATCGATGTGCATCTGGAAGAGCTTCTTCTGTAGTTTCCAAAAACCCCCGGGAAGTCCCAGATTAGCAGATAACCCAAAAGGACAAGAAGCGGCTGTTGTGCGCCCAGCATCATGGGGTGATGTGCTGTTTTCCTCATCTCTCCGAACATTGCCCCTCCCCAGCAAAATGTGGCCGATTAAAATTCTGCCTTCCCAAAGGGGAATCTAGACTGAGGGGTTTCCTGGTCGGGTTGTGGTTTATTATAGCAGAGAGGCCACCTCTGTATTCGTGCATTCTCATTAAGCTCCCGTGTCACTGGGTTTTTGTTTTCTTCTCTTTGCCAGTGGCCCCTGATTGTTTGCCTTTTTTCAGAGGTTTTGGCTTAGGCTAGCAGGTGTTGAAATGAGGGCAGTCAAATCAGCTTGAATGGTTTCCCCCCTACCAATATCTTGGAGTTCTGATTGAATCATTGTTTGAGACTCCCTCAGGCCCACCCCCTTGCCCCTACCCAGGGATTAGTCATTATTTTCTAAACACCGCTTGTTTTCCTCTCTATTGTGTTTTGTGGCAAAGCAATCACAAAGTTAATTAAGAGACATTTGTTGAGCTCTAGCCATTGTTTAAAGAGGCAAGGGGGTGGGGAGTGCCAGCCCCATGGATTCTGGTTGTTAGCTGTTTTGGAGGCATTTCCCCCCAGTTTGGGTAGTTTTAACATTGGGGGTCATTGTTTACACACAGGATGTAATTGGCAAACTTTTTTATTTTCTAACCATGCCACAGGAAATTAATTGTGGATGGTGGTGTACTTCTTATTTTGGCATGAAGTGAGCTGCTGTGAAACACGAGTGGATAGCTCTATTCCTGGGTAATTGTCGAAAACGTTTATTGTCATCTCATTGGAGTTTAATGTAGGTCTCCTAGAGCCTTAGGGGGCATTGCTTGTTGTGTTGGCTCATTGTTAATTTGTTTTATGCCACTCTGACTAATAGCTGGGGGTAGCTGAGGAGAGGATTACACACTCCTTGCAACAGAAAGCATTCTCTGTTAAGGGTTAACGTGGCCATAGCCAGTTGCGTGCTCTGCTTTTCTGTTTCCCATGAGGTAGGTAGCAGTCTTTCAACTTTCCTAGCTCTGTACCAAGTAAAATCTCAGTTAAAATTTTTATCAAGATGCACGAGGAATTCATCTTTGTGCATCTCACTTATTCGAATGTAGATTAGGAGATAAAATGCTTGGTTTAGATCTGAGTTCAATTTCTGCATCCATCAAGGAATTGCAGAAGTTGCCACCCGCAAGCCCCGCTCACCAAGTGGGAATACAGACACACCTCGGGATAAATACGCTTCAGGTTGAGCGTGTTTGGGTTGCGCTCCGTGGCGACCTGGAAGTAATGGAGTGTGTTACTTCCGGGTTTCGCCACTCGCACATGTGCAGATGGTCAAAATGACGTCACACGCATGCGCGGAAGTCGTGAGACGCGACCCGCTGCCGTGTCTTACGTTATGTTCAGGATGCGAATGGGGCTCCGGAACGGATTCCGTTCACATCCCAAGGTACCACTGTAGTTACGATCAGGGGTCAGCAAGGTTTACCTCGCCTGGGCCGGTTCACTCCAGCAGAGATCCCTCTGTGGGCTGGATTGTGCACGCGTGTGCGCACGACCGCGATTTCAGGCGTCTGTGTCTCCACAGATGCAATTTCTGGCATCGTAGAAGTGAGTCCCTGCACCATGGGGCGCCGGTTTAGTGCAACATGCGGGGACTTGCCGAGCGGGCAGCTCAGATCAGGGGTGGCTCGTGGGCTGGTTAAATGACCCCCGTGGGCCACTTGTTGCCTACCCCTGGTTAAGATGCATTTCATAGGATAGTCTTAAGGATGGACAAAATAAAAACAGCAAAGCAATAAAAAGTGCCAAATTTTAGTAGTGCCTCTTGTTTCAATCTTAATACCAGGCAGAGGAATTCTGTATATGCTCTTGGAGCATGCAGTGTGCTTGCTCAGTGTGAGAGGGGAAAATACAAAACACAGGATATCCAAAAATGGCTTTAAAATTCCAAGCAAGCCCCCAGTGTTCTTGGAAACACTGTCAAAGTTCATCAGTGAGCTAGTGATGATGCCCACATGCTGCCTACACAGGGGGAGAGCCAGAGAACCCCTTAACAAACTCCTGCATTGCGGAGTGGTATTCAGTGGACGTTTCACCCAGACCTTTTGAAATTAATGCCCCTAACTTAGCCATGTTCATTAATTTCAGTGGTTCTCTCTTGAGTAAAACATAGCTGAATACCACCCACAGTGCAGCACCCATAATCCACCAGCCCTGTGACTCAGGCAGCAGCAGCCCTTTCCACTGCCAGCCCCCAGGTATCCCTTCCAGAGAGGAGTCTGATTCCTCTCGTGCTGCTTACAACAACAGCTTGGGGGCACAAGGCAAGGCTGGGATGACGAACCTTTTCCAGCGTGGTGCTGCATTCCTTCATGTGTGGGGTGGGAGCAGCTTGCCAATGACGCACATGGCCAGAGGCAAAACACTGGGCAGACCACTGGATGTGGCTGTTCTCTGTACAGCAAGTTGCATTCTTCCTGCCATACAGTACAGTGGTACCTCGGGTTAAGAACTTAATTCGTTCTGGAGGTCTGTTCTTAACCTGAAACTGTTCTTAACCTGAGGTACCGCTTTAGCTAACGGGGCCTCCCGCTGCCGCCGCCCAATTTCTGTTCTCATCCTTCACCAAAGTTCTTAACCCGAGGTACTATTTCTGGGTTTGTGGAGTCTGTAACCTGAAGCGTCTGTAACCTGAAGCGTCTGTAACCCGAGGTACCACTGTAGTTAGAAGGTTCTGTGCACACCCTTATCTCTCCTTCCTTCATCCAGGCAAGCTAAAGGCATCACAGTTCAAGGACACATTCCAGCCATGCCAGACCCCTAGAAGAGGATGCTGAGCACAGCTGGGGATGCGTGCAACTTGAAGAGAGGGGCGTGTGGCCTGGGGGAAATCCCATGGGCTAGACAGGCAGGCCTGGTGGGCCACCCTGGACCTGAGGATCCCCATCCCTGCATTATCAGTCAACATTTATTTGCAGTCAACGGACCATTAGAATGTTTTATAACATCTCTGGGTTTTATGACATCCTTGTGTTGAGACCCACCCACAGAGCACCCTGGGCAGGAGGCCTGCAGAGCGAGAACGCAACCCTCTTGGGACAAGGACAATAGACTTTTGCCAGTGAACTGAAGGAGCAGCACACGCAGCAAGTGGAGAAGTTGACAGCAGGGGCTCACTCAGTAGGGCAAGAAGCAGGAGAAGGAAGTTTGAGCCCCACCAGGAGAAGCAAATGTAGCTCCACTCACACGCTTGGTCAAAAGCAATTGTGTTAGGGGCAAGAGAGGTTGAGACTCCAAACCCACAGGCAGTATAATCACCACAGAGCACGTCCCTTCCCCATCCCCTCAAGCAGCAAGCGGTTGGACACATCATGGAGCAGTCATATTCTCCAGCCCAAAGCATAGATACCAGGAGGGGCTCTAGCCAGGTGGAACAGCTTTCATTTCATGTGCAGAGGTCCCAGGTACAAATCAGGGAAATAATCTTTAGGCAGGCATCCTCACTATGAATTGAAAACATTTTTGGTTTGACAAGCACATGGTTTAGTTCCCTGTGTCTGTTTTTAAATTTTTCATTGATTCTATCAAAGATGGTGGTTATGTGTGTATTAGTTTCTTGTTAATATTTTTCCCTTGCAATGCGAAAATGTTAAGAAAACTGCTTGTGTTTTTTGGTGTTCACCTTTTGATAAACAAATTCACTTTTCTCTCCTGGTAGAAATTCCAGACTTCCTGAGTGAGGATGAATGCAAGTTAATTATCCACTTGGCTCAGCTGAAAGGGCTACAGAAAAGTCAGATTCTGCCCACAGACGACTATGAGGAAGCAATCGAAATGATAGATATCAGCCAGATGGATATATTTAATCTACTGGACCACAACCAGGATGGACAGCTGCAGCTCAAGGAGGTATTGAGAAGAGGATGGGTTGATATTCTTGATTCATAACGCCTAACATTTATTCTCCTTATTGGCAAACTCTTAACTGTCATATCATTGAATCCCAGCTTTTCAGCATCTGTTCTTGTTTGTTTGGGTTTCTTAGATGTGCTATTAACTTCTTGCTCCCGTCATTTTTTTGCCAGCTTTCTTGGTTTTCAGTTACTTTTCCAAGTTTTTGAATAATAAAGTTTGACAATTGTTAGAATATATAAAACTTATGCTTGCTTATATGTGGATCTTAAACCTTTAACAACATTTAATTAAACACAGCTGGATTGATTGCCAAATCAGGCCGAAAAAAATAATTATTTGTGCCCTTACCATTCTCCAGTACTTTATTGTCCTTTTGGAAGCCCACCGCATATGGCCAGTTGTAGTGCTAAACCATAGTATAAGTGCTATGGGAACAAGCATAGGCTTCCCCTGGACTTTCATCCACCCACCCTGGAACACAGTACACGTTCTCCGAAGTACAGTATTTGTGTGCGTGGATATACACTGGATTCAGTTTTACATTCTCACCCATGGTTGCCAAGAAAGCAAACTCTTTGCAATTTCAGGTACTGACACACACCCGTCTAGGAAACGGCAGGTGGATGACGCCTGAGAGTATCCGGGAGATGTACTCTGCCGTGAAAGCAGACCCAGATGGCAATGGTGAGATTAATGCTGCCTTCTAATAGACTGTGCATTGTAGCTGTCCTAATTGTTTCTTTGTTTTGTTGTGTATATTAAGGATGCTTAAATGCCCCAATGGATGTGTTGTGTATTTTAATGATGTGTTGATTGTATAGTTGTAGGCTGCTTAGAAGCTGTTTGGGCATCTAAGCGGTATATAATTTAATAAATGATTATAGGCAAGTGCAGATCGGGCCTTTGGTTTCTGCATGAAGGGGGATTCCGGGTCATTGGAATTGCGACCAAGAAGGCCCTGCTGCATCTTTCCACCCCGCCCCATAAAGGTAAAGGGACCCCTGACCATTACGTCCAGTCATGGCCGACTCTGGGGTTGCGGCGCTCATCTCGTTTTATTGGCCGAGGGAGCTGGCGTACAGCTTCCGGGTCATGTGGCCAGCAGGACTAAGCTGCTTCTGGCAAACCAGAGCAGCGCACGGAAACGCCGTTTACCTTCCCGCCGGAGCGGTACCTACTTATCTACTTACACTTTGACGTGCTTTCGAACTGCTAGGTGGGCAGGAGCAGGGACCGAGCAATGGGAGCTCACCCCGTCGCGGGGATTCGAACCGCCGACCTTCTGATTGGCAAGCCCTAGGCTCAGTGGTTTAACCCACAGCGCCACCCCGCCCCATAACACACCACAAATAGAAAGAAGCTTCATATGGAGGGAGAGAGGCACTGACTGAGGCAGGCTGGGCAAGGTATAAATTCAGCGGTAATTGTACAGTGTGCGTACAAAATCATATATTTGTTTTGCTTCAATAGTAAAAGAGTTGCCTGGAGATGTAGTATGCTTCTCAGCATGCACTCCACCAGCACAGAAGGTCCACTCTTTTGAGACAGTGCCTTTTTGTCTGCTTCTTGCTGGGCAGTTGGAAGCAGAGGTCAATTTTCTCCATCAGATTTCCCTCCAGCCCCTCAGCTTTAGGCTAGTGGTTCGGTGGTTCCAGGAGCTTTCCAAGCATCCCGCTGGCCTCTTCAGACCTCCTGCTGCCCGGATGTGCGCTGCGATCTCTCCTGCTCTAATTAGAGTGCCTTCAAGTTGAACGCCTCTCCATTTCCTAATCAAATTAAGTCAGCGGGCAGAGTGCACCCACTTACTGCCAGGTTGCCTGATGATCTGCACGGCCCTGGAGAGGTTGCTTTGGAATGGGAAAGAGCACTTTGGTGAATGGAGGACGGGGCTCCAAATCCGGTGTGTAAGCCTTCGCCCTGGTGCCCTCTGGGCTTGTGACGTCTTTGGCAGAGACCAGGGAGGATGCACTGTTTGGTTTTTTCAGCACTGTAAACACCACTGAACTAAAGAGCTTCAATTAAGGTCTCGGTGCCCCGTCTAGGGTGTCCTCACTTTCTGAGGGCTGCTGTTTCCATTGTAAGCAACGTGGCAGCAAGAAAGCCAAGGGTCGTAACCTGGATGTGGTGATAGATCATGGAAGGCTGAAGCTGATGATGGAATAGTGGGTAGAAAATGTGTGCGTGCACTGGAAATAAAGGATGATCATGGCTGTCCTAAGCTGACCTCTCCTCCCAAATCTATTCCCTTCGCTTAAGGGAATTAAGTGTAGACTAGGACTGTTCTTCTGTTGGTGTTTGTGTGTACATGGCAATTTGCTTAGAATTTAGCGACTAGAACAAAATTGGGGTTTATGTTTGTTTATAAAACCTTTAGCCTTTCTGGTGGGGAGGAGGCTGGAACAGAAACATGGAAGTGTCTGTAGGACTCCAGCGCTCAAGGGCAGTGCTTCTATAACCTACATTGCTGTCCCGTCATCTAAGCCTCTAATCATGTCCCTTTTTCTCCAAAATATCTATTGTGCCCCCAGTACTCCCTAGAGAGGCATATTTGTTTGCCCAGTACACAGAGAAAGCATTTGGGTGCTCCCTGTATATGATGCTCCAATTTATTATGCACATACAATGGTAGTTAGTTAGTTAGTTAGTTAGTTAGTTAGTCAGACTTGAAGCTTTCAGTGTTTCTCATTCATTGTTAGACTTGCCAGTTTCCTATTTTAGTTACTCATGTGTGCACAGCATTTGAGCCACCAATGCCAAACTTGCAGTACTGAAGTATAGGACCAACTCAAATATCTAGCTTATTATGCCGAGATACACACAAGTCTTGTGCCTGAGCACTCTGTCCTTGCAGAGTCCCTTCTTGCCTCCCTTCTTCGTGTGCTGTGGTTGAACACACACACACACACACACACACACACACACACAGATTGATTAGCCATATTTTCCTATTATATCTGAACCAGGAAACGATGGTTACCAGGTTCAGAATAACCAGAAACTTAAGAACATCGGAAGAGCCTTCTGGATGACGTCAATGCCCCATCTGCGTCTTCCATCCTTGTTTGCACGGTGGCCAACCACATGTCTGTGAGAAATCTGTAACACTCTGCCTGCCCACTTGTGATTCCCAGCAGCTGATATTCAGAGGGATGCTGCCTCCGACTATGGAGGTAGAAACAGCCATTGTGGCTAGTAGCCTGGTTGGTTTATGATCCCGGTTTGTTTTGAGCCCTATAACCATAGTTCCTGGTTTGGATGCAATGGCTCATTATGGTTACTTAATCCAGGACACGTTCAGTCACAGTGCACTGGGAAGGGAAAGGGGCAGCTCTAGCAGAGTGACTGAGGAAGCCACCTATGATGCTAGCCTCTGCTAGCTGGCTCTCTCACCTAGTCACCTTCTCCTGATGTGTCACAGACAGTGAGAAAACAGGCAAAGAGGCAAACCGTCAAGGCCATGCACTTCAGCAGGAGAGCACATGTCTCTCCTTATGTGACTCCTTATGTGACACTGGCAGCTTTTGCTTGAATGGACAACAAGCAGTGGTGAGCCCCCTGCCTCCCCAATCCATTCTAAAGGGTCTCCCGTCCCCCAGAAGCACATTTGGGGAGTGTGTGAGAGGCTGCTGACCAGAAGGGGGAACAATTGAAAATTGCTTCTCTCCCTGTTTGGCTGACAGAAGCAATCAGCTGAGCGATAATATTGGAAACTTTTAAGATCACCAGTCTCTCAAGGACCATCAAATAGATAGATAGATAGACAGACAGACAGACAGACAGACAGACAGACACACAGATAGGGTAAAAAATTCCTTTCGACCATGTGCCTTTTTAAATTCAAGTATTGGTATACAGTTTTCCCAAATGAGTGTTTTGCCAGTTTTAAAATATATTTATGATACAATAATCTTTATTGTCATCGTCCCATACAGAACAACGAAATTGAAAAATCTACATAAGACATTCAAAAACCAACAAGCCTGCTATCCCAGCTATCCTAACCTGGTTAGCCCCCTAAAAACTCTGATACTCCATTTTTAAATACAATATACTCCCATACAGATTCCTTACAATGTGTTTAAAACCAAAATCGCATTTGGGTAGAAACTGTTTCTCAGGTGGCTAGTCCTAGTCTTTATAACCCTGTACCTTCTTCCAGAAGGCAGAAGCTGAAAGAGATCATTTTCAGAGGTACCACAAGCGAACATTGGAACGGGCAAACCTTTTCTTTTCTTCATATATTTTTCATGTCAGAAGCATGGCATAGTTCCATTACCTTGCGATACGCAATGGAGAGCCAGCATGGTTCAGTGCCTTATGTGTACGTCTTGGTGTCTTCGTGATTTTGGGAGCAGTCATAATGCAAATGATTCCTGGGCATGTACTGCTGATCTTCAGTTGTGTTTTCGGTCCCTCTGTGCTCACCTGTAGTATTTTGTAACCTGGAAGCTGTGAACTAGGTGCCAGCCTCTTCATTTGGAAGGGCAGTCTTCTCCTTTGGTGGTCTTTCTGCAGTCAAGCAATGCCTAACTAAACTGCCATTCAGAACCTTCTAGACCTCTAGCTGGGAAATAGGCACTCTGGCTCTCTTCAGCTAAAAAGTCATGGTTGTGTTGTCACTTTCCAAGGGGAGGGGAAAGAGCCCTTCCACTCAGTTCTCTGCCGACTGCTGTGACAGCAGCAGTAGGAATCTTTTTCTTTGATGGGGTTTTGTCTTATTTCCCCCCTCAAGTTGTTGGCTTTAGTTTTTCACTTGGCTTTTTTCTTCTTCTGGTGTCATAACGTCTTTGCTAAGGCGTCTTTGCTAAGGCGTCTGGTGTCATAACATCTTTGCTAAGTTTCCCCCCCAGTCAGAAATAGTTATTGCCCTCATGAGAGCTTCCCTGTGGCATCTGTGGTGCATCAGCTATCATTTAAAAGGTGCCATATGTGTGACACATATCCAAACTGGTATACTTTCCTCCTGCTAAAGGCAGAGCGGATTATGGTAGTGGTTGCTAGAAGGTTGGCTCTGATTTGGCGTCAACCGTTGCAGCATGTTGACAAATACCTGAATGCTCTGCAACATCATCATCATCATCATCATCATAAAATAATTTATTTATACCCCACCCTCCCCAGCCAAGACCGGGCTCAGGGCAGCTAACAACCAATAATAAAAACAAGTTGATTAAAATACAATTTAAAAAACAAGATTAAAATACAACATTAAAACATTAAGATGCAGCCTCTTCACAGGAGGAGAAAGGAAAAAGAAAGAGGGGGAGAGAATCAACTTGATTCTAAGACAAAGGCCAGGCAGAACAACTGTCTAAAAGGCCTTGCGGAAAGAAATCAGATCCCGCAGGGCCCTGGTCTCATGAGACAGAGCGTTCCAACCAGGCCGGAGCCAGTGTTGAAAAGGCCCTGGCTCTGGTTGAGGCTAATCTAAGCCTGTGCTTTCTTCTCATTCTTCCGTTAGGTGTGCTGAGTTTGGAAGAGTTTAAGCAGCTGAACATTCGGGATTTCCACAAGTATATGGGCAGCCAAAAAGTGAAGATGAGTGACCTGGTGCGGAACAGCCAGCACACATGGCTGTATCAAGGCGAGGGAGCCCACCACGTCATGCGCTCCATACAGCAAAGGTAAGAGGGACTCACAGATATTTAAAACAGAGAGAGGTTCGCCATTCCTTGCAGCCATACTTGGATCCCACTCAGTTTTATTATATTAGAGAGTTCTCAACTGATTAAAAAGCGTTTCTGTATTATGAATTGCCTGTTGTTGTTTTTTAGTTATCAATTAAAATTTAAACACGCATGGGCTCCTTTAAAGGTGCTAAAAGAATGTGATGACTGAGAAGGGCATAGTAACTTGAAAATGCTCAGTTACACTTTGAAAAGGCTTTTTTAAAAAATCTCATTCCCTGACCACGTAACCACACGGTGATACAGCCAAAGGGAGGCAGTGAGGCAGCTCAGCGCCAAACTACTAGACGGTATGTTAAATGTGTATGTGCATTCAACAGGTCTTGTCTTTACTTTAAGATAAACCAATGTAGGAGGACGGTGGTGCACAGGAAAGGTTTTAACCCTTTCCTCCTGTGCTGCAGTTCCAGTGCAAATCTATCCCCACCCCTGCCCAGTAGGCATTTGCCCTGGGAAGAAAATTGGCACTAACACCAGTAGAACCCTCTTCCTACAGAACTGGGAGTGCAGTCCTAAGCATGTTTATGCTAAAGTAAGTCCCACTGACTTCACTGAGACTGCCTAGAAAGCCTCCTTAGGACTGGAACCTGAAAGCACCTGCTCCTTTTGGGTTTTTTTGTGTGTGTTTTTTTTGGGGTGGTTTTTTTTTTTTTTTTGCAAAAAATGCTTAGATGATAGTGAAAGTGACTGTCCTTCCTGAGGTTAACTTCCATGCTTCTTTATACGTGAGGCAGGGTTTTCTGCATTCAAAAGAAAAATGCTTCTCTTCCATTTGATCATACAAGTGATCAAATCCGTTGTCAGCTGGCAGTTCTTATAAAAAAGAATCTCAATTATGTTTTGTAAATAAACATTGAAAATATCTCTCTGTGTATGTTTACACACACACACACACACACGCTACAGAGGAGCAAATGTAAATATGATGATGATGGTTAATTCAATTTATATACAGTGGTACCTCGGGTTAAGTACTTAATTCGTTCTGGAGGTCCGTTCTTAACCTGAAACTGTTCTTAACCTGAAGGCCACTTTAGCTAATGGGGCCTCCTGCTGCCGCCGCACCACCAGAGCATCCTGAAGCAAAGTTCTTAACCTAAAGCACTATTTCTGGGTTAGCGGAGTCTGTAACCTGAAGCGTATGTAACCCAAGGTACCACTGTACTGCCCTTTATCACAAGATCCCAGGGCAGTGTCCAACATTAAGAACACATTTTTTGAGCACAATAATAAGAACATAATAAAAAGCATAATTATATTCTATATCTTTGACTTAGATAGCTGCTGTGAATGTCAGTTGCTTACCATCTTGAACTTGTCAAGTAAAACATTTCTGTCCCTAGAGGTGTTCACATGTTACATTCAACAAGTATATGATCTGTGTTGAGCTGTGCATTTGTACAGTTGGTAACATTCAACACGTATACAGTCTGTGTACTTAAGTGCACAGTGACAGCTGTACAAACCCACAAGCGCACACTCTTTCACTTACATGTGTGGAGACAGCTTATACCTACGTTCAGTGTAATGTGTGAACAGGTACCCTATCCCAGGACAAAGGGGATGACAGTGGCATGTGGGGACATTGGTTTAGTAGCAAGTATAGTTTAATAGTTCAACGGTCATGTCTCTGCTTCTCCTCCTTTAGGGTGATTCACTTAACCCGTCTGCCTTCTGAGATTGTGGAGCACAGTGAACCCCTGCAGGTAGTGCGATACGACCAAGGCGGGCACTACCATGCCCACATGGACAGTGGACCGGTGTTCCCTGAGACTGCCTGCAGTCACACCAAACTGATTGCCAATGAAACTGCTCCATTCGAGACCTCGTGCCGGTTAGTCTAGAGCCTGAAGAGGAAACTAACCGTCTGTAATCTGTTCTTTCCCTGTTACTCCATGTTTTGTTCTGAAACAGAGACTCCGTCATGTTTTTAGGGACATAAACATTCAAGTGCAAATCAGCTGGCCTCACTTAACCATGGAGAGGTCAAAGAACACAGCATGCATGTGTGCTTTCCAGTTATAAGTTAGTGAAGAGGAATGCTCAGTCAGCTATTCCTCCAGAACATCATGCTTCTCTATGTGGAGGCTTTTTATGCACCTGAAGACTGTTGGCGAAAGGCAGGGGCAAAATTTCTCTGAGTCCTACTCTGCCTGTGACATTATTATTTGAGTCTATAGCTATAACCATGGTTCTGCTCTAAACCTGAGGTTTGTTTTTCTGTAACCTCCCTTGCTTTGCTGTTTGATTTATATATTTGCTCAGGTTGGGAGCACAGAACAGAGCATGTTTTTACTTTCTGACCTGTGAGTTGGCCCGAGAAACTGATGTAGGAATTATAGGATATCAGTCCCACTGAATTCATATAGGATTGCAGCCTAGGTCACAAAAATGGGGGTTAACCTGTGAGTAGATGGGCACGAAATCGTAACTTCCAAGTAGATGTGCATAGTATTTTACTGTTGCATTGCAAACCTGAAGGGGAGGGCTAAGCAATTTCAATAACTTTGGAGCCTAACCTGTGCTAATGGCCCCTGCCTTTCACAGCTACGTGACAGTTCTGTTCTACCTAAATAACGTGACCGGAGGAGGAGAGACCACTTTTCCGATAGCTGACAATAGGACCTATGAAGAGCTGGTAAGGTCCTTCTTTGTGGCCTGTTTTTCTTGGAAAACTCCGTTTTCTTTGAGTACTTGTGTTAAACATGAACACCTGGTAGATGGCTGAGAAACCATAATTTTCCGTGTATAAGATGCCCCCATGTAAAAAAAACTCCCCCTATTTTGTGGGACTCAAATTTAAGGAAGTGGGGGGAGATGGAGAGTTGTTGAGCTTTTTGGGGGGAGGATTGCCCAGTTGCCACAGCGTCAGCCAATCAACACCAGCTCTTGATGCAGCAACCAATACCACGCCCAATAGTCGCTGACAGCCACAGCAGCAACCAATCAAACATCCACCCTATGCACTACCCATGTATAAGACGACCCCCACTTTTTAGCATCATTTTAAAAGAAAAAAACCTAGTCATACATGGAAAAGTATGGTAATCTGCAGACCTTTAGTTAGTGAATGTGTTACAGGGGCATCTTCTGCTGTTGCCCCTGTTTTTTGCAATGCTCTCCCTGATACCATATAGGAAACACCAGCAGTTACCCGCTTCAGACATCTTTTAAAGATGTTTCCCCACTCCCGGGTTCCCCTGTTCGTTAAATTGGATCCTGTCTTTTTGATACTACAATGCTTGTTGCACTTTTGCTGCTGTTTTAATGGTTTTATGGTATATTTTTAGCATTGCCCATAGATAAAGATCAGAGCTTTCCAAACTGTGTGTCGTGACACGTTAGTGTGTCGGCTGCAGTGTGTAGGCATGTCGCATAAACGCTCCCTACGCTCATTCCAGGGCTGGAAAGGGGTTAGTTTCACCTCCGGTTTGCTATTAAAACTGAATTACTGTGTCGCAAAGTGATGTAAAACTGAATTACTGTGTTGCGAAATGACGCATGTCTGAAAAGTGTGTCACTAACATGAACAGTTTGGAAAGCTCTGCTATTAGATATAGGGCACCTTTTTAGTTAGTTCAAGATTATTGGAAGTGTTTAGTCTGATAGGGGAAGTCCAAGGATGCCCCCAGGTGTGTCAGTTCGTGGCACAATCATTGTGCTGTACTAATATGTTGTAGGTGGGTGGGGATCCAGATGGTTTTATTCAAGATAACACCCCGTTACAAGGAAATCCCTTCCTCTCAGCATTCCGTTAACAACATTTTGTTTCTAGAAATATTGCAGCTTATTATATGGCATATGGTTGCATGAATGTACTGGCTATTTTGTGCTACGGATTTTGGATGTGCAAAACAAATCCTTGCTCCACCCTCCTCCCCACCAGTCCATGTTATTTTCTGAACTCCTAAAAGATTCCCACCCCTTTTTTTATTCTCTAGAAGTTGAGGTTAATGCTCCCTTACGATACCGTGCAAACATGAGAGCACTGAAGTAGCGCTTCAACTGCTGAACGCCACCAAGCACTGTCTCTTAGCACTGTGAATTTTATACACACTCTTTTTAAGGCCAGATGCTTTATTTCTTATTTCACCTGCAATGCACACCTCCCCATTAATTTCAGTGGAACATACTTCAAAATATATGTACTTGAGCGTGACAGGTGAAGTATGCAAACATCCTATAGCTATAAAATGTTCCATATGGTTTGTTTCGTTTCTGAGGTTGTTGTTTTTTTAAATCCCACCTCTCCTTAAAATCAAGACGGCTTGAAAAAATATGGAGCTGTTCTATGTAAATGGGAACATATGTAATGCTAGTATAGGATGTTCTGTGCCTTGATTTATTTATTTGTGGTTGATTTGTTAAGTTCCTGGCACGCAGCACAATAAGGATTATTTCCCTTTTTCTCTTCCAGTCTCTCATCCAGAATGATATTGACCTACGTGACACTCGTAAACACTGTGATAAGGGAAACCTACGTGTAAAACCCCTGCAAGGCACTGCTGTTTTCTGGTACAATTACCTGTCAGATGGAGAAGGTAATATGTCCTCTCGTGGCACTCGTCTGCCAGGATGTCTGAGCTGCATTGCCCAGTGGGGTGTAGTGGTTAAGAGCGGTGGACTCGTAATCTGGTGAACCGGGTTCGCTTCCCTGCTCCTCCACCTGCAGCTGCTGGGTGACCTTGGGCCAGTCACCCTTCTCTGAAGTCTCTCAGCCTCACTCACCTCACAGAGTGTTTGTTGTGGGGGAGGAAGGGAAAGGAGAATATTAGCCACTTTGAGACTCCTTGGGGTAGTGATAAAGCGAGATATCAAATCCAAACTCTTCTCTTCTTCTTCTTCTTCTTCATGCCGATTTGCCAGCCAAGGGTCAATAATTGGAGGAATCCCAGGGGTTGAGCTGTTGTCATGTGAAACCTGGCTTCTCTCAGGAGTGGTTCATGGGTTCTTATTTCCTTGCAGGCTGGGTTGGCGACCTAGATGAATATTCTTTGCACGGAGGCTGCTTGGTCACTGAAGGAACCAAGTGGATTGCCAACAACTGGATCAACGTTGATCCCAACAAGAGGCGACAGCTCCAGTTCCAAGAGGAGATGGCTCGATATACAAACAGTGCGGACGAGGACCAAAGCGAATGGACTGTGGACAAATCCTACAGCAATGTACATGTGGAGCTGTAGTGCTTGGAGATGCCTTTTCGTGGACTTGGACGAAACTTTTTTGCACTAGCCATTTTCAGCCCTCTTTCTCCCACTTCCCCCCCATCCCCGCATATCTCAGCAGAGATTGCTAGCTGCGCTCCAGCCTAGACTGGAGAAAACAAGGGACTGGATAGGGAGGTATGGTCTGGAATGCACTGTGAAAGAGAACTGGTGAGGCAGGAGAAATGACCGTGGCTGGTTTGTTAGGGTGCAGTTCTCACTTGCATCTTTTTTTTAATGTCTGGCTTTGGTTCTAGGTCTCTGAGCAAGCCTTCCCCATGGCATGTGCAGTCAGTCAGCCTCCAAGTTTGTTGCTCTTCTTCATCCTGAGCCATTACCCCCCGCTGGAAGGCAGTTCTTCTCCTTGAGCTGGTTTGCATCTCTGTTCCTGGCCCCTTCCCACCTGCTGTCACAAGATCTCCTCGTAAAGCAGCAAAACTTATCTCAGAAAGTGTCTCTTCTCATTCCAGGTGGTTCTCTAGGGGGCAAAGCTGTCGCTCCTAGCACTCACAGGCACAGGTCATCGTAAGTACATAATAATAGGTAAACTTTATGTAAGGGGGTCTTGAGCAGCTGTATGTAAAGGAAGTTTCAGGATTGAAGGTGCTGGAGTCATTCCGGATGATTTCTAATGCTCATCATGGAGAATTTTTCTCAGGGTCAGACTCGGTTCTGAATAAGGACATGGTTCTGAAATATTTATTGTGTTGATTATCGGGGGGGGGAGTGTTCAAGTGTGCAATAGCAGCTGGTGTGCTGTGTTTGTTGAGTTTTTCATTTCAGTAACTTGATTTGTGTGCTCAGTTGGGTTTTTCCCCTCTGTGAGTCTGTTTGGAAGGAGTTCTCTCCCAGCCCCAGACATGTACCACTCCATTTAGTGTCTGGTTTGGGCCAACAGCATACTCACATCATGTTCCTTCTTGCAGATGGATATATACAATCATGAACGTAAGAAGATTCCTGTTGGATCAAACTAAAGGTCCCTGTGTACCAGAAGCCTGCTTTCCACAGTGGCCAATCAGATTCCTCTGAAAAGCGGGACATGAAACTGATGGTCCTTTTCCATTGTTGCTGCTCAAGAGACAGTAGAGGCGCGGGTGGCGCTGTGGTCTAAACCACTGAGCCTCTTGGGCTTGCCAATCCGAAGGTCAGCTGTTTGAATCCCCGCAACGGGGTGAGCTCTTATTGCTCTGTCCCAGCTCCTGCCAACTTAGCAGTTCAAAAGCATGCCCAGTGCAAGTAGATAAATAGGTACCGCTGCAGCGGGAGGGTAAACGGCGTTTCCGTGTGCTCTGGTTTCCGTCATGGTGTTCCAATGTGCCAGAAGCAGTTTAGTCCTGCTGGCCACATGACCCAGAAAGCTGTCTGTGGACAAACGCCAGAAAGTGAGATGAGCGCCATAACCCCATAGTCGCCTTTGACTGGACTTAACTATGCAGGGATATTTCACCTTAACCTTTTTGCTCAGGAGACACATGGCATCTGAACATGGAGAGCGGGATTCAGCTAATGAGTCCCATCAAGGGAAGCCCTGTGCAAGGACTGCCGCTTTGCACCCTCTGAAATTAGTTCTGGGGGAATTGGGAGAACCCCTGGAACAGCATGCGGAGGGAGAAAAGGAGGGATTATTCCACAAGGCAACCCAAAATTCTTGCCTTGATGGAGTAATCACCTAAGTGCAATGTTGAATTCCTCCCTTAGCTTTCATATAGCCATCATGGGTAGTTGTTGATTGCCTTATCCTGCATGAATTTGTCTAATCCCCTTATAAAACTATCTAAACCAGTGGCCATCATCTTGAATGCCATAAATGTATTATTCATTGTGTCCAGAAGTACTTCCCTTCAGTTTGTCCAGAATCTCTTCTGCACCATGCATAATTTTACAAACCTCTTTCATGTTTCCCCTTACTCAATTCCCTGCTCCCCAAACTAAAAAAAAAACAAAACCCAAGCAACACTCCTTTTCTGCGCCTGTTCCAGCTCTACAATATCTTTTTTGAGATGAGGCTAATCAGAGAGGCTTTCCCCCTGTAATTGAACTTGAAGCGTGAGCCAGAGTTGGCCCTTTTCGCTTCTGTGTTGGCCTGAGGATATATTTCTTTCTAATAGGTGTCTGTAATAAAAAGGAAGTGGTGTTGGAAAAGGAGATGAATTGGAAAGGTACAGTGGAGCTTCAGTAAGATACAGAGAAGATTCCTGTAGCATTCAATGAGACCACAGGAAGCTTGCAACTGTAGACAAACACTTTCATCGCTGTTAGGAAAGCTGGGATTAATTGCATGGCGTTTTTAATATATAATTGAAAGATAATTTACAATTACAAAATCCCTCACTGTTCAACATCTTGACATAATGCAAAATGCAGGGTTTGGTTGTAGCCATCACTATAGAGGCTTTGGCCTTGCAGCTCATAATTTGTAATAAGTTGTATCCTTTAGGAAAGCTATCCACATTGAACCCAAAATATATGGATCTATCTTCCATGTAGCTCTCAGTGCTGGTGTTGGAAATCCCAGACTGGCTGCTCCATCCTGATGAGCAAATATATAATTGTCTCATCCCCCCGCCCGCACAAATATTTTTATTTTGACATTTTTATTGTTTCCTCCTGATGCCTTGAGGTTCTGAAGTAGACAAAGCTGCCTTTAAGGTGGCCGTCTTGCAGCTAGTTATCTAGCCGGGTGCCTCCATTGCTGTCCAAAGGATGCTAAGTTGTATGGCATTTTCCTTGCTTTGATAAGTTGCCATTCCTACACGGTAGCTCTCCCTGAAGACAGAAACTGATGTTATTGTGGAATGTTGATTGTTGTATATATTGAATCAGTTTATGTCGGCAGCAAGTGAATTTCCATTCCAAGGAATGAGTGCATCCCATGCATCCCTTTTTACTGGGGTCCTTGTCGATTGCCTTAGTTAGAGACCTGTGCAGCCTGTGACCTTCCAAGCCAAACACAGCCCACCAACCTGGCACATGCTTAAAAACTTCCCCACTCTGCCACCTTATTTTTGTAGTCCCAGGCAGGTCCCGGTTGCTTGTAGTCAGCTTGGTGGGTCACGAGTTGTGTAGATCAGCCTTAGTAGTGTGCTTTATAACGCAGAAAGGTTAAGGCTTGTGACCACTACATGGCCCTGCCAGATGAAAAAATGTCACCCCAGTCCTCCACAATACCCTTGTAAGCTTCATTGATTTTGGTGCAGGTTATTTTAATGAAATAGGCCTAAGGTTGCGACTTTTCTGCAGTCCCGCTGCAAGGTTTTGTGGGGTGAGGAGAGTGAAGTAGGTGTTCTTCTGATAGGATACAACGAGGATTCAGTATCCCTGAAGCGGCTTGCTTTCCCTGGTATGACTTTGGAAATTTAACCGCATAGCAGATAGTTTACAAGCCAATTTAAAGTTCTTAGCGGTCCCCTTTAGGAACTGTTTAATAAGAAGAGTCTAGACTCAGCTCAAAGGTCCTGTCTCATTTAGTACTTATGAAATGCCAAAAGGCTGGACATGAAATAGACCTCCTATTTTGCTGTTCATTCCAAACTAGGACTTTGCAATCTTGTTTTGAGTGTGTTTGTGTGTGTGCTAGAGAGGCTATTCACCTCTAACTTGAGATATTTATATTTTACTAGCAGAGACTTGAAGTGTAGAAGAATGTAGGGCTTTGACTGAGGTTTAAGAAGCCATGAATTGGATGAGGATGTGATGCCACCTTTTTCCAGTTTGCAATCTACAAAACCAAAAACCCCTGGGCCACGAATGGGGAAGCGCTGCAAGCAGTTGCATGGCCTGTGGATTGTGCAGTATCCCACACCCAGGACCGCATGGATGTTTGCCTGGGCTCAGCTACCTGTACTGGAGTGGGGGGAGGGTGGTGTTAGCAGAGAGGTTTGCTTTGTGAATCATGTCCTTAATTGCCCCAAAGGCATGACATGCGTATCCAAGCCCACAGCTGAACCCTTTGCTAACCTTAGCTAATATAAGTGACTTGATGTTGCCGGTTGCATTGATAGGTAACTGGTCAGCGTTGGATTTTGTATTTCTGTGTGTTCCCTACACTTGTGTGTTTTGCAAAAAGTTGTTTTTTTTCCTTATTATTTAATATTTATTTTATTTATTGTTTTCCACACACAGATGTCAGGTAGCTTGTCTATCCTGCAAATAAAAGTTTGAAACCTAGCTGTTATCTGTACATTTTCTTTGCGCCTCCCATTCCTCATTGGGGTATGAAGTTATGCATTCCACAGATTACTATTTTCTACTCTTAAGAACTGGGGCACCATCTAATTTTGTAGTGGGGCCCAAAGCAAGTCTCTGTTCATTAGTCTCTTGGTGCCTAGAATTTCCAGGCTTGGCGTTAAACTGAAAGCAATCCCCCCACCCCACTCATCTATTTATTTTCTGCTGTCTCTGACTGTAAGTGATTAAAATGCTTTTTCTATAAGCATAAGATTTTTATTTTTTTTAAAGTGATGATGTTCTTGCCCGTTTTCCTTTATATCCAGTGGTGTTATTCCTAAAGCATTTAAATTACAAAATTAAGATAAAGCCAGATGCAGCTTTTTCTGGGAGTTTACCTTAGTGAAGACCTCACTTGGAAAAACAATATAACTCAGGTGGTTAGGAAGGCCCAACAGAGACTCCATTTTCTCAGGGTCTTGCGAAATAACAATGTTAAAGAACAATTGATGACCTCTCATATTGTATCATGGTGTGGTACGTTGACTTGACAGCCACGGACAGAAAGTCTTTACAGAGGGTGGTGAACACAGCCCATGATATCATGGGCTGTCGCCTGAGCCCGCTAGATGACATAGCAAGGGATCGCTGCCTTAGGAGAATGAGAAAAATTCTTGGACGATTCACACCCCGGCTAGCACCTCTTTAATCTTCTACCCTCGGGCAGGAGATATGGAAGTATAATCAGTCGTACCAACAGGCTAAAAAACAGTTTCTATCCGTGGGCTGTTAGGCTGCTGAACGGAAAATAATATAGTGCAACTGACTAAAGGGGTTGGTGTGTTGTGCTACAAGCACACAGAGTGCAATGAGATTGAGTGTTTGTGGGGAGAAGAGGGAGGCTCGGTTAATTTCATTGTACACAGGTTGTACATTGGCAATAAAGGTATTATTATTATTATTATTATTCTCATGAAAGATAAAATCTCTTGTATGTCTCTTACACCATGATCCAGTTTTAGGAGCAAATGCTCCATTTGTAGACCTTTATTGTGAGCCATGTCCTAGTGCTTCAAACACAAAGTTAAAGCAGGCTATATAAAAAAAAAGCCTTTGATTATATTGTGGAAATGACAGGTTGACAGTTTTTCAACCCTGGTCCCACTTTTATTCGCTCCAATCTAGTCACAATCTTGGTTATATTCTGCGAATGCATGTCTTGATATGAAAACTGCATGGGGAATGTTTTTATGGCTTTTTACATAGTCAACTAGGTCACCTTTTTGATAAGTAACAGCCAGATAAATCCTGTATTTAAATTATGCCAGTATCAGAAAGATACTGTCTCTGCACTATATCCAATGTGTGTTCTACCCAGAACAGGAGAGGAAAACACATACAGGTAAGAAAACTAAAATCAACCCCACGTGTCCCTGGAAACTCCTTCAGTACAAATCAGGGACTACTGAAAGCAACATCAACACGCCGCTCACATGTAGAGGAAGTTAATGAACTCAAGGTATTGGAGATGTGGCTGTGGTAGCTACCGCTTCATCGCATGTGATGTGATGACCCAGCAAGAACCCTGCGCCACCTGGTTCCCAGATAGCCTAAGTTCCACTCAGAGGAAGACCCGTTGAAATGAATGGACCTAAATTAGGTGTGTTGATTAATTTCAATGGTTCTACATTATGAATGGGATCGTATGAGCTGTTCAACAGTGGACAAGAATGTCTTGGAAGGTAACACTGCGTCCTTAAGAGGTTTTTAAGCAGGGAATAGTTGCCCACTTTTGAGGCATGCTAGAGCTGTTGATTTTCTTGCATAGGCTGGTGGTTGAGCTGGATGAATTCTCTGGGAGTTTCTGTAGAGTTTTGGAGAACTCAAAAACTTGCTATCTTGTGGACCTTTTGGTTGGCCTAATAAAGGCATTGCCTGAATAAGAACTTTGGGGGGGGGGGGAACCTGCGGTGGTGGCTGAGATATACCAGAATGCTGGAAGGACAAAAAAAACCCCCTATCATCATCTACTCAGTGGTCTCAATATCTCAGCACCCTTTATACATTTGAATGCATGGCTTGCCATTGTCAATCTCATTTAGATAGCTATTTGGACACATGGATTGCCTACCTATATGTTTAAATTGGGATGGATGGTAGGGCTGCCATACATCCATACATTACCAGGATTTTAAGGGCGGAAGGGACATCCAAGGGGAATTTCAGGAAGGCAGCAGCTTGTTCTGGATCTTTGGCAAGTTGTGGGTTTTTGGCAACCCTAACTGATGGGATTTAAAAAAAATATCATTAAGACTTTTAACATTTATCATCATACACAAATCATAATAATTTTACAAATAGGATTCTCAGAATCCCCAAACTTCCCTCCACCCCATCCATAGTTTCCCCAGATATTCTTTTCAAACTGCATCGTATCATATTTTCCATATTTTCTTAAATCTCAATTTTTATCATAATTCTCACTTCATTGCAAGTGTTTTTAAAAACCTGCCAATGTTTTCAGTTGTTTACAGTGTTCTTTCAAGTAACTTAAATCCCGCCCCCCTAACTGATGGTAAATTATCACTGTTAATGTCAGCTGGTAACCTTACTTTTATTTTATTTTAAATTTTATTTTCTTCTTGTTTTGGCACATATATGCACATACTGTGTGTGTGTGTGTGTGTGTGTGTGTGTACATATTATGTGTACTGTGTGTATAAAGGTTTTCTATTTACCTTTTGCCTTAATATAGCTATGTATATACAGTATTTATCTATTTAGATAGAGCTGTGGCTTTAAGAAATTCTCTTCCTGCCTTTGCCGGCCTTTAACTACCAATCAGTCTCGGCGGCCTGGGAGAGAACTTCCGTTGGCCAATAGCATCCCTCCGTGTCTTCGGAGCTCGGAAGATGCCTCCCAATTGGTTCATGGGGTCTGCGCCCGCGCGCGAGAGAGAGCGAGGTAGGGCGACCTGCTTTCTCGCGATATGGTGGCCCCTGCTTTGCTTCTCTCCCTCCCGGCGCTGCCACGCGGGTCTTGCTTCTGCGAGCGTGTGCGCGCGCCTTCCCTGCCTCTTCCCCAGGCTGTGCACGAAGCTCTGGCTGCAGCGCCCCCGCTTCGCTAAGCATTAGGCTAGAAGCATTCTGTGGCTTAAACCAGGACGGGGTCCTGGGGGGCGCCCAGGTGTTGGTGGGTCAAGACTCCCCCCATCCCTGACTTGAACCTCATGTAGCCTCCCTCCGCACTGCCGCATGCACGCCCACTTTCCCTCCTGCAAGCCCTGGTCTGTGGAAGCTTCTGCCACAAGAAGTGTGTTGCCCTTTCCACTTCAGGCAGTAATGTGTCCCAACAAATCCGCAGTTTCTCCGGCTTAAGCATCCCATTCGTTCTGTGCCTGCTGTTCCTCCACGGGGAGCGCGCTCTTTTATCCAGTCTCTCCCATTTATATATTCAATCAACGGCCCTCCCTGATTTTGTTTCGTATCTGCCAATATAAGAAGCTGACCAAAAGTTTGCCACACACAAAAAATACTGTTGTGCAGCGGCATCCAGGGGCTTCTCAGAACGGGCAAGTACACTCCTGTTCAGACCACTTTTACTATCAAATAAAAAGCCTGGTCGTTTACCAAGTGCTTCGGAGGTTAAATCATTTCTTTGTCATAAGAACTGAGCAAAGTTGGCTTGTTCCCATTGTACAGATTTTGGTTAGAACCAGCAAAGCATCTTTCATCCAAGACTTTGGCTGAGGTGGGATTTGAACAGAGGCCTCTCGGGTCTAAACCGAGAACAGCATTTACATTTGCTCTCTCTCTAGCAGGTGGCATCTCATCCCTGCATGCCAGGGGTGGGGACCTTTTTTATTGTCAAGGGCTGCATTCCCTCAGGGGTAGTTGGGGGGCACATGGCTGGTGGTGGTGGGTAAAATTGGAGCAAAAAGTGGACAATGCACTCCCTTCTCTCTCTCCCGGTTCACTTCCTTCTTCCTGGCTACCCCTTTTTCTTCCATTTTTCCTTCCTTCCTATCTGCATGAAATTAGGCCAGGGAACGAGGTTTCCCACCCCATCCCTAGTGCTCAGTGATGTGAGTTACCTGCTAGCTAGACTATGCTGACTTTTATCTGGAGTAGCTCTAATACAGCTCCAAACTCTACCTTCCAAGCCAAAAGGCAGCTTACTTCTGTATCCATCACCTCAAGCTGTGGAATATCTGCAGCATTTATTACTCTTCCCACCCCCCTTCTTCCTCAGATGTCTTATGTAAGAGGAAGCAAATCGACAGGAGCCCTCACTTCCGATCCTTGTTCAGCGATGGAAACTGAACTGCTGCTGGCTCCTATCACAGCTCTGGAGATTGTGGATGATCACCTTGTTGCAGGTATGCGGTAGGGCCAGAATATCCTGGGGCAATGGCAGCCCACAAGGTAGCCTTCCCGTGTTGCTGGAGTCCCAACTCCCTGTGGTCAGGGGTGGTGTGAGTTGCAACATCTGGTGAGCAGAGTCCTTTCCGGTGGGCAATGGGTAACATTATGTCAAGTGTGTCAGATACCACACTATGGCACTGAACACTTGGTGAAACGAAACATGATAATGGAGGGCTTGTTTCAAAGCCAGGTTCTACCCAGCTGAATAGCCAAGCAAAGCAGGAATCACAGCAAGATAGTGCATTACAGTGGGACAGGCAGGCACCAAGTCAGGGGAGGAGCCCAGAGCTCCTGCAAGCTGGTTTATTGGATTTCATAAGTCCTGTTGCTGGGGAAATGATGCTCCTAGAGATGATGGGAAGTGGGGGATCTATCAGAAACCTGTTCCCATATCAAGCAAGGCAAAAGTTGTGGGTAACGTGATTCCACAGGGACAGTTTGACAAGAGGCCGTGCGAAAGCTGCATCAGAAGCAATACCAGATTCGGCCTTGGTGTATCTTTCATATTGGGACCAGGCGCTGCTGAAGGTGTACCTGGCCTGGTATGGAGGTTGTGTGTGGATCATGTTTGTGAGGATGGATGCTACTGGGAAGAGTACAGTATATATATAAAGATCAAATGAGGTGATTCTAGCCTCTTTTCCTCCAGGTGAAGGACCCTACCTTGCCATCTACTCCCTGGAGCCTGATGCCAGCCAGTCATCAAGATGCCATAAGAAGGTCCTTCGAAACCATAATGTCCATGGTATCAAGGAGCAGCAGGATGCGGCCCCAGGACCAACCACCCTAGCTGTCTTTGGAGGCAAAGGCCTCGTCGTTTTAGAGCTCAGCTTCCAGGGCGGCACGGCAAAACTAGCCGAACTCTTTCCTTTCCGCGAGCTGCACGACTGGATCTGGGACCTGCAGTGGTTGGAGGCACCTGGCTGTGTGGCGTTGGCCCTGGGCCACAACTCACTGGCACTGTATGACTGCGCTGGCCAGAGGACCCTTCGAGAAGTGCATTGCCAGGAGAAGTGCATCCTCTACTCAGCCCACCTGGTTGGGAGCAGCTGGGACACGCTGGTGCTGGTGGCTGGCACAGTCTTTAACCAGCTGGTGGTCTGGTGCGCAGCCGACCCGCCGGACGACACAGGCAGGGTGAAGCCCCGAAGCAGGATCAACGGGCACAAGGGCGTCATCTTCAGCATCTGTTTCTCAGGGAGCAAAAGCATCTTGGCCTCGGCCTCAGATGACAGGAGCCTGCGGCTGTGGGGCGTCAGCGACCTCAGGTCGCCCCCTGACCCTGTCCCATGCCTGCTGGTGTGCTACGGGCACCAGTCTCGGGTCTGGGCGGTGCGCCTGCTCAGCAGTTACATCCTCAGCATTGGAGAAGACGCCGCTTGCCTCGTGTGGAACTACCAGGGCGAGATCGTTCACCGTTTCAAAGGGCACAAGGGGCGCGGCCTTCGGGCAGTCGCCGCCCACGAGAGGCGGGGCTGGGTGTTCACAGGCGGGGCCGATTCTGGCATCAGGCAGTGGCTCCTTAAAGGGCAGGGCGACGGCGGGAACAGCCTTGTGCGGCTGGACTTCCCCTCACCTCGCAGAAAAGGATCTCCCAGAGCGGTGAAGCTGGTGGATGTAAACCACCTCCTTGTGATGACGGACGCTGGGGCCGTCTACGCCTATGACTTGACCTCTAAAGCCTGGGCGTTGGTCCTTGAAGATGCTGCGTATCGGTCCTACAGCCTCCTGGAAGTCTCCGTGCTCATCAGCGGCGTCGCGGTGTGTGCCATGGGCAACCTGTTGGGACAGGTTAAAGTCTTCCCTCTCTGCAGCCCTGCAGAAAGCAAGGAGCTGAAGCTGTACGAGGGGAAAGTGCACAGCCTGAGTTGGGCCTCCTACACAGGGCAGGATCCTGGCGCTTGCAGCCTCTTCGTTTCTGGAGCAGCCGGTTCCCTGCTGTGGCTGGAGGTCTCTCTTGGCCCACCCGAGGGAGTCTCTGTGATGGTGAAGCGATGCTTCCGCCTGCCGCTCTGCAAGCAGCGATGGCACACGTGCGCCGCCTTCACGCCCCAGGGAGAGCTGCTGCTCTGCGGCGACCGCAGGGGCTCCCTCATGCTGTTTGAGTGCAAGCCAGCTCAGGCCTTGAGCAGAGGAGCAGGAGTCGGCTCCTCGGACCCAGAGGAGGTCTCCGGTTTGCCTGGCCCGGCCTTTCCTCTCACAGGGGAAGAGCCGCTCGCTGAGGGCCCCCTCTCTCTGCTCTTTGGCCTACATGGAAAGCTGGGCGTCACCTCCATCACCTGCCACCAGGACTTCGTCTACAGCACCGGCCGGGACAGCTGCTACCGCCAGCTGCAGGTGCAAGGCCGCCAGCTGCGCGTGCTGAGGAAGCACAGGCCATGCAAGGGCCTGGAGTGGCTGGAGGAGCTGCGCTTCGGCCCCGATGGGAGCATGTGGGTGCTGGGCTTCCACGCTGACTGCTTTGTTCTCTGGAGCGCCAGCAGCAACGAGATGCTGCTGTCTGTCCCCTGCGGTGGCGGCCACCGCTCCTGGAGCTACGCCCACTGCCTCCAGGTGGGAACCTTTGCTTACGTCAAATCCGGGGATGTGGTGGTGCACCAAAGTCAAGACGCACAAGGCGGGCAGCGCATCCTCAAGGAGTCCCTGCATGGGCGGGAACTGACATGCGTTTGCCACATCGGGGTTTTGCAGGCACCTGGGCAGGAGCTGCTGAGCACCCTTGCCACCGGCAGCGAGGACGGCACGGTCAATATTCTGACCTACAGGGCGCAGTCTCGTACAGTGACCCAGCTTGCGGCTCTGGGAGACCACATCTCAAGCGTGAGAGCTCTGGCTGTGGCCAAGGACACTCAGCCCAAGGCAGGAGGTATCTCTGCCATCCTCTTCTCAGCTGGAGGACGTGCCCAGATTGAGTGTTACCGGATTCTGCTCAGCCCCAGCCATGGCTCTAGCGGCGGTGTGGTCCATCAGCTGGTCCACGTGGCTTCTCACCGCCTGGATGAGCAGTGGGACCGCAGGAAGAACAGGCACAAGCTCGTCAAAATGGACCCAGAGACCAGGTAGTAGCTGTGGCCTTTCCCAGGAATGTGTATTCTTAGGCAAGGGTCCTGGGTTCTCAAAGAGCAGTCAACCCACACTGGGGATGTTATTGATGCCCATATAGGGAATGTGAAACCTGCACCCTCTCTTGCTAACCCCTTTACCAACAAACACCCCCCCACACACACACACAAGCACACACACAGGCTTTTCCTATTGTCACACAAGTGGGCACAATATTCACATCCAGCCTGGAAGACTTTAGATAGATAGATAGATAGATAGATAGATAGATAGATAGATAGATAGACAGACAGACAGGCAGGCAGGCAGGCAGGCAGGCAGGCAGGCAGGCAGGCAGACAGACAGACAGACAGACAGACAGACAGACATAGACTAGACTAGACCCTACCCAATTATTTTGGCTGCAATTTGTTTTAAACTTATTTTAACATATTTTAAAATGGCTGTAACCCGCCCTCAGATCTTGTTTATTTTATTTTATTTATCAAATTTGTATGCTGATCTGTGGATTGTATCCACAGATCTCAGAGTGGTTCACAGTATTATTAAAAAGCACAAAATCAGATGATGACAGGCGGGTGAGAAATCAAATAAATAATAATAATCCAAAATACGGAGACGGGTCTAACAATATTGTAGCAACAGGAGATTAAAAACAAAACCAGTAGGATAAAACAATGTGAATAACAGCAGCAAAAATATATATAAAGGTCTGTTTGCTTAATTTTCCAGTCTCAGAATTCCCCCCTTCCCTGTTCTGCTGTACTCGTGCTAAAGAATACATTAGTACAGAGAGAATAGGGAGGACTTTGGGCGCTGAGTCCATAGTAGGGAACACGTGCCACTTTCCAGCTTTTGTTTGTGTGTGTTTGTAACTTTTTCACTGCTCTGGGTATGGATAGCGTGTCCCAGAGAAGGTAACTGATAACTTCTGTGTTCCAGGTATATGTCTATTGAGGTCCTGGCTGGTGTGGAGTACCCAGAGCTTCCTGGTCCCTTGCTGTTCCTAGCTGCTGCTTGCAGTGATGGCTCTGTCCGGTAAGGAAGATGGCTGGGCTCTCCCTTTTAGGGGCCTGTATAGCTGGGGTAAGGGACGCAGGTGGCGCTGTGGGTTAAACCACAGACCCTAGGATTGCCCATCAGAAGGTCGGCGGTTCGAATCCCCACCACGGGGTGAGCTCCCGTTGCTCAGTCCCTGCTCCTGCCATCCTAGCAGTTCGAAAGCACCTCAAAGTGCAAGTAGATAAATAGGTACCGCTCTGGCGGGAAGGTAAACGGTGTTTCCGTGCGCTGCTCTGGTTCGCCAGAAGCGGCTTAGTCATGCTGGCCACATGACCCGGAAGCTGTACGCCAGCTCCCATGGCCAATAAAGCGAGATGAGCGCCACAACCCCAGAGTCGGTCACGACTGGACCTAATGGTCAGGGGTCCCTTTACCTTTACCTTTTTACGTTTCCTGGAGCAGCACTTTCCCCAAACTAGAGAAGTGAACATGAACAGAAAGAAAACTGTAGCGCTTGGTACAAAGGATGTGGCCCTTTCCCCCTCTTTAAAGTTGGAGACTCTTTTCCTTGTACTGACTTCACTGCTCTCATGTTTGCATAGCCTCTTCCTGCTGCTTGAGCATGACCAGAAGCTGCAGCTTGTGGCAGAATCCTTTCACCATCAGCACTGCGTCCTGAAGGTCCAGGCGTTTGCATGTAAGACAGCAGGTGGAGGAAGGTGAGATGGAGTGGCTCCACCCCACCCCCGGTGTGCTTGAGATGCACCTCCCCTGAGTTTACTACTGCCGACCCATCAGGCCCTAGAAAGCTAATTTTACCCATTCATCTTTCTTTTATAGAAGGCACTTGTTGAGCAGCGCTGCCACCGACGGGAGCATTGCATTCTGGGATCTCGCCCCTACCCTTAAGCTTGCTGCAGAGGCCTTGAAGGCGGAAGGCACAGAAATGAAGCTTCTGGGTAGGTGGTTGTGTTGACTGCCCTGTTCGTGCACCCTTAAAGTTGTTGTTGTTTATTATATAACCTGGACAGCTCAGTGGGTAGAGCAGGCTTCCTCAACCTCGGCCCTCCAGATGTTTTGAGACTACAATTCCTATCATCTCTGACCACTGGTCCTGCTAGCTAGGGGTCTTGGGAGTTGTAGGCCAAAAACATCTGGAGGGCCGAGGTTGAGGAAGCCTGGGGTAGAGCATGAGACTCAATCTCAGGGCTGTGGGTTTGAGCCCCATGTTGGGCCGAAGATTTCTGCATTGCAGGGGGTAGGACTAGAAGAAGAAGAAGAGTTTGGATTTGATATCCCGCTTTATCACTACCCTAAGGAGTCTCCAAGCGGCTAACATTCTCCTTTCCCTTCCTCCCCCACAACAAACACTCTGTGAGGTGAGTGGGGCTGAGAGACTTCAGAGAAGTGTGACTGGCCCAAGGTCACCCAGCAGCTGCATGTGGAGGAGCGGGGAAGCGAACCCGGTTCACCAGATTATGAGTCTACTGCTCTTGACTACTACACCACACTGGCTCTCTAGATGATCCTTGTGGTCCCTTCCAACTCTGTGATACCATGATTCTATTTCTTATACTCAGCCCATGTGATTGGGTTGCCCAGCCACTATGGGGATGCAGCTCCCAATGAAAGAATGAATAAAGCAAAAATAAATACAATTCAAATCTTAAAGCCTTCCCAAACCAGGGCTGCCTTCAGATGTCTAAATTTATATATTTGCTTAACTCTTTGACATCTGCTGGAAGAGCATTCCACTTTACGCAAGGAGGGAACCTTCAAAAGGTCCTTGGCGCTGGACCTCAGTATCCTGGCTGAATGATGGGGGTGGAGACACTCTTTCAGGTATACTGGGCTGAGGCCGTTTACGGCTTTAAAGGTCAACACCAGCACTTTGAATTGTGCTCGGAAATGTGTACTGGGATCCAATTTAGATCTTTTAGGACCGGTGTTATATGGTCCCAGCACCCGCATTCTGGATTAGTTGTCGTTTCTGGGTCACCTTCAAAGGTAGCCCCACGTAGAGGATATTACAGTAATTCAAGCGGGAAATAACCAGAGCATGCACCACTCTGGTGAGACAGTCTGCAGGCAGATAGGGTCTCATCCGACGTACCAGATGGAGCAGCTAGACAGCCGCCCAAGACACAGTGTTGACCTGCACCTCCATGGACAGTTGTGAGTCCAAAATGACCCCCAGGCCACGCACCTGGTCCTTCAGGGGCACAGTTGCCCCATTCAGAACCAGGGAGTCCCCCGTACCTGCTCACCCTGTTTGTGACCCTCCTTTTTCTTTTCTTTTTTAAAATATATAAATTTTATTAGTATTTTCCACACAACAACAACACGAAAGATACAGAAAAATAACAATACACAAAAACCAACATTAAAACACACCAAAAAAACAAATCCATATCTTACAAGTTAATAATATAAACACTAAAAAGAAAAACAAACATTGACTTCCACCAATCCCACAGCACCTCCTTTAGCTCTCATTGTGTCTTCCTGTTTTCCTTATCATCTCTATCCTATCATCTCAATATAAATCCCTCTTTCTTATCCTTTCACTTCACAAGGTTATTCCAGACTCAGCCAGATTTCTGTCCTCAAACCTTGACTTTTAAGGTATTCATTTAGGCACTCACGTTCTTTTTTTACTTCACTTTTTGGTTTTTGTCTTATGTCTGTCAATTTGGCTAATTCTAAGTATTCTGAAAGCTTACATAACCACTCTCTCCTAGTGGGTAACTGATTCCCTTTCCAATACTTAGATTCTTGCTGCAGATGTCGCGTATAAGAAAAAGACCCTCCTTCTTTTTCAAGTGTATATCACCCTTTGCGCTTCCTCCCAGCCTTGTACACTTCCTTTGCCTGTGTGTGTTTTCCAGACCTGGGTACCCCAATCCTGACCCTCCAGGCTCACAGCTGTGGAGTGAACAGCCTCCACATCCAGCAAGCAGCTGCCGGGCATTTCCTAGTGGCCAGTGGCAGCGATGACGGCTCCATCTCTCTCAGCGCTGTTGAAGTGGATGCTGGAAGCGACGCCGACCAGGAACCCGTCGCTGGGACCGGCATCCGCCTTCTCAGAAACTCCTCGAGGCTCTGCGCCCATGCAGCTCACGTGACGGGGATGAGGCTCCTGCAGCCGGACTTCCTCCTCTCAGTTTCGGTGGACCAGCGGCTGACGCTCTGGCACCTTCGCGAGGACAGCCTGTCTTTCGTCAGCAGCAAATTCTGCCACGTGGCCGATGTGGCTGGCCTGGAGTGTTGGGAGGCTGGGGCCCGTAACTGCCACAGCGTGATCTGTGGGCAGGGGCTGGAGATCCTCCGCTGCAGCCTAGATGTGCTAGGTGCAGAAACAGAAAATGGTGTATGAAGGAGTGTGGGCTGTGCAGCCGCCTAATTCTGTTGGGGTGCAGAGGAGTTTGAGTGACCAATAATAATAATAATAATAATGATTTATTATTTATACCCCGCCCATCTGGCTGAGTTTCCCCAGCCACTCTGGGCGGCTCCCAATCAAGTGTTAAAAACAGTGCAGCCTTAAATATTAAAAACTTCCCTGAACAGGGCTGCCTTCAGATGTCTTTTAAAGATAGGATAGCTGCTTATTTCCTTCACATCCACAGGGTAGATGCCACCACCAAGAAGGCCCTCTGTCTGGTTCCCTGTAACCTCACTCCTCGCAATGAGGGAACCGCCTGAAGGCCCTTGGCGCTGGACCTCAGTGTCCGGGCTGAACAATGGGGGTGGAAATGCTCCTTCAGGTATACAGGACCGAGGCCGTTTAGGGCTTTAAAGGTCAGCACCAACACCAACCAGGGCACAGAGGGCTGTCATGCGAAAGCAGCAAGGGCCGTAAGAAATATAATAAATAATAATCATAATAATTTTTTATTTATACCCCGCCCTTCCCGGTTCAGAAAACCGGGCTCAGGGCAGCTAACAACAAATTTAAAACGCTTAATTGATGCAGCAGAAAACAGCATAAAATACAGCATAAAACGGGAATAACAATAAATAAATAAAAATACTTTGCCCCTCTCTTGAGAGAGAAGCTGCTTCCGCCATAACCATGCAGATACTGTCCCTGATACGATATAGCTTGCCTGCTTTTCTTTGCCTTGTGACTTGTGGGCAGTCATAGCAGAGCTTCGCCAACCTATTTTGACAGAGGGCCTGTGATGAGAAATGCAGTAATAAATCAAGCCCACCCGATGCCAGTCCCTCTGCCTCCACTGGTTAAACGGCTTAAAATGCCTTTTCCTTGCAAATATATGTCCTGGATTTCAGCCTCCTCTTCTGATTACCGCGGAGAAACGTAGGAAGCTACTTTATACCAGGACAGACTTCTTTGTCCAACTGCCCCAGGGTTTCTCCAGGGTCTTTCCCCTTGCACCGCCTATTTGATCATTTTAACTGGCGATACCAGGGATCGAACCTTCTCTGTGCAAATGACGTTCTCCGCCTCTGAGCTGTGATCCTACTCCTTAAGGAGACCTAATCCCAGCCTGCAGGATGGCCAGATGAATCCCATTCACATGGATTTGGAGAAGGAGCTGGTCACCTGGTGCCTGCAGTGCCCTGGGCCCACAGAACTTAAAGACCCATCTTCCCATTGCGGAGGAGGGTTTCTTGTCCCACTGCCTACAGGCTCAGAATTGCTACAAGATCACTGGAGTGTCAGGTGCTAGTCAGTTCAATGGGCAGCGACATTCCTGTGTGCATCTGCTGAATGACATCCATTTAGACTGTAGCACTGATAGAAGAGGACTGCGGAGGAGTGGGGATGTTCACAGAATGTCTACCCAGGTGAGAGATGGTGTTTTTTTAAAAAAAAATAAAATAAAATAGAGTTGTATACATACTGCCCTTCATCCGTAGATCTCAGGGCGGTTCACAGCATAAAAACGCAAGATAAAAAACACAAAACACATGGAGTAGAATTGGGGTGGGAAGTTCAGTCATATGATCCATGTTTGGTGCAGGAATTGGGATGGAATGAGAATATCCTGGAGGTACAGACTTGCAGGGAAATGGTTCGCTTTCTGTCCGTCCGTCCCAATTACAATAGGAAATGCTTTTGAGTTTTCTCTGACCCCCCTAACACAATTTCTATTTCCACCAATCAAGATTCCTCTTCCGAGTCAGGACTTTTCACTTTTCGGCTGCTGCAGCTTGTGGCACCTGTTCAGAGGGATTTGCTCGGTTGCGCGGAGTATGCTGCTCCTGTCCTGCGCTCAATAATTCAGCGGTTGAGCCCTGGAGTGGCTGGGGTTTCTGGCCCCCCAGCAGCGCCATGCATATTTCATGGTCCAGATTGCAGCAACGGGGAGGTCACACCAAGGCCCCTTTGTCTGCAAGTTCAGCACGTGGGCGCTGCTGTCACGCACTGCCGATTCCCAATGGCCTTCCATCTATTTGGCTCCTGGATGAACAGCTGAGCTTGCTGCAAAACAGGGCGATGCCGTCCCAAGCTGCACTGATGGTGGGATTCACCCAGTGGTGTAGGTACCAGAAGGACGCCGAGTAGCAAGCTCTCCAGGCCGTTCCAGACCTCTCCAGGCGCTGTGTGGACCACCTTGCTTCCTTGTCATTGCCACCAACAAACCTGGGATGCTACAGTTCGGTCCACTCAAAAATGCCATTCCAGCCGCACTTTGTCCCCAAATCCAGGCAGAGAGGGGCTGGCTCAGAGCAGCCACAGGAGATGGCACCCCTAGAAGCAACAGGCCTGCTCCCTTCGGTGGCTCAGCGAGGTTCAGCCCTGCCCACAGCGAGTGTCACCACCCACCCCGGCTGCGCCATGAGGATGAGTGTGACCCCCGGCTTCAGGAGGTGCCAGGGCCATGCAAGGACCAGAGAAGATCCTCCCAAAAGGAAGTGCACAGGCTGGCTGGAGAAGGTAGGGAAAGCCCTATTGGTGGGGCAGAGTGGAGATATTGGTGCATTGCCAGGGACAGATGTATCTCTGCAGCAGTGGTGGGGAATTAAACTCAGGCAGGTCAGAGGTCAGGATGGCATTGATGCAGAGGACCAGCATCCATGAATATTCCTGCCTTCACAGCACAGCTGTGTTTGCTGGTGGATCCCTGGCTCCAGGCCACCGTTTGCCAAATGTTCACTCCTCCTTTATAGTAAGACAGTGCCTTCCAGGTGTTGTTGGCCTTGCAACTCCCAGGCAGCCAGACTTAATGGTCAGAGGTGATGGGCGCTGCAGTCCAGCAACTTTGGCTACGCTTGTCATTAGGCAATTAGGATACACAAGGGATACCCTTAGGGCTTTGACATTCACTAGGTCATGGCGCTAGCCCTGGTACTGAGCCTGTGCTGGAGAAGAAAGCTGCCCGGCGGTGCTTCTGCATCCCTCCATTCTGGTTTACTGGTTTCAGGGCAGAGGAAAGGACCGGCCATTGACAAGGCTGAACAAGGGGTGTGTTAGCTGAGGCTGGGATGTACTTGCAGGACTGTGTGAGATGCTCCAGCTTTACTGAAGTCCCATTACAGAGTTGCTGGAATAGATAGAATGATCAGGGTTATGTATTATTCCTCCCTGCAGCAGGGCAATGCATGCTTTCTGCTCGTGGTGTTCTCCTAAGACTTTTGAGAGCCAGTGTGGTGTAGTGGTTAAGAGCTGTAGTCTCGTAATCTGGGGAACCGGGTTCGCTTCCCTGCTCCTCCACATGCAGCTGCTGGGTGACCTTGGGCTAGTCACACTTCTTTGAAGTCTCTCAGCCCCACTCACCCCACAGAGTGTTTGTTGTGGGGGAGGAAGGGAAAGGAGAATGTTAGCCGCTTTGAGACTCCTTAAAGGGAGTGAAAGGCGGGATATCAAATCCAAACTCTTCTTCTTCTTCTTTTGACCAGCAGTACAAACTCCACTGCTGTACATCAGAACAGTTGCCCACCAATAAGAGAGAGTTTGAGGTCCACATAGTCCCGTTTACACCTGCCCAAGACTCACAATAGCTGCATATTGGGACTGAAACTGAATAGAGAGCCAGTGTGGTGTAGTGGTTAAGAGCGGTAGTCTCGTAATCTGGGGAACCGGGTTCGCGTCTCCGCTCCTCCACAAGCAGCTGCTGGGTGACCTTGGGCCAGTCACACTTCTCTGAAGTCTCTCAGCCCCACTCACCTCACAGAGTGTTTGTTGTGGGGGAGGAAGGGAAAGGAGAATGTTAGCCGCTTTGAGACTCCTTCGGGTAGTGATAAAGCGGGATATCAAATCAAAACTCTTCTTCTAGTATGTGCAGGTGTTATACCCCAAGAGTCACAACCCGTCTCTCACAGATTGCTGTTTGCTTTATTGAACTACAAAACTTAATCTCCTATATCTCTTCCCCTCCCCCCCACGTCCAGGTAGGAGCTGCAAACAAGCACCAGAATAAAACTGCTCCCCAGACTCCTTTAACCCCAAGGCAAAACAGGATGGCTCTTCCCCAGATTCCCAAAGGAGGCAAGGTCTTTGGTGAGGCTCTGGTGTCTGACACTGTCCCACCTGCCACTGGCAGGATTGCAGAGAGCCTGGCGCTGGGCTAATGCTCTCTTGCTGGTAGTTGGAAGGAGGCTGGGCTGCTGTGAGGGGAACGCAGCAGGTTCTAGGGCTGCTTAATGTTGGGGCATCCATTGGGTCCCTGGCCTCTGTGGAGGGCACAGAGATCATATGCAGGGGCAAGGGGCTTTGCGGGGAATGCAAGCCAGAACAGAGGGAGCAGGGAGCACCTCTGTTTCTCAGAGGAAAGGGGTGCAGGCTGACACTTGAGCCCAGGGCTTGAGTCTCCTGCCTGGCGCCTCACTAACACTTGCTCTGCTCCCATTTCTCTCGCCTCAGAGAAACCAGGCCAGAAGCTGCCAGGCCTCCCTGCCCGCTTCTCCCACGCCAAAGCAGCCCCTTTGGGCACTCCTGACATGGCGCCCTGGACTGGGCCCTCTCAGTCCGAGACCTCCTTCCATGCCCTTTTCAAGCCTGTGGTGTCCTTCTTGCACAGTGTCCCTTTCTCGGCAGCAGGAACTCCCAGCTCCTGCAGCTTCTTCCAAGACCACCTCGGAGAGAAGGCGCTGGCGGCCGAAGGGGAGCAGCGGCCGAGGACCCTGCTGCTCCAAGGCAAGGCGAAGCAGAAGGCAAGCCGGAGCAGAGGCTCGCCCAGGCACTTCCGGAGCAAGTGGCAGGGGGTGAAGCTGCCGCCCGTGCCCAGCATCACCAACCTCAACTTCAGCCGCAATTTCACCTTCTCCTTCTTTGAGCTGCCTCCACATCAGGGCCCCCAGTACTGGGTGCAGCGACAGCAGCTCATCCGCCTCCTCATGAAGCAGCTGCAGTAGCGAGCCCTGGCCTACCTGTGGGGCGCTGGGTGCGAATCAAGAGGGACGGCCGCCAGGTGCGGTGGGTGGAACGGGCAACTTGCACCACCTCTCACAGGAAGATACGCTAAATTCAGCTTCGAGCCTTGGAAAAAGCATCCTCCCGGTTATAGTGGGGCCCACAGAAATATGATACGCACAGCCCCCATTCAATCAGCTTGCCTCGCTGCTCCACAATGAAGCTGCTAACAGGAGACGCTGGACAATTTGCCAACGCTGGCAACATCTGAGTCCTCTTTCCCTCCCTTATCCTTGTCCTAAGCTGCAAGCTGATGCTGCAGACAGGAGCCTCTGCCCACCCTGGCATGCACAGAGCAAATCTTTGCAACTGCCATGGACAACAAACCCCCACCTGCTCTAAGCAACAACTTTGCCTTCTGCCCAAACGGCAGACAGACATCTGTGTTGGTGTGAGGTTATGCAACTTCGTTTACAAGCTTTCTTTTCTGATACGGGTGCCAAAGATTTTCCGTATGTGGGTAGGACGTGGCCTAGATGGGGTGTCAGTCAGCTCAGAACAGAATAAAAACAACCAGTGAACCACCATTTGCATCCATCCTCTGTGCTTTCTTTTGGATTGCTCATATGCCAGCTTTTGTTGTGCCTTCGATCCACTGTGAGCAAAATGGGAGGGATAAAAGCAATGCAGCCACTACAGTGCTTAACCTGTGTGCTTGCCCGCCCCCCCGGGGGGGGGAGTTTTTAGCCTATATGTTCCTAACTGGAATGTCGCAACTTTGGCTCCACAAAGAATTTCATCAGGCCCCCACCATCCGGAATGTAGGCGAAGTCTGTGCCCTCTCTCCTCTCCAGCATTGTGCTCAGGTCGCTTTGGTTCAAGTCCAAAACATTGCATGTATCCGGGTCAGGCTGAGCTGTGATGGGTGATTGTCCAACAGCAACAGTACCACACGCACTCTCCCCATTCTTGATCATGTGACTGCGCTGTCCATTGCTCCTCGCAACAGAGCTGGCCAATGGGAGGGCTGGGGCAGGTTGCCTGTAGTCACCCCCTGCAGGCTTGCTCAGATCTGGCTCAGAGGAGGCAAGTGGAGGGTGGCCAGGGCACTGCAGAACACTTCTCTCACTGCTCTCATCAGCTGCAACCGGGCAAACATCTGACCGAATAAGTGGGGACGTGGTTCCTGTTGGGAGCAAAAACAGGATCGTCACAGGGGCCTGGTGCAACTCTCCGCTGCTCTGAGGGCTGAGTGGCGGGTTTGTGCCTTCCCTTAATAGGTGCATTTCTCCATTAGTGCGCACGAACAGGGCCCCCTTCATCATGCAGAGGGCGGTGTGTAGACCTGAATTTCGTGGGAACGAAGGCTAATGTGCTGGAAATTATGTTATTGACAGCGTTCTATGCTATGACAGCGGTGTCAGTGACGGCATCAGCTGACTCTGAGTTATTAAATTGATGCCTGTCACTCTCACTGAAAGGCAAATTACACTTGTGGGTTTAGGCTCATAAAGCTGATCCTTTTGTCTACCTCTTCACCTTAGTTAACGTTTTGAAAATATTAGTACATCCTAAATGGAAGCTTCTAGCTAGCAAAGCTTCAGAAATGAGCTTCACATGGTGGGAACAGAAGTCTTTGGAGCCTTCTGCTCCAAAACTAAAGGTAAAGGGACCCCTGACCATTAGGTCCCGTCGTGACCGACTCTGGGGTTGCGGCGCTCATCTCGCTTTATTGGCCGAGGGAGCCGGCGTACAGCTTCCGGGTGATGTGGCCAGCATGACTAAGCCGCTTCTGGCGAACCAGAGCAGCGCACGGAAACACCGTTTACCTTCCCACCGGAGCAGTACCTATTTATCTACTTGCACTTTGACGTGCTTTTGAACTGCTAGGTTGGCAGGAGCAGGGACCGAGCAACGGGAGCTCACCCCGTCACGGGGATTCGAACCGCCGACCTTCTGATCGGCAAGTCCTAGGCTCTGTGGTTTAACCCACAGCACCACCTGCGTCCCTTCCTCTTTATCACGATTCTTGCAGAAAAAATATATGCAGAGGATATAAAATAGAGCGGGGTTTCTTTTTTCCACTAGGTATAGTACAGCCTTAGCATGGGTGACTGAAGATGCCAACACAGCCTCCTGACTCAGAAATAAATAAAATATGCCAAGTTATGCCCAAGCTGCACCTCACTCTTCCCTTTATGAAAATGGTTAAACAAACAAGGAAGCCAAAGTTCACCATAGTTTCCTGTTCTGTACGAACCAGGAAACCATGATTAATGGTTTCTAAGCAAGCAAAGATGTGAAGCTGCTCAAAGATGGGTTACAGATTGTGGCTTATTTGGAAATCATTAACTGTAGTTCCAAGTTCAGACACAACAGGACACCACCGTTAATTTCAGTTTCCTGGCTTAAAGGAGGAGCGAAATAGCTGCTAAGGAGCAGTCTGCAGGTGGACAGAGCTCAAGACCTTTTCTGGCATACGAAGTCAGGGACCAACAAACCTGAAGCTGGCCACTCCCTAGGCTTCACAACTCTACAAAAACCGAGCCTTGAATCCAGATTTGAGGATTCAAGATCAGTATGTTTCAAAACAAGCCTATTACAAGTTTACCTGACTTGTAGCGAATGCACCTTTCTGGCCAGGTGTTCATTACATGGAAATAGCCTGAGCCGATGCAGTGTGGACTTGCAACTCACTGTATACCCCAGCGACTCTCCTCCCAGAGCACTTACCCCTAGGATATGCACCCGGTTGTAGTAGGAACTGAAGTCCATGCTCAGCTGGATCAGGAACTTGCAAATCTGCAACGCAAAGCAGAGCGATGCCAGATTCACCTATGGTCACACCCATAAGAGGAAGCCAAACTGATAAAGGGGAGGGGGGAAGGCAGCCCAACAGCCCCACCTCACAGTATCTGAAAACTCAGCTCACCGACTCCGTGCTGGCTGTGACTCTGAGCTCAGCGCTGGAGATGGGCACCTGCATCACTTGGCCCAAGATCTCCTGGAAAGGCAGGATACTGTTGAACAACAAAAGCCATTCGCCCTGCAGAAAGAGAAGAAACATGTGGGAGTCTCAGTAGGCCAGCCTTCCCCAACCAGATGTTTTGGACTACGACTCCCATCGTCCTTGACCACTGGCCGTGATTTCTGGGGCTGATGGGGGTTGTAGTCCAAATCATCATTAGACCTATACTCATCCCCCAGTTTGTTAATCGGCAAGAAGGGAACCAAGCAATGAGATTTCAGACACGAGAAGCACAAGCACCTGACTGTGGTATAGAAGCACACGTCGGTCTGGATTCCGTGAGCTGATTTGTGCAAGGCAGGTGTCTTGAGGCCTGTTTTGTAGCAGAAAGTTTGGACAAGACAAATGTTTTCAGGGGCGCCCCGAGACACTTCGGCCCTCGAGGCAAAACGCCTTGCTGCTGCACCCACAATGTTGGGAGGGCGTGAGGCTCTGCAAGGGCTTCCCTTCGAGAAAAAGCCCCTGCAAAGCCTTGCCACCCTACCAGGATGGGGGGGGGTTAGATTCGCTAGGGGCAGCAAAGATGGGTAGTGGAATACTCGGCTGCTCTGTTGCGGCCAAAGCCTCCCTTACCTGGGTTGCTCCTGCAGGGGGCAGCACAGAGCGTCTGTAGGGGAACCGCTTCTTGCCTTTCCGCTGCCTGAAGCGGTTGCTTCACCCCGCTTCATGGGTGGGCCGGCTCTGCATATTTTAGACCCCCCTCCATGCTTTCTAGCAGTTGCCCTAACTTGGCTCAACCTGCCAAATGATGTTTGTGTTCCCAACAAATCCAGCTGATCCCACAGGAGCAGCCCTGCAGGCCTGGATCGTTGTGCAGGTGGTGACCATTTCACACAGGGGTTCCATTTCTGGCCCCTGTGCTTGTCAGCGGAGCATGTATACATGCCCGCTGCCCCCGTTCTGCCTTCTTCCAGGTCCAAAAGGATCCACGCACTGAAAACCTCGCATCAATTGGATGTGCCTAAAATGGTCGCCGACTGTATTCTTTTGTTTACCTCTTCTCTGAGAGATGCGTAGTTCAGCTCCGAAGGTTGAGGAAAGGCTGGGTACAGACCTGGAATTGGATGGGAGAAATTTGTTACCATAGGAGCATCTTAGGCAAAAGCCTTTTGGGGGACGCAATGATAGCCATACCGGGGGATTCACATTTCCTGCAGCAAAACTGCAAACCTGCCAATTACAGATAGCCATGCAGATTAAACCAACATTCCTAAGTTTGCTCAGTTTTTTTGTAATGGATTCCAACTGCAACTAAAAAGTGGGTGGGGAAGCTGCAATATTTAGGAGTTCTAAAGGGCAAAATAAAGGGCTGCGTGGCATTTTGGGAGAGCAGCAATAAACAATGCGTAAAAGGGAACAGGAGCTTGGGCCGTGGAGAAAGACATAAAGGGTTATAGTCAATGCGAGCTCTGCTCTAGAGTAGACCCACTGAATTTAATAGACTTGACTAACCTAAATTCACTAATTCCAGCAGGTCTACGCTGAGTAGAAATGAGCTGAAGCCAGTGTGTGGGCACACCATCCCTCAACCGCTAGAGCTACCACTTTGCCCTTCTGGGTTCTAAGTCTGGGAGACACTGCGTGCAAGTTTCAAAGTCTGCCTTTGTAGTCAGGAGGGGGGGGGTGGGTGGGTGGGTGGGTGGGTGTGGGTGTGTGTAAGGGGAAAGTGTCACAATTCCACACATGGCGAAAGTTTTAATATCAGGTACCTTTCTGAATGCTTTTAACCAAGCCAAGGATCCATAGTTTCTGGCCACCTGCTACAAATCACTGGCCAATGCAAGGGACCCTCCCTGCTCCAGAAAATTCATTATGATAACAACCATGGCAGGCTGGCTGCTCCTAGTCCCAGGACCAACGGGACCCCACAAGCACGAAGCACGACAGCTCCACAATCAAGTTGTTTCCTTGAATCCTGAATCAGGCGTCTTAAGTACTGCCCCAGCTTCTCAGGGAAGGTCCAGGCCAATTGTCAACTAATTCACAGAATCATGGCCGCTGTGGCACAGCCTGCGTGAAGAGGGGAGAGCTCTCACCTTGCTCTACGGCCCGCTGGTACGTTTCAAAGAGTGTGGCCAGCCGAGCACAGTTGTACATCACAAAGGCTCCACTCTTGGTCCCTTTGGTGGAGATGCTGGTCTCCTCCACATCCAGGAGAACCTGAGGATGATGCAAAAATCAATGCTGGGTGGGGGGAGAGGAAGCAGGCGCAGAATGTCAGGTCTAGCCCTATTCCCAAGAAGGCCCTGGCCTCCCCTACAAGCTACCAAGGTGCTCCTCTCCAAAGAATGAAAGTGAAGGGAGCACCGGCCACCATCTATCTATTTCCACTTTCCAGAAAGGGTGGCCTTGCCCAGGCCAACCCAGACTCCCTCCTCCTGGAAGAGAGGGATTCTGACAAATCCGCCTGCATAAGGCTAATTTTGTCTGTTCATTTGCAACTGTCCTTTATTCATGGCCCATCACATCCACATCTGTCAAGGTGATGATAATCACCAGCCCCTTCCCTTGGCCCAAAGTTGCCTGTTGCATTCTTCCGATTCACTCTAAGCCAGTTTGCTATCTTCCTAAGTCCCCAATTTCATCTACACTCCCCAGTGTCGCAATGCCTCTGCCCACTGTCCCCATACCTGTGCACCTAATTACTCTGTTAAGAAAGGGTTATGGGTTTTCTTTTGTTTTGTTTTGGAGTGAGACATTCCCAGCTGCTGTAACTTGGGACAGTAAACTGAGGGAGTGGTAACTGCTACAACATGAAGCGTGAGTCATGTTTTAAACCAGGCATAGGCAAACTCGGCCCTCCAGATGTTTTGGGACTACAACTCTCATCATACCGGACCACTGGTTCTGTTAGCTAGGGATGATGGGAGTTGTAGTCCCAAAGAAAGCAGTTCCACGCAGCTGAAATTATATCACTTCCACCCATGAGCAACCCAATCGCCTCCTGACTGCGAACGCAGCACACCTGAAAGGGACTCCTCCGCTTACCTGGTTCCGATGGGTCGTGCTCAGCATCTCAAATCGGATGGCAGCTGATGTCAAGACACCAACTGTTTCCGTCCAGGAGTCGTCTAAAGGAAGGAAGCCAAAAAAACGGACCAGCAGTTACAAAACCATTGATAATTGAAAGCATTCCTTTTTTAAAAGAAGCTTTTGATTCTATTGCCACTTAAGGGCTCTTCTCTTTTGCTGCTGTTTCTTAGTTTGATATGTTTCAATGACTGGGTTAACCGTTGTTTTAACGTTTGCTTTCATTTCTGTAAGCTGCTCTGACTGACTCCTTTATGGCGGGGGAAAGCACGGCTATAAATTTGTTGGATAAGTAATTTATAAATACTGTAAATTAAAAAGGAGCTCAGTGGAACTGGAGCGTTCGGTGGAAGAGACCACTTGGGAGCTGGGGCGCATCCAGGAGGAAATGCTTATGGTTCCCCTGTCCGATAGGGTAAAAGGAAAGCCCAGTAGACTCATAATAAAGCCTTTTCAAGCAGTTGGGCAAGACATCCAACTGAAGTGGGCAAGAAACTCAGAATAATAGGAAGAACAACTCCCAACGTGCCAGCTGTTAGGACACATCTAAACCTCCCAGAAGCAGAAACAAGGAGACAGAAGAGCACGCAACAAATGAAGAGACAAACTTTTACCTTGAGAGAGGTCTCCATATTTCAGCACTGAAGCCTCATACATCTGGGAGTTCCGCAGCCTGTAAGCAAGGAGATGATGCAGCCCCTCAGAAAAGAGAACATGTCATACCTACAGTGCCACGGGTGCAAAACCAAATGCTGAATAATACTAGTGCTGGTGGGAAAAGGTGGGGAGAGAGACCCCATCCACATGTGCAGGCTCAGTACAGTGGCACCTCTGGTTGCGAACAGGATCCGTTCTGGAGCCCCGTTCACAATATGAGCAGAATGCAACCTGTGTCTGTGCGGGTCGTGATTTGCCGCTTCTGCACATGCGCGTGACATCATTTTGAGCATCTGCGCATGCATGAGTGGCGAAACCCAGAAGTAACCCTTTCCGGTACTTCCGGGTCGCCACGGGACGCAACCTGAAAAGACGTAACCTGAACCGAACGTAACAAGAGGTATGACTGTACCGGCAAAGTTTCTGAATGCATTCTTTTGGACCACAATGCCAGGAGCCCCACCACACTCAGGACTCTGGAAACAAAGCTGTTTGTCCAAAGTCAAGTATGAGTGCTTGAAACAGCATCACAAACCAGCTGCTTATTAAGCAGCTGTAATGCAGCGATTTCCATGAGCGACCAAAAGATAAGCGCAGAAAACCCAGAAGGTAAGCGCAAGCAAGAGCGTGCTTTCATCGGCAGCTTGTCCTTGCGGAAAAATAACCGCTCCACTGTTATTAGCGAAGCGGAAGGGTCCTGTGTAGGAAGGGTCCTGGCAGAGAGAAGCAACTTACTGGAAATACTGAAGAGCACCCATGGGAGAGGCACAGCGAGTGACTTTGACAGGCCCACAGACAAGGTGTTTCTAGGGAAAAAATAGATAACAAAGCATTAGTTGCCCGCAACCACCACATGCCTGCTTTTTGCAACAGAAAGAAAGCTCCCCAATTGGCATAAATGGGAGCTTTCCTCCTTTCTTAAAAAAGAAAAAAACGGAGGAGGAAATTCCAAATGGAGCTGCAGTGAGGTCAAAGGTAAAAGTCCCTTCCCCTAAGCCACGGTCCCAATCTGACCCCGCAGCAACCCAACATAGCAGGAAGAGCTTTACACACAGCTTGTACCGTAGGCCATCCTGGAAAGAAAGGGCACTCCTCACCTGTGAAACTGTGAGCACTTGTGGGGCTAGCAGCCTCAATAGCAAGTCCACCTTCTGCTGGTGGAAGGCCTCCTCGCTGCTCACCACATGCACAATGCAACAGTGCTTTACTGGTGCGGCCACCTGCAAAAGAGCAGCAGCTCACATGAGATGCAGAGACCACACAAGGGGGTTGCTCAGTTCACCCCTGGCTGAAGGTTTTCACCCGTCTACTCACCGTGCACTGCAGGGCCACACTCTGCAGCTCAGCCACATGGCGCAGCTTTTCCTCTGTCACTGAAAAGGAATGAATTATTATTATTATTATTATACATAGTTTTATTTGCATGCTGCCTTTCCACAGTTCAAACCACACTCAAAGTGGCTTACAACATATAAAAAAATACATAACTATAACGTAAGAAAAGTACTCATAATCCGATAAATTTTAAAAATGCAAAACCAAGCTGAAAATTTTCCATGCAAATCACAACAAAATATAAAATGAAAATACAAAAAAACCCCAACAGCAACAACCCCCCCCCAAACAATGCCCCAGCCCCACCTTTCCTACAGACAACTCAAGGTGGGATACATGGTTGTCCCCATGCGCCCACCCAACCCATTATATCCTCACAACAACCTTGTGAGGTTGGTTGAGCTGAGGGTCAGTAACTGGCCCAAGGTTACCCAGTGATTTTCATGTCTGAGTTAGCACTTGAACCCTGGTTCAGGCCCCGGTCCAGCACTCCAACCACAATGCCACAATGGCTCTCAAGAAATATTGTGTGATGGAGGTTCAGTTTCTGCTCTGTCTGCTTCTGCAGCTCTAGAGCTCTTGTTTCCTAGGGCTTAGTGCAACCAAGTGGAACTAATTTAACCATGATCCGGGCACAGCTATTTCCTTGATAAAAACACCCGTCAGGTCACTTGGTATAACAGCATTGGACTGGGTTTCCAATTATTTTATATAGGTTAGGCTAAGAGAAAGTGACAGGCCCAAGGTCACTCAGTAAAAATTAAAACCTTTTTCTCCCAGGTCCCCTAGTCCAACACTCTAAGTCTAAGCGTTACACCACAGAGGCTCCCATATTAGCTTGGCAAGTCATCTTCTCAATCCTCAACCTACATTGTTGTGAAGGTAGATACAAAAAGATCCCTGTCTTAGGGATAAGGCAAGCATCTGTTTAAAAACGATAAAATAAAGCGCCTACCAAGAAAGACGTCCACATTAGGGTCATAGCCCTCCAAGTCTTCCTGCTCCTCCTTAAGGAACCCTTTCAAATGCACTTTGCACACAAATGCATTCTGCTCCGTCTGGTCAAAAGTGGCATGAGAACATTGGCGAAGGTTTTCCTTCATGGCTTGAATATCCTCAGGGCTTTGGGAGGCTTCCAAACCTGAAGGCCACTCAACTCGTAGCCGATGCAAGAATCTATGGATTTCCTCATCAACCGAAGATGGGACCAGGTGTACATCCATCCTGAAAGGCAAAGAACCACACATAACATTGGCCATACAACTGTCAAAGTGAGCAGAAGAAAAACTCTCCATATTCTACACAAAGAACAGCTAAAGGTCCAGTATGGACTGATGACCTGAGTGCTGTATTTAAAGGCTTGACGGCAGAGCACTGCTTTCCAAATCTGAACTTCTCCTCCACAGAAATGAAGGCTAGAACCAAGAGCTCTCTTAAAAAGCAGGTAAGATTCTCAGAATGTTGCTGAAGTCCTAGAAAGGACAATACTGTTCTCTCCAGGACACAGCTTTGAACTGTGGGGAGGACAAATGCTGCAATCGTCGGCATGCCTACTTAGAAGTCAGCCCCACTGAACATTGTTGCATCTACTTCTCATTGTGTGTAAAGTTGTAATAAACACATAAGAAAGCCACACATGTTCCTGGATCCGTGATTGACAATTAGAATAGGTTCATCGAGTTGCATCTACTAACCCTTGAGCTCGGAGTGTGCCTGCGAGGTGGTCAGTGACCAGGATGGCTCTCAGGTGACTCAGACTCAGCAAGTTCAGGCCCTTGCAGCTGTGCAGGGGCACACAGTTCAGGAGGATGCTGTGCCCATGGGCAGTCTGAGGGGGCTCCGCGTACACAGGAATGGCTTTCAGGATCTGCTCAAAGACAGCAGGCCTCTCTAACTGCACAGTCAGTCCAGCTGGGCTCTTTTGGCAACTCCGGATGGGTGGCAACCCTGGGCGTTTAAGTGAAGACACACTCTCAGCAACGCCATCGGGAACCTGTTGTGATACAAGAAAAGGCAGAAGAGTCAAGGAGCGTCGGCTTCCTCCTGGTTTGGGCTGTTCAGGAGCAGAAACAAAGCAGTTCACCATGTAGTTAGATTTAAAAAAAAAAAAAAGCCAAGCCAAGTTTCAAGCACAAATAGATCACAGCTGCGCTTTCTAAGCTAAAATGCTGTGGGTGACATATTAAAACCTGGTCTCTAGATCACTAAAATAATCTGCTGCAGGGAAAGAATTAGTAGGTGACTTCTCCAGTCAAGTCTTCTCTAAGATACCTGGAAAGAGGAGTATAAATAAAATATGGAGTGATAAGTGTTGGTGGTGACCTTTAAAGCCCTAAACAGCCTTGGCCCAGTATACCTGAAGGAGCGTCTCCACCCCCATCATTCAGCCTGGACAGTGAGGTCCAGCTCTGAGGGCCTTCTGACGGTTCCCTCACTGCGAGAAGTGAGGTTACAGGGAACCAGGCAGAGGGCCTTCTCAGTGGTGGCGCCCGCCCTGTGGAACACCCTCCCATCAGATGTCAAGGAAATAAACAACTATCTGACTTTTAGAAGACATCTGAAGGCTGGGGAAGTTTTTAATGTCTGATGTTTTATTGTGTTTTTAATACTCTGTTAGAAGCAGCCCAGAGTGGCTGGGGAGGCTCGGCCAGATGGGCAGGGTATAAATAATAAATTTATTATTATTATTATTATTATTACAACCATAGAATTGTTGTACGAGGCCCCTAGGGTCATCTAGTCCAACCCCCTGTAATGCAGAAATAATAATGATAGTAAATCACAAAGCACCACCTGACAGCTGGAGGTGGCAGGTACCTCACAGGGGAATTAACTATTTGCATACCAATAAATGGATACAGGCAAGGCAGCCCCGCCCCCTTTTCGCGAAGGACACGCCCCCTTACCTGTCCGTCCGCGAACATCGCCATCAGGGCAGCCTGCGGAGCCAGGAAATCCCTGCTACGTAAGTTCCGGGCGCTGCTCTCCTTGAACCAGACCGGGCCGCGAGCATCGTCCCCGGCCTCTCCTCGGAGAGCAGCGTTCAAGGCCTCCAGGGTCTCGGAGACAGACAGGCGGCTCTCGAGCGTCTCCATGGCGACCCCAGGCGCCGGCGACTCCGGAATTCTTTCCTGGAGGGCGGGGAGGGGGGAAGTCCGCCCGGTTTTCCAGGATGTGATGTCATGATGGAAAATAAACATAGAACTATAGTATAGACTGACTTCCGGGTGGAGCCAAAGCCGGGATGGGCATCGTAGGAGTGGGATTCCGCCAACCTTGGTGTTGTCGAGTCTTTGGGCACTTTAAATGACAGATTTTTATTTTTTTTATATGGCATAAGCTTTTCATCAGGTCCACCGAGGCTTGCGCCATAATTAGTTTCTTACAGCATATTGTCATAGCCATGTCTACTCAGAAGTAAGTCCTGTAGAATTCAATGTAGTTTACTCCCTGGCAAATGGGTATTATTATTATTATTATTTGAATTTATATATTGCCCTATGCCCGGAGGTCTCAGAGCGGTTCACAGAACAAAATCAAAATATATAATCAAAATAAAAACAGCAACCCAATCACCCCCTAGGATTGTAGCCCCAGGCTGTATATACATACGTAGCCTTTGAAAACACACATGGGTCATAGCATTTTTTGTACATAGCGGTTTGCAATTCTGCATGCCTTTGCACGATAACGTAGTCTAAAATGGCAGTTACTAGCTATGTTGTCTGTACGCACAGGTGGGCACGTTGAATTGCATTTGCTGCTTTACTGCCTATTTGAAAAGGTTCTTTGGAGCTCTTTGCAATCTCTCTTTGTTATAATGGACCTGGACAACTGAGTGTCATCAGCAAACTTGGCTACCTCACTGCTCACCCCTCACTCTAATGATATATGAAAAAGTTAAAAGCACAGGTCCCAATACAGTTTCTTGGGAAACTCCACCTTCTACATTTATTCCTGCTTTCTGGTTTTTGCTACTTAACCAATTCCTAACCTACAAGAGTACTTCGCCCCTTGTTGCATGGGTGCCAAGCTTACTCAGGAGTCTTTTGTGATGGAACATACAACATTTTTGGGAACTATATTTATAGTTTGAATCTATCAGTGCTTAATTGTTGTAGTTTTTTGTTGTTTTTTTCATCCCTATGTTTTTAGCTGGTCCTGTTTTATCTGTAAGCCGCTAGGACTGGAGTCCCTTTCAGGGGAAAAGATGAAAGATAAATTTTCTTCTTCTTTAGTGATCAGTTGTATCCGAGTAAGATTGTCTTTCATGAACACAGTCTTAACAGTGAGTCTGTAAGTGACTGTGAAGGCCAATTCTGGATCCACATGTCCTTCCACAGTGGGGACATAGGTTTCTGGGCGGGAACTGATCACAGTGAAGGTTTGCCAAATGTGCCTTCCTCTTAACATGTTTCCCTTTCGTCCTGAGATTGAGTGTTTTCAAAGCCCACGACTGATCTCCAAAGGCTGTTCTCCAATTGGAGCGCTCGCAGGCCAGTGTTTCACAATTGTCCGTGTTTCGCCTACATTTTAAAAGATTTGCCTTGAGAAAGTCTTTAAACCTCTTTTGTTGTCCACCACTATTTCGCTTTCTATTCTTGAGTTGGGAATAGAGTAGTTGCTTTGGAAGACGATAATCAGGCATCGGCACAACATGACCAGTGCAACGAAGTTGATGTTGAAGTATCATTGCTTCGACACTGGTGGTCCTTAAGAGCAATTTGGAAGCAATCCCACTTAATAGGATCTTGAAGGACTTGAGTGTTCATTTTGCGCCTTGGTTTCCTTCCTTGAAGCCTGCATTGAGGTATCTTGATAGCCAACATAGAACGCATTAATCAGTGATCTGTCCAGCAGTCATCGGCACTCGTCATAGCTCTGGTAAAGAGCACATCACTTGTAAATAATAAGTGTGCCTGGTATGAGAATCTCTCTTTCAGAGACTGTGTCGAAAGCTATAGTCTGTTTGCATTTTTATTTATAGCCTGGGTGGCACTATGAACAATGGAAACTGTTTGAAATAAATGAGAAGCAGAAGTGAAACATCCCCAAGCAACTCCCCCTGTCCAGGCCAACAGAAATGCAAACAAAATGTAGACACTGAATGTAATATTTCTAATGGCCAGTGGAGGCTAGTGCATATGGGCAAATGAATCACTGCTCCACCAACCTTAGTCTGCCCTCAGCCAGCCCCCACCAGCCCATCATCCAATGAGCCCAGTGTGGTGGAACTGCCTATCATCTCCCTCATCTGTAGTCTCAGTGTTGCCCTTATAAAACACAGCAGAGAAGAGAACAGGAACAAAGCTTAAGATGAGTTGGCTCCACTAATTATTGAGTGTACTGCTGTCTGGGCTCCTTGCCTTCTGCTCTACCAGTCTCAGTGGACAGTAACCTCTGCTGCTGATGGCTATTTTGCCATCAGCAGGTTTCCCTAGAAAACAGTACATTTGCGGTTTCTAACCAGCTATGCCAACAAGATTAGGTATTACTCCGGGGAGGACTGAAGTTCCAAGGCATTGATATTCATGCTTTCTTAATTTAAGCAATAATCCAACAGCATAGACTACAGCATGGTAGTTCATTCATACTGTTGTTTATTGCGGACAGTAAGCTGCTTGTACCTGTGTTAGTTCTCTGTTGTCCATATGATGTTCTCCACTGCCTTCCTGCACTTTCTGCTCCAGATTTTCTCACATCCTCTCCCTTTTGGATTCAGAAAATCTGGATTGAAGGAGAGGAAAGTGCAGGAAGATAGTGATTTGAAGGAGGATATCATATAGGCAATGAAAATAGATGGAAGGGCAGGAAGCTGCCCACATGCAACAAAAGTATGAATGAACCCTTTATTTAGTTAGAAGGTGGTGTTTTTGTACTGTAAACCACCCTTTCACTCCTCAGATGAAGAGCAGTGTATAATATTTAATAAAGAATAAAGATGTCTATTGGAGCACTGGGCTCCTTTGGGAGGAAGCAAGTGTCAGAGAATAAATGAATGAAAATACTGCTTAATGTTTTTGCCAAAAAAATAATAATCCCTAAGTAGTTTACAAAAGTTATAAAATCAAAATATAGTAAATATGATAAAATACAAATAAATATAAGAATAGAATAAACACAGTCCATTGTTTTAAAGTGCAAGTCAGCAATTCAACAGACTTGCCAAGGCCATTTTGTGTTGGAAAGGACTAGAGGTCACCCATTTCAGCCCCCTACAGGAATATTTATATTAGCTATAATATTGTATAAATTTATATTAGGTAACATTAGGTTTTACTATCCGTTACATGGGCAGGGTGTGTGTGGAATATTGCTGTGGATTCAGGCTTGTGGGTGTACTATGCAGAATATAACATGTGACTGGGACACACATATTTATTGGGGGCATATATGTCTTGCTTTAACAGCATGCAAGGTGAAAACATCAGAGAGAATATTTGGACCCTGATTCTCCACAAACTGTATCTTCCAACTTTGTTTTCACATCTGTGAATGAGAGATGCAGAGTTGAGTTAAACCTTCCTCATTATCAGCTACACGGGAAAGAAGATTAGATTATGCCAGAGAAGGCTCTTTGATCTAAACAGACATCTTTCTCTCTGTTTTTTTTTCTCTTTCTTGCACTGTTCTGGCTACATGGGGTTCCTCTTTAAAAACTTAACCATGTATGCAAAATGAATTTTTGCACTTAGCGACTAAGTTGGGGCCAGTGGGTCCACTTAGCTGAATACCAACTGGGTAGAAATCACAGGGAAACAGATTTCACCTCAACATTAGGCAAAACTTCCTAACAGCCAGAGCTGTTGGACAGAAGAACAAAGTGCCTTAGGAGGTGGTAGGCTCTCCTTTGCTGGGCAGCTTTAAGCAGAGGCTGAATACCAGTGGATACTGAAGTTGTTTCCTCCATTGGCAGAGAGGGTTGGACTTGATGACCTCCAAGAAGCCCTTGGCCCTATGAGTCTATGAAACCTATGTTTATTTGAAAAAGGATAAAGATAATGCCTCAGCCCGCTTTCACATAAGCATATGGTCGGCAAACTAAGGTCCACGGGCCAGATCAGGCCCAATTGCCTTCTGGATCTGGCCCACAGACGGTCCGGGAATTGCCGCGTGGATCACCAGCACGCACATTCTTTCCCTCTCCCTCTCATGGCACCGTGGCACCTCCCCCTCCCTCCTGACTTCTCCCCGCCCTGCCTAGAGGAGGAAGGTGGACAGGCTTTGTTGGTGCCAGCAGCAGCAGTGCTCGAGTGGCGGCCATTTTAAGCAGCCCCTCTCTAGAGCCCTTTCGCACATTGCTCATCGTCCCCCCGCCGCCGCCAGCCTGTCGCTCACAAGACACAGGTAAGCAGCCACTGGGGCTCATGGGGCTCTTGCATCATTCCCCCCCCAAAAAATATAGTCCGGCCCCCCATAAGGTCTGAGGGACAGTGGACCAGCCCCCTGCCGAAAAAGTTTGCTGAGCCCTGCATAAGCACATTAAAACCACAGCATTCAGTAACCTGAGTTTGCTTGCTCGCTCTTCTTTCTTTCTTTGAATGTAATTTTCAGCTCTTGAGACTACAGTCCTACACATTAAAGCAGGGAAGGAGACCTTCTCTGGCCCAAGGGCTGCATCCCTTTGTGGGCAGCCTTCTGGGAGCTGCAGGCGAGTGGTGGGCAGCACCAGAGGCAAAAGTGGGCAGGACAATGGATACGACTCTTTCATATGTGCTTGTTGTTGTTGTTTAGTCGTTTAGTCGTGTCCGACTCTTCGTGACCCCATGGACCAGAGCACGCCAGGCACTTCTGTCCTCCACTGCCTCCCGCAGTTTGGTCAAACTCATGCTGGTAGCTTCGAGAACACTGTCCAACCATCTCGTCCTCTGTTGTCCCCTTCTCCTTGTGCCCTCCATCTTTCCCAGCATCAGGGTCTTTTCCAGGGAGTCTTCTCTTCTCATGAGGTGGCCAAAGTATTGGAGCCTCAGCTTCACGATCTGTCCTTCCAGTGAGCACTCAGGGCTGATTTCCTTAAGAATGGATAGGTGCAGTAGGCTACATTTCTAGCTATGCAAACCTTGAGAGGCTTCTGTGCCTTAATTTCTCCATCCTCTTGTCCATGTGAGCCCTCAAGGAGACCTTGAAGCAGAGACAGCAATGGAGTGTGGCCTGGGGAGGGTCTAGGGGGCCTGGAGCGTCACATCCAACCATTCCCTGGCCTGAGATCCCCTACCCTCTGCTGTAAGTGTTCATTATTCAAACAAAGGGCACGTGTAATTTTGATTGGATCTGAGTAATCAACAAGTCAGAATTCAATCTTTCCCTTTTTTTGGTGCAGTTGCATGTTTTATTTCTCAGCAGAGAGCACAACACACCTCACATCAGCATCTCAAAACCCGTTCTCATTCGACACCCTGGTGCATCCACTTCTCTTTGTTGAGGTGGAAGAATCTAAAAAGGGGAGCCGTACTCTCTGCACCACCCACAGCCAAGAGATGATCTGAGAATTCCTTCGCACGCCAGACCAACTACTGACTGTCAGCCGTGGCAGAAGATCCCCCCCCCCCCAAGCCCCACTACGGTTGCCTTGGCACTCCATTGCATGCCCACAGAAATTAGCTGCTTTGCATCCAGCCTGGGGGGAAATGGATAGGTGGGAATACTATTATCAAGGGTGCAGCAGCAGCAAGCCTAGCCCCTTGAACTGAAGCTCCTGCTGGAAACCCTATTGTAAGCAACAAGGCTGTTGGTGTTCTGTAGCTTGGGCACTAAAATATGTCCTTGTCAGTTCGAGATTCAAGGCCTGTTAATCTTGTCCTATGTATGCTCACCCGTTGCTTACCTCCGAATAAACACACAAGGGATTATGCAGTTCATCTCCAAACTAGAGCCATCTAGTCCTTCCAGATGCAACTGGAGACCTGACAGAACCTTAGTCACTGGACTAGACTGCTAAATCGCTTTTGGCATGGCTCATACGGCAAGCCGAGACAATGTTCTTGGGCTCTATTGACATGCCCCAAGCAAGGCTGCGCTGGAAGCTTCCAGCTAAGGAAAAATGCACTTCTGTGGCAGCTTTTCAGTTTTGACCCTTTTTTAATCCAGTGGAAGACCTGAGTTAAATATGCCAATATTGAGAGGCTTTAGCTCAGTAGTAAAGTACATGTTTTGCAGGTACAAAGGACCCGGGTTCTATCACTGACTTCTCCAGTCTTAAAGGGAAATCCTCCACCTTAAGATCATTCTGGAGGGACCTTGCCAATAACCTTCCTCAACCTCCTCCAGATGTTTGTGGGCCACAACTCCCAGCATCCTTGATCACTGAATTTGCTGGCTGAGGCTGATGGGAGATGGAGTTCCAACATTTGGAGGCACCATGTTGGCTAGAGTAGATAATAACAGAAACTGTAGCAATTGTGTATATTCAGTCCTAAGCAATTTTGTGTGTTTACTTACCATTTGCAGGTTGACAGAGGACCTATATTACTTATTTACATGTTCAACCATTTGAAATGTGCTTGATTCTTTCCCTCTAGTTCCTGAGAACTTCTTTTTTTAAAATCTTTTATTTTACAACATGTGCTTTGATTAGCAAACAATTATATCAACATTCCCATTTGGGCCTGTACGGCAACCAGAATAAGGAAGGAGTCTTGGATGCAGAGCTGTTGTTTGGGGAGTTGGTTTATTATGTTATCTGTTTGGCTCTTAGATTAATGTCCTTTTGGCTTGGCATGCAAATAAAAGAACGAGCATCTAATTTGTGAGTTCCTTTCCTCCTTACACGCAGCATGACTCACATGACATCTCACATGTATACTTGTACCACACACAATAATTTATATGAAAGGACTGTCAACTTGCATGGGCCAGATCCAGTGCGGTAGAAACCTCATGCATTCACTTCTCCTTTCACTTCCTGTGCAAGATTATGCAGCTGTAGGAAATATACCCTTGAGAAACTAGAAGCAGCTATTTACTCTGTGTGCAAGGAGGACATGCTATGAAATGAATGAGTGAATCTGTGCTATAGACAAGACGCATGACATTGCATGAAATGTCTTCTTTGGGACTGGAAAAGCTGCTCACTCGTTCACCCTGCTGTATTTTTTTCATGGGCCCAGCTGGGATCCTTGAAAGAGCTTTGGACAGACACGACATCCCCGTGGCCATTGTGTCTGCTCGCTCAGCGGGAGTGATCGTGTCATTCCAAAGCAATTTCTTTTTCTGAACCTCCCTGTGCATGTGAGGCTTAAGATATCTGATCCACTCTAGGTGCATCCACACACACTGGTCTCTTCATGCCTGGGCACCAATAATTTTTTTTTGTTCTTGGAACATCTTGCAAGGAAGAGAAATGTCTTTTAGAGAAACTGGCTGAATACAGGAACATCGTCTTGAAGCCAACCAGGCTCTGTTCCAGTGGGTGCCTTCTGCAATTTGACGAGACCAAGTCCAGCCAGTCACCAGCTTGGGGAGGAGAGATTTGCAGGTTAAGAGTGATGGTGTCCTAGGAACATTCCTGGGCATCAGCCGTGTTAAAACATTCACAGGGTAGGGCTTGGAAAGTCCCCTGCTTGAGACCCTCCCCCTGGCCCTAGGGTCCTGTTCATAGTCCTGAGCTGGATGAGCTTCCATAGGAACACAATAAGAACCTTTTGGATTGCCCAAAGGCCCATCTAGTCCAGCATCCTGTTCTCACAGTGGCTGACCGGATTCCCATCAGAAACATGTAAGGATCTAAGCACAAGAGCATTCTCGCCTCCTGTGGTTTCCAGCAACTGGTATTCAAAAACCTTACTGCACAGCCATTGTGGATAACAGCCATTGACGGCTAGCAGCCATTCCACTATAAGGCAACTCCTCCTTGGATAAACATGCTGGAGAAGAAGAGTTTACTACCTGTAATCTCTCTGGTCAAAAGAGCAACCGATTGGGAAGATGTGTCACTCCTAAGGCTTTCAAATCTTCAGCGCGTCACTTCAGTATGTGCCCAGCTGTAAATTACTTCTGGCAGAATCAAGAAACGGTTTAGGTCACAGGTTAGTATACGGTGAAAACTGAAGATAGTTATTTATAACAGCTATGTTCTGATCAGAGAGACTGCAGCAAAATGTGCATATCCTCGCATCCTAACAGGAGTGCTCCTGTTCAGGGTTCCAGACAGCAAGGCAGCTGAGCATGCTCAGTTCTCATTAGGCTGCTGTTGTTCTTTAAGTGGGGTGGGGCTACCCGTTTAAGTGTTTTTTCAAAAATATTTTTGTACTGCTACGAACACCAGGGTTCCCCCAAGCAGGTTGATACTTCACTTTTCTCTCAGTGGCTCCCCTTTTAGCTGCTGTATATAAGTCACCATATAAGTCTGCTGTTAGGAGCAGGGGTGTCCTACAGTTCATAAATGACCTCCAGAGCTACAACTCTCAGAGCTCCCAGAGGAGAGGGATTGACTATTAAATCACTATGATAATTATAGCTCTATGTCGGGGGGGGGTGTCTCCCAATGGCCCTCAGCACCACTAACAAACTAGTTTCCATGATTCTTTAAGGAGGGCATGGCAGCTCAAAGTAGCACGACACTGAAGCTGTGACCGTTTAAAATGTTAGGATACGAAGAGCTACCAATAACTGTCTCTGACGTGAGCTGAAGACTGATATGATAGAAAAAGGAAGCCCTCACCCTTCTCTCTTGAGAAGGTATATCAATCTTTAGCCTCAGTAGTCAATGATCTTTCAATGTACAGTGGTACCTTGGGTTACATACGCTTCAAGTTACATACGCTTCAGGTTACAGACTCCGCTAACGCAGAAATAGTGCTTCAGGTTAAGAACTTTGCTTCAGGATGAGAACAGAAATTGGGCTCCAGTGGCGCGGCGGCAGCAGCAGGAGGCCTCATTAGCTAAAGTGGTGCTTCAGGTTAAGAAGTCTCAGGTTAAGAACCGACCTCTGGAACGAATTAAGTACTTAACCCGAGGTACCACTGTACCAGCTTCCCTTCCCTCCAACCATGCTGAAAACCCTCACAGTCTTAGGGAGATATCCCTCCCCCCCCCTTACACCACAAGAGACAACAGCAGCATCCGTGCATTTTTAGCATTAAGAGCCACGTCATACTTTTATGTGGCTATTGGGTGCGCTGGTTTCCTCCCCCATTTTGTTGTGGTAAACGCAAAACCCGCTTTCAATCCGTTTTAGAATGTTGTTGTTTTTCGTTTGGTTTCCATTTTTAGATCACGTCTGTTTGCTGTGCCATGGGGAGGAAGGGCTGGGTATAAAGAAAGAAAACATAGGATGAGAAACAAACCCCAAAGCCATTGGGGGGGGGATCTCATGCACAAGGAACAACTTCAGTCCTCCAGGCTTCTCTGCCTGGCCTGTGGAAATCTCCTCAAGGGACAATTCTTCACCAGGCCTGTTTTGCATCCTCCTCAAGTGGTTCTGCTTGGCTGGAAAGTTTCCCTGAACTGTTGAGAACATATCTTGCTCTCTCCTACGTATGGATCGGAGAAACCCCTGGCTTGTGTGGCTGGAATGTGGCCTACTACAGAAATTTAAGAGAAGGTGGGTGGGGGAGAGAGAGAACCTCGAAAAGGATATTGTAGAGTTGGAAACGGTTCAGCAACCGATACATGATCAAGGCAATGGAGGAACTCCCCTACGAGAGAGGTTGCAGCGTTTGGGACTGTTTTGGTTCAGAGAAAAGGCGACTAAGTGGTGACACGATAGAAGTTTAAAAGCTCGTGTGTTAAGTGAATAAGAGAAGTGTTTTTCTCCCTCTCTCTCGCAAGACTAGAACTCATGGCCATACACTGAAGCTGAATGCTAGACAGATAAAAGAAGCTACTTCTTCACACCGCCAAGATATGGAGCTCGCTCCCAAACGAGGCAGTAATGGCGCCCAACCTAGATGGCTTTAAAAGAGAATTAGAAGAGAGGGCTATCGATGCCTATTAGCCACGATGGCTTTACTCTGGCTCCACAGCTGCAGGCAGCAATGCTTCTGAATACCAGTTTTATGGAAGCCACAGGAAGGGACACAGCTCTTGTGCTCAAATCCTGCTTGCTGTTTTCCCACAGGAATCTGGTTGGCCACTGTGAGGATGCTGGACTAGATGCAGCACTGGCCTGATCCTGCAGGCTTTCCTTACGTCCTTTATGGAAGAGTGTGTGTGTGTGTGTGTGAGAGAGAGAGAGAGAGAGAGAGAGAGAGAAAAGGAGTAGGTTCCAGCCCTGTTTCGGTTCGTGACCAATGTCCCCTGAGGGAATGCGGTCCTTGACAGAAGAAAGGTTGCCCACCCTTGTCCAAAGGGCCTATATTCAACGGAAGCTGGTCCTTCAGAGCCATTGGGGCATTGCCTCACCAATCTCTGTCTGCCTTCAGCCAGCCCCCACCTGCCTGCCTTCTTGCATACAGCCGGCGGGGGTGCGGGTTTCCCCCTCCTCAGTGCCAAGGCTGCCCTTGCAGAACTCCGCTGTGTGGAGGGAGAAGACTGGGACAAAACTAGAACTGAATCGGTTGGCTCTGACTGCCATGAACTGTGGCTCCACCCATTACTGGGCTCCCACTTTACCAGTCACCACTGCCCCTACTGTGAACCACCCTCCCAGCTTCTAGATCTGCTGAACTCTGGGCCTCTCAACCCTGCCTGAGCTGTACTCAGAACAGGAAGTTCATGCCCACATCGCGTGATTGGGCCCTTCCTGCCCCAGATCGCAGATGGCCTTATCCACTTCATGGCTGGAAGTGCTTGCTGACTGTAGCACATCAACAGATCCAGATCTGGTGGTTTTCTCCCCAGGAAACAAACCACTATCTTTAGAGGACAGAGACGTGAAGAAACCCAGAGCATACCCAACTCACCTCCACGGTGCTGCCGAAACAGCACACCATTCCAGCAGTCCCTCCTTAAGCCTGCTCCCTTAAGGATTTCTACCTCAAACCCTAGCCGCCTCTGGTGGTCAAAATATATCCTCTCCCATGCTGTGAGAAAGCTCCCTTTTTACAGGTACATACATCAGTAACTTGAAAATTGTGTTTCCAGACTGGACTCCTCGAGATATTGTTGGACTCCCAACTCCCATCAGCCTCGAGCCAGTATGGCCAATGGTCAGGGATGATGGGAGTTGTAGTCCAACCACATGCGTGGAGGGCCACAGATTCATCTCCCTAGACCGTCCTAGTTTTCAGATGGGATTTTGCATGTGAAGCTGATTTAGTGCCCCTGCATAACAAACCCGCTTTCTCCAGAAGATAGGGGGCTTGTGAGAAGGAAAGCAATTTGAGAAATGCTGTGGAAAACACTGGGTAACCCTTGCTTTCGTGCAATGCCATAGAACCTCCCCAACCAACAAACCAGAGTGAAGGCTCATGAAGCAGCCAGTGTTGTCTATTTCCCCCAAAAAATGATTCAGGATGAATGCTCAATGAACCGGCTGTTTGGAAAAGGCCCCTATTGGAGACACCAAGATCCAGATAGTGCAGCAACCCAAAGTGGCCTAGTTAGATGCTTTTTGGAAACCTACGTGGCAGAGTATATCCAGCCCCTCTTGTTTATTCTGGCAATTAGAGGCTTCCTATATGTGGAACTTCTGTTCCCAGCTGTTCTAGCAAATAGCCGTTGATAGACCTATTTGCCATCCATTGGTTTAATATGTTTTTTAAAACAAAAAACCATACATAGCAGCTGTCATCACAACACCCCTTTGTCAATAATTCCATAAGCTGATTATGCAGCACATGAAGAAAGGCGCAAACAAAAACCAACACGACACTTTTTTTTTAAAGCTACTCCTCAGATTGGCACCTGGCTATTTTTTCTAAACAACCCAGGATTCCCACCCGCCCCGCTTGCTTTAGGTTTTTCATTTGCTACCTGGCTATTAAAGTTTCACCGTTGCCTCAAAAATTAACCGGTTAAGGAACCCGCTGCCCCCAGTCACAATCATTTTGCACAGCAATCGCGTCTGTTGCCACCTAGGGAGTCGGCTGCGAATGGAATCTGCATCCCGTTTTCCTCTTCTATATAGCTCAAATGAAAAGCTAGCTGAGCCAATTGACAGCGGATGACATCTGCAAGACCCTGAGGAACTTTGCTGTGATTTGGATTTCTAGCTCTCATTATGAGGGAGAGCAGAATCTTTGCTCTGCATGCAAAACCCCTTGTTCCTTTTCCTATAGCCCCACCGCCAGAAGCCGCAGCCTCTTTTCCCATGTCTCAAGTTAAGGAGGAGACCAAACCAACTCCAGAAGAGCAGAGCAGGAGAGCAGGGAACGAAATCCAAGCGCAGCTGGAATGCTAAGAGAAAAACAGCTGCTTTTGGGATTCCGTTGCCCGCTAACACGCTGTCGTCATCATCACTGAAGAAGCTGGCTGGCCGCAGAAGGAAGGCAAGGTGGTACTGAGGCCTGGGCAAAGAGGCAGGCTCCATCGCTGAAGGGAAGAAGGTCACACACTGTCAACCCCCATGAGATGAGATTTATGCAAGGAGTGCGAAGACAGTTCCAAGAGCAGCTATGGCTTCTGCGCAGAGGAGCTGCTACAGGTCCTGTAAGGAGAGAAAGCCCAGCCAGGGTCAATAAGTCCTTCGGCAGATTCCTCAGCAACACAGCGCACGTTTTTCCAGAAGTCCCTCTTTAGTGCAAGTTGCTGTTGTGTCCTGACTTGGTATCAAATGCTACCTGCCTGATTGTACTTATTTACCAGACTTTATTTGCCTGACTTTACTACCTCCACTGTTGGAGGCACAGAGTGGCTGATCCAGTGAGGTTAGTCTTATGTTCTTATACTTTCTCCTGTATTTGTCTACAGAGGAAAACCGTGGGCACCCTGACCTTTTTACACAGAAGCTAATTTAACTGCAAGTGGAACTTAAGCACATTCAGTCAAATAATGATGCCCTGGTTAAGAATGCTGGGCTTTGGAGACCTCGGTTCCACGTGGTTCCTGCGTGGCCTTGGACCAGTCTCCATCTCTCAGCCTAATCTACTTCGCAGGGTTGCTGTGAGGATAAACGAGAGAGGGATGCCGCCTTGAGCTCCTTGGAGGACAAAAGTATCAAATAAGATAAAAGGGTTTAGGTTCATTGAAGAGACTGCTTAAGGAGAGTCCGGTGGGTGGGGGTTTAACAAATTGGGCCGAACAGCTCGAAGGTTTTGCACAATGCTTGCTGTCCTTTGTGCTGTTTCTCCTGTGTCATCTGCACTGATCCTGCAACTCTGTTTGGACTAAGAATATGCAGACGGGTTAGAATTATTATTATTTTTGGATTAAGCAGTAAACAGATCTTGGTATATAAAATAAACAATATATTATTATTACTATTACTACTATTTTTACTTTTATTATTGTTATTATTGTTATTGCTACGGCCTTGGTCCAATATATCTGAAGGAGCGTCTCCACCCCCATCGTTCTACCCGGACACTGAGGTCCAGCACCGAGGGCCTTCTGGCGGTTCCCTCACTGCGAGAAGCCAAGTTACAGGGAACCAGGCAGAGGGCCTTCTCGGTAGTGGCGCCTTCCCTGTGGAACACCCTCCCACCAGATGTCAAAGAGAACAACAACTACCAGGCTTTTAGAAGACATCTGAAGGCAGCCCTGTTTCAGGAAGCTTTTAATGTTTGATGTATTATAGTATTTTAATATTCTTTTGGAAGCCGCCCGGAGTGGCCGGGGAAGCCCAGCCAGATGGGCGGGGTATAAATAATAAATTATTATTATTATTATTATTATTATTATTATTATTATTATTACTGCTGCTGACGCTGCTACTACTACTACTACTACTACTACTAGATTTGCATTTATAATATAAGGAGAGCACTGCAGGATCAGATTAAAGTTCCATCTATTCCAAATCTCCCGTTTCTACAGCGTGAACCAGCTGCCTCTAGGGAGCCCGCAGCCAGTACCTGAGTGCAATAGCCCTCCACTGCTGTTTGTCCTCGCAACACCTGGGGGCTCTATTTAGAAAACATGGCTCATGGCCATGGGTAGACCACAGATTTCTGGAAAGAAAGAAAAATCATTTGAAAGCCCCCCATCCTAGGCCAATCAGTTGCTGCCACATCTGCTCTCTGCAATTTCTTTAAAGTAATTAATGTGTTGTGTGAAGAAGCACTTCCTTTCAGGAATCAGCCTAGCCCAGGTGAGACTAGCAAGGGGGGGGGGAGAAGAGAAATGAGAACACCTGCCAGCCTACAATGCACCTTCACTTGTGAGTGCTGCTAAGCAATGCAGGAAGGTGGAAGGGAGTCGGTTGTGAATGGACTCTGCAAGGGGAGGAAAATGCAAATCACAAACAAAACCCCAACCAATTTCAACATCACTTGTGCAAACAGCTTCACTGGTAATCCTGCCTGGCATACATTAAATACTTTCCCTATTACCATGCCCCACCTTGGCAGGTGTCTATTTCTCCACCCACTTCCTAGTCCCTTGCTGGCACACACACTCCACAAGGAAAGGTGGTATTCCCACCCCCACCCGCCTTGATCTTCCTTCTGGCTGTTGTGCCACACAACTCCCCGCTGTTATTATGCCCCTGGGATGCAGCCAGGCTTAAAGCTCAAACAAGAGGAGGTAGATTTGCCAGGGTCAAATTTCAAATCTTTTATTGTTATTCCACTTCCTTGTAACCCTTTCCTTTGCAGAGCAGATGCATGCATTGTGCTAAGCAGAAAATTAGAGAAGGAGAGAATCAAGGGGGGGGGAGACTATCATAGGAAAAGGAGTGGAAGGAAAGGACCATCTTGCATTAGAGTCGGGTGGATTTTGCAACCTGCCCTGATCCCCCCCCCAAAGGGTAGAAGCAATGCATAGGAGAGGGGGGGGGCAGACAACACCTGTTGTTCGTGCTGAAAACACAAAGGCCAGCCATTAAAATAATCCGCAGAACAAACTGCCTTCTCTCCCATTTTATTTTAGAACCTCCTACAGGGCGCCACACAACAAACTGAGCATCTACACTGCCCACTGGTTAGACTGGACCCTGTTAGCAGTGCAGGAGGGAGGGAGGCCGGCTGCCCCCCACCCCTTCTGTCCAGCAACTTTTCTCTCATTCTCCTCCCTGGGGCCTTTTTGCAAGTCTCATGCCCAGCTGGAGAGGAAGGAGAAGAGCTTGTTGGGTAGAAGGGCCTCCCTGCTGCTGAATGTCCCCTGCAGGTATTCCTTGCCCAACAGAAGAAGAAAACTGTTGCTTGTGAACAGAAATACAGATGCACATTTCCAATTGCCCTTTGTTGTAGCACACAGAGACCCACATCACCCACAATCCCCATCTTTTTCTAGATCTAGGCAAATAAGCCCAGATGGACCAGCGGGGAAATAGTAAATGAGCAGACCAAAGTTGGTGCTGCCAGCTAGGGCTAAAGGAATGCATTCTTCTTCCCCTGCTCTGCTCCCTCCTCTGTGCTGAATCTTAGAATGTAAGCTGCTTGGGGCAGAGACCTCTCTTCTTGTTGTCCCTCTGTAAAAGCACGGTGCACATGGATGGAACTAGCTAGCTAAATAAATAGGCAGGTGGTTTAGACCACAGTGCCACGTGGAAAGTGTAGTACAACAATATCCACAGGGTCACATAGATTCCCCCATCTCTGTTCCAGCTTGCGTCTATCAAGGGCCCAAGGCTTCCCTACCCCTTAGGGCTTCTTCCCAGACCTCACTCAGGCTGTGCCACAAAGACACTCCTGTCTCTAGGTACTGGAAGAGATGTTAATCCCAGACAAAATGACAACTTTCCCATTCTGCAAACAATCCAGCATCTTTATTCTGCAAGCAAGATAATGGACTGGCAATAATATAGAAAGGGAAATGGAATCTGCCTCATCTATCTAGCTCATTATTGTCTACACTGAGGGCTTCTCCACACCTAGCTTTTGCCCCGTTCTGTCCAGGAGCTCTGGACTTTTCCCCTCGGAAACCTGTTCTTTAAAGCTGAAATGGAACCAACAGCAATTTGGGTTTTCTGCCGTTTGCTCCGATTCAACTTTAAAGAGTAAGTTTTTGCGGGGATAGCTAGCAAAAAAGGGGGGTGGCACTCAGATACATGGCTTAAAGCATGGACCATGCCTGGAAAGTGCGGACGAAAGGAAAGTATGGCTAAGCCTGACTGTGAGTGGCTCTCCAGGGTTTCAGGCAAGGAACCACCCCAGTCCTACCTGGAGACACCAGGGATTGAACCTGGGACCTTGTGCATGCAAGGCAGAAGCTCTGCCACTGAGCTACGACTCTTCTGTACAACTGGCTTTAGCAGATACCACAACTGGCCTTGGCAGTGGTGCCTGGTGGACATCGATGCTGATGGGGTGGCCATTGAAAATAAACACACACGGTTTTTTCTGTGTAAAGGCAGTGCAGCCCCGTGGTCTTTTAAGTCAGGGCAAATGTACCTGCACCGTTTATGCCGTTCTCATGTGACCACTGGTAAAGTACCGAGCACGCCAGCCATGCTTCTTACAGCGAATAGTTGGCGGGCTCTTCCACCACCTCAGAAAGGCAACTCTCTTCCAGCCAAAGGTCCAACTTGTGGTTCCTCAACAAAAACTGACCTGACACCTTCAGGGAAAGTTTGGCCACAGTAACTTCACAGCACCTCCTTTTCTCTCTTCCATTTTGGACTAGAGCAATAGCCATCCCTTCCTCCATAGTCCCTAGGAAGTCAGTTTGTTTTGTGCTCTACATACAGTATCTCCTGGTGGCAGTCTCTGGAGTAAGTCAACTGTCACTTTTCTACGCCAGGAGATTCTAACACCTCTGGAGCCTTTCCTGCTGATTTATATTTTTTACATTGATAAACCACCATTTTTTCCTCCAAGGAGCTCAAGGCGGCATGCATAGTTCTCTCCCTCATCGTCAAATCCCCACAACAACCCTGTGAGGTAGTTTAGGCTGAGAGGCAAGTGGTCGGTGGCCCCAAGGTTTGCCCAGTGAACTTCACGGCCGAGTGAAGGGATTTGAACCCAGGCCTCGCCCACTCACAGCAGGTCTGTACTGGTGCATGATCTGTTGCTGTGCTGGTGCTTGCATGCTTTCAGGGGATACGCTATCATTTGGGGCTGCCTCACAACTACGCCCTTCCTAATTTAAGTGCTACACCGCACACCACAAGCCTCCCTTCTGCTTCCTACTGCGCTGGAGCCGTGGTTTCCGCTGGGCGCAGAGGCAGCCTAACTCGAAGAACACAAAGGGTGCTGCAATCCTGTGCAGGGTTATTTGGGAGTGAGTCCCACTGAGCACCTCAGCCCTTTCCCCTGAAGTAAATGTGCATAGGATTAGGCTGTAAGTAGTGGATGGATCAAAGGACTGATAAGGGACAGAAAGGAACCCAGTCCTCATCTTTCCATCCATCGCTCCACCTGCAGAACCATCCACTTGCACCCAAAGCCATCTCAGACAGTGCCCAAACAGATCTTTAACTCCCCCAAGGTCAAAAGTCAATTTTGGTTGTGTGTGTGTTCCAGTGTGCGCAAAAAAAAAAAACCCCAGCGAGACAAAAATACATATGTCAGCAGAACAGCAAACGCTGATTCCCCATCCCCCCATTTCCTCTTTTTTAAAATAAAATAAAAAATCCATAGCAGATCTCTAAACTGCTTTTTGAACCTGCGGAAACACAACCAACGTGTTGCAGCCATTGTCCTCAAAACCCACAAGGTCACCTCATTTTGTTGTTACAGATCGAAACCGTTGGCCGCACTTCTGAAAACATAAACCACCTCGATCGGAAGTCTCGGTTGTGCCTCTGAATTCTGATTCAGAGAACCAAGCATGTGATCCAAATACCAGGGTCACAGTGGACTGACTCCTCTGTAGGTTTGCCGCCTTTTGCTACAGGGCTCTGGTAAGCTGAACAGCCACCAGATACTGAGGCATTGTTTAACAGGTGGAATTTCCCCTTCTTCCTCTCTCTCTCTGCTGGCCATGTTTCCCCTCCTAAATTCCTGTGTGTCAGCCTGCCACTGAAGACACCAGAACAGATCCAATTAAAACAGGGGGAACCCACGAATTCTCATTTGGAAAAGGAGCAGCTCACCAATATTTGAAATCCAGCCTCTCTAGCAAGGGGGTTGCTGAAAATAATTGGGGAGAGGAACCATCTCTCTGTGTGGGGGTCCCAGCTCATCCAATGGGGGCTTTCCCAGGAAGCAAAGCAGTCCAAACGACTAGGCAACTAAGGGTGGTCTTCAACTCTGAGCAGACGCGCTGAAATTAACAGAGCTAACTTAGTCATGCACATTAGTTTCAGCGGGTCTGGTCTGAACGAAACAATAGCTGAATCCCACCCTAATGCATCAGTCATGGCTGAAGAGATCTGTGCCATTAGCCACTGCATGCCCATGGTATGGTCCAAAGGTGCAAGAGGCAGGTCCAAGTCAGGTCAGTGACTGAATGAGAGAGCATGTGGGAACCACATGCAATGCTGCCTTGGGTTCCACAGTGGAAGAAAGGCAGGAAGTAAGTAAATAAGCAACAACTTCAAACAGCAAAGCTATTAAAAACAACAACAAAGAAGCAGTAACAGCTTTTCTTGGCATGGAAACTCCAGGCCGGGGGAAGTTTCACCTGTTGATTTCTGCCTGCTATGCAGGTGTTGAAAAGCTCCAGGACCTCAATGCATTAAAAAAAAAAAAAAAAAGGACTGGAAAGTTTACCTAAATGGGGTGCAAACAGCAGCTTCGAGGGGAAGCGACTTCCACCTGAAAACAGCAGAGAGGGGGATTTTTAGTGCCAGTCCAGGTGTTTTCCTTCAGCTACTGCTGTCCCACTCTTTCTCCTCCAGAGATTCCCTATGCTCTGAAAATCCTAAAAGGAGAGCTGCATTGACATCACAGAGAAGCACCAGATTTTTTTATCCGGGAGGAGAAAGTGTGGAACAGCAATACTTGGAGGAGAAGGCCACATGGAACTAAAGGGGGAAACTAAAGGAGGAACGAGAGGTTCACAATCCACATTAGGCCCGAGGTATGAAAGGGGGACCCTTAGTTATTCTTTTATTCTATGCTTCGGTGTAATTTCAAGATTCCTGTGCTGTGCAGGCAGGTGTGAGGCTTAATCTTCTCCAGGGAGCACCCCTTCCCACCCCTAAAATTATGATCCTTATGAAAGGGCAAACCTCCCTTTCCCCACAGTCCTGGTTCAGATCCTCACCACCCCTCAAAGAATGCCGAGAAAGAAATATAGAAAAGATCATCCCTCTCTCAAAATATTGTTTGGCCCTCAACCCTGAAAAGTATGGAACAAAGAGGCCTTCTTTTTTTGGGTGGGGGGGTGTACCTTCAGTTCTCGCAGAAACTCAGACTTGGCCCAGAATATTTCCTGTTAATTTAGATACCTTGGAACACCTTGCGCCATGGGGGAATAAAACACACCGTACTAGTTGTAGTAACATTTCCTTCTTCCAGTCAACTTTTCCTCAAACCCATTGCCACTATCCCCAGTTTTTACAGAAGGATAGCTGGGGGGGGGGGGGTTGCAAAAGGTTGTGGCCTGCCTGAAACCACCCAGCAAGCTTCTGGCAAAATAGGGATCTCTCTGTTCCAAGCAGAGATGTGGATCTTTGCTCTCCCACTCTTGGCACCAGTTTGGGTTAGGGAGGGAAGCATTTTGCGGCATTGAGAAATGCAAGGTTCTTGGGAGGAAACTGCCCCTTGCTTCCTAGCCACCACACCCAATTCCTTTTGCCAGTTTGCCAATGCCACCAGTTGAGGACACCTGGCTTGATGAAACCAGAGGCAGTGACAAGGTAAAGGATCTACCTGTTGCATCTCTTAAAAGCACAGTATACGGGGGGGGGGGGGTTGGAAGGGGGCTGGCAGCAAACTGGGTCTTTGGCCCGGATGAAATAAAGCCTAGTTTCGCCTCTGCTTTCGCTTGGATCCTGCTCTCTTCCTAGTTCTTTGGCCTCACTGTGTGCACTGCTTCCTTAGCACAGGCCACACCCTGTCTGTGGGGTTCAAGTCAACTACTTTCCTCCACTCGCACCACCCCCCCGCCCCCGATCAGCCACACCATCCTGTTACCTGTGTATTTCTGGCCTGACCATTAAAATGTTGTGATGAATGTGCAAGTCTTTTGAGTTCATCCGGGTAAGAATAACGTGTGGAGACACTCCAGTGGAGTTTAACCTCTCTCCCTCTCTCTCCCCCTATATATATATATACCTGTGCAGAAACAGGTGTGAGGTGCCGGCCCTCCTGATGCCCCCTCTCTCCCACCCAGGCGCGCATCACCCACCTCTCACCTGCCAGTCTGTGGAAGCGGGGCGACCAAGTGCCCTCGCTCAGCTTTGCGTGCCGCGGATCCAGACCACGGCCCAAGAGCCACGCACGTCGGGAGGGAACCTGCCCGCCCGCCCGCCTAATGGGCAAGTCGAGGCACGGCCCGGCCAGGCTGCGTGGGCACAGCTCTGAAAAGCGTGCCAGCCTGTGCGTCCCGGCCCTTTCTGCGCTGCTCCTCGCGGAGCCTACTTTATGCAGAGAGGACCAGCGAATTGCCCCCTTCCTTCCTCTCCTGGGAAGGCCGCCGCAGCCAATCAGGGCTCGGGAAATCCGCCCCCCCCCCGCGCGCGTACACACATACAAACACACACTCGCCTCCTCCAAACGAACTTCTCCTTTGCTCTCGCAGCCGTCGAGCCACTTTCGCTTTTGGTCTTGCTCTGGCTAAATCCCTCCCGGGCCGGGCCTGCTGCTTGCTCCGCCTCAAGTGCTACTGGTTTCTCTCACCCTACTCCAGAGTAGGACAGAAACTCAGACGCCCGCACAAACACACTCTGTCCCCAAGACGTCTGGCACTTCCTGCACACCTACCTGTGTCAAAAGTGTCTTGTGCCCAAGTTCTTCTGATGCAAACCAATCCAAGAAGCGCCGCGCCGCGCGCCCTCCCCCGAAATAATAACTGGAATCGCAAACCATTTGCTAGCTTCTCACCAGGCCCCAAACCAGCTGCTTGTGGTTGTGTGGTGGTTGTCAAGACTAGGGCCTGGGTTCAAATCCACACTCGGCTAGGAAGGTCAATGGGTGGGGCTGGGTTGGGCCTCTTTCTCAGCCTAACCTGCCACACAGGGTTGTTGTGAATATAAAATAGAGCGGGAGAATAATGAAAGGCACCGTATAAATTGTAATAATAATTGAAAATAGTAATCGTAAGGCCTGTCGTGCTTTGGTGCAAACCCCAGACAGTTGGTGCCAGAGGATTATGCCTCAGTCTGTCAGGTTGCAATGTTATTTCCC